TTTTTTTTTTTTCCCACGGGTCCAGGCGGACCTCTGTCGCCGACCCGACACTTGAGTTGCTTCCCCGGAAGCGACTCAGCGGAACAAGGGCCCGGTGCACTCATTTGGCCTCCTCGGCCATCTTGGGTGCACATTCCCAAAAACTCCCGAAAAATGTGAAAAAAAAATAAAAGAAAGGCACAGAACTCATCAAATCCCCGTAAACGGAATTTTAATTCCAAAGGTCCCTTGTTACCGGATCGCACCGTTCTTCGTAACATGAAATCAAAGGCGAATAGGCTCTCAAAGAAGAAATCACTTTCACTGATTTCCATGTGACCAGCCCCTCGCTTCCGGTATCACTTAGCAAGAGAGAGGGTCCCTTTCTCTGTCCAACCCAGTTCTAACACCTAACGTATCCCCCAGCGACGTCTCCTCCGTTATTATATGCTCAATCGGGGAAAAAGTAATAACAAAAGTCTCATTCGCCAATGTCAAGCAGAAGTGCCGGGCGCATGCGCGTAGCGAGTAGTCGCGGCCAAGATGGCGGCGCTGCGTTACGCAAACCGCGTCTCTCGCTCAGACGGCGAACCGAACACCCACTGCCGTCTGCACTTCCCACTTTCGATTCTTTCTTCGGTCGGTTCTCGCGCGTAAAACATGCCCTCCGACAGTCGGCCATGTACCGGTCGGCGCAAGGTGGTTACACACTCCAGGGACGAGATAGAAAGCGCGTGCGCTCCTATCGCCGTACCCCTCGTGTAGGTATGCCACGAGAGACACGAACGACCGACAAACCATGTCGTCGAGCAATGATTTATCAATTGTAAATTAAATAAGAAAAATAACGAGCGTGAAAATAGTACCGCTGGTATGCTTCAGAGAAGACTTCTCAAAGAGTACCTCTAAAAAAAAAAAAAAGAAATCCATTGAACCTAGGAAAAATTTCAGCAATTCAAAGTATAATCACTCGAATCGAAGAAATTCCATGTGAACGTCCCTCAGGAATCGCGACAATTTATCTGACTTCCTTCCGGTAAAATCGTTATTATTTTCGCGACGTGGACAGTGCCGACCCATGTTCCTTCCCCGTCATTTCGTACGTTGGTAAGTTGTGATAAACAATTTTTCTTTTTTTTTTTTAGTTGCCTCGACAAAGTGGCAGATATCTCGCGGCGTCGAAAGTGCAGCGCCCACTGCATCTCTCTCTCGAGAGAGAGAGAGTCCCAAAAGGGAGGCGAAAGCGAGAGTCAGGCCAGGAGGGATATATTTAACCTCCCCGAAAGCTCGGCCCAAGCTCGGGGAAATGCGACACTTAAGCTCCGCGGTTTTAAATAAGTGCTTGTCCCGAATACCGCTCGTAGTTGCGAGACGCAAAGGTCAGGCCCGTCTTATCAGGCCGAGGAAAAAAGTCTTCCACCCCGGTGAAACGCGAGTTCGACTAATCTCACGGAATCGCGCGAATCGGGGCTTCCAGTTTACCTCGAAGCCCCGATATCACATCCGAGGATATATAATGCGACACGGATCGAGACGCAGCAAAGAAGCGCCTTTTTTCATCCTCCCGCGTGGCCCCATTCCCGATTATTAATCCAATTAACGAAGAAAAGAAAAGGAAAATAATAATACACCCACCAGGATATCAAGTTTTCTCCTCAAGTCACTTCACCTCAATTTTTCCCATTTTTCTTTTTTATTACCAGAGTCGACCGTCAAACTAAACGACTAAACGAAGGACCCACCGACTATACCCTATCTTTTATTTTTTTTCTTTACTTTATAAAAAAATTCTATCGAACCCATCAGAGACGAAAAATGGAAAAACAATTTCTCGTTCCCCTCGATTATTAATCGGCCATCCGGATCGCTCCAATTTCTAGCTCTCACTTCCCTCGCGCATCTCTCTCTTCGTTTATCAGTTTACAGATTAAAAAAAAAACGTAACCTGCATGGGGGGGCACCGGCACACGTGACAGGAAGTAACTTCCTCATTTGTTATTCATCGAAGGCCGCGGCGGTTGCAATTCGCTTAATTCTTACGCATTGTCGGTAACTGCGCGCGTCACGAAGGCTTAGGGGGGACCATGAGACATCTGTTACACTCATTACATGCATTACCGTATCGTGCCCCGGATCGATTAGGACAAGAACGGCTCAAAAATTCCGATTACCGCCTTAGGCCCTGACGACTGCCAAATAATCACAAAATAGTGGAATACACGTTGTAAAATGGTACAAAGAAAAAAGAAACAACCATTGACAGTACTCGCACGTATTGCAATAAAAAAAAAAACCCGTGTTACCCCTGGGTTGATAAAAAAAATCATGATATCTTTTCAAAGTAAGATCAAAAATCCCTTATTTTCCTGCATGATAGAACATAATTTTTCAACATTCATTACATAAAACGTGAATTCCCCTAATGTGCGCTTATCGGGCGGTTGCACTTATCCCGATTAGGCCGAGATGCAGAATTTAAAGCAAGGTCCCCCCATTCATGAAAAATAAGAAAAATAGGAAAAACTCGGCCGAGTCGAGAGCATTGTCCCGGAATTTCGGCAACCGGCCATTTTTTCTTCCCCCTCTTTGTCCTTCCCTCCCTCCTGCAATCGCCAGAGTCATCGGACGAGGCTTTCCCTTTAATCGGCTCGGCCAGATTTAGCCGGCTCGGCGAGCGGTCCATCTTTTTTTTTTCTTTCCTTATGCATTTTTTTTTCTTTTTAACTGCAACGAGATTCGCGCGATCCGACCTCTCCTTCCCGCTCGAGCGAGTCAAACGGTTCCCGTTGATAAACCCGCGGAGGATTTCCGCTTGCGACCGCACGCGGCCAAATTCGATTAAAAAACCCATTCGCCCTCGACGAGCCTTCCCCTTAAGGGGATATGAAATTGTCATTCTATACATAACATACATACATTATATATATACACACACCAAAACGTCAAAATATTAATAAAATTTTTCGCCAAACTGGATGCGCCGGATAATTAGAAACCTTAACGATGGTCTTCAAACTCGTGAAGTTTCGTTTATTCGAAAAAAAAAATCTTCTTTTTTTTCGATTCTTCTCCGGGATAAATAAAAAATTTTTTTTTCGCGAGTTTCGAGACCTTCGTTAGGACCTCCGTGATCACGTGCTTAGAAACGCTAGACCGAGTCCGGCGTTTCTAAGCCCACCGGCGAGCGGAGGATTTCCGCGCGGTCCATCCGCGGCGGAATCGACCTATCGACCCCTCCGGTGCGAAAAGTCGGAAGTATCGATTGTCGTACTGCGACAACCGGCACCTCGGGGGTTGGCACCAGTGTCGAGCTTGGCACCGACCTGCGTCCCTGAGACGAGCCTCGCCACTGACCTGCCCTACGTATATACAGGTGCGTCTTGCACCCTGCACCCTACTGCACCGATGGGTGCCATCAATAATACCGTCAAACACGCGACATACTTTGAGAGAAAAAAAAAAACAAATCTCTCATCGAACCGGAGAAACATTTCTTCGAACAGTGCCAAAGAACAAAATTACCCGAATCGAATAAATTGGAATAAATCGATTGGAACGATTCTTGGGATTTGAGAGAATTTCAATTTAAGCAAATTAATTATTCATCCAATTGATGTAATATTTCTTTGGTACAAGAACCGTTTCCTCGCTGTAAGAAGACTCCTTAAAGTACGATCGATATCCTTTGATTTTAATTTCGTTCCTCGGGTGTTCTTTTATTAATATTATTATTTTTTTTAATTCTTTGGAATTATCTCAATGTTTTATTGGATATTCCTTCCTTGTTAGTTAGCTTGGCATCGACCCGGGTCTCTGAAGCGAGCCTCGTCACTGACCTGCCCTACGTATATACAAGTGCATCTTGCACCCTGCACTCTACTGCACCGGTGCGTGTCATCCGGAGAACCGGCGATATCATGCGTGACCTGGGGAAACTCCTTCCCTCGACATAACCTCCCACGGAATGTTCCTCGCTACGTAACTCGACATTAATCCAAATCGATATTCTTCGACATTACGCTTTAAGGCGATGTGAAAGTAAGGCGGCAAAGAGGTTTCATTTATGCAACTTTCCTCCGAACTGGGCGAACGAAATTATCTCAAATTATTACAAATTATTACAACGTGAACATGGAGGCTGCAGAGGCGATCCTGAAATTCATTATCCATGAAAAATGTCAAAAATGCCTAAAAACAGATTTTTAATATTCGAAATATAAAAAGAAATTAATCAGAAGTCGCCACGAGGCCTTCGTAAATTTTAATCATTTATTTACGCGGAATCATGGAACATCTTTGAGCCCACGTCCTCGAGGGGTCTCTCCTCCTCGAAATAAACGACCTTAGCATTAAACCGGGAGAAATAACAAATCGGGAAACAAAAAGCTCCGCTTTACCGGGCTTAAGTCCCGCGCTATAAATTCCGGGCCCCGAATCACCCGCGGAGAAAACAAAACCACGGTTGGCGAGCTATACGCCGTGGTTAAAACTGCGGGGACACGCAAGGATCAACGGTAAACACCACTATGTAAACAGAGTTAACAATCCTAACAAAGACCCAAGCCCATCGTTTCCCGATTTCAATTTCACGAAGCATCGCATTACATATACATCGCTCGCAGATTGTATTTTAGAACACCATTATATTTTAAAACCTCTTAAAGCTACAAGAAAGGGTTTTGAGAACATTTTTACGTACATATTCTTTTACATACATAGAATGATATATAGAAACATCGCCTTAAAACGTCGAGCCGTTAAAAAGTTAAAAAGTTAAAAAGTCCTCTCGTGTTTCGGACAGCCGGGGGCGTTCCTTTCTTTCCTGGCGGTGAAAAAACGAGAAGACAGAAAGAAGGCAACTTTTTCTCGGCGCCGCTCGCTACCCTAGGTCCGGGTCTAGGCGGCCTCGCGTGGCCCGTTTCCGCAGCGCTCTCCGCGCGTCCATCCGCGACCATACCGGCGGGCATCGTGCATCGCGGCAAAGTACCGTTCCATATTCCGTCCTAAAATCTTGTGCTCACCATGCAGGAAGTCTCCTCCTCTCTGGGTAGCTCCTGGGGTCCTGGGTCCGTAGGGCAGGCACTCGCGAGACGCAACGACGACCTCACGTGCTCGGACCGGACACGCGGCGTCCTCGAGTCCCTCTCGGCGACGCGCACTGGACGCACTGCGCGAGGACTAACGCGCACACCCGACCGACCGATCGACCGCTCGCGGGTTCACCGGCCGACTGGAAGGATGCCGTCGCCGTCCCCTCGTGGCGCGCGCCTCCCACCCCGCCGTGTGCCGGCCGGACAAAGCGGCTGCGCGCGCACCTACACATTTTTACCACCGCCGCCCCCCGCCCGCATCCCCGCGCGAGCGCGCGCCGATCCACCGGCCGACTCGCCCCCCCGAGGGCCCGAGATAAAACGAGCCCGGACCCAGACACCGCGAACCGAGGGGAGCCGACCGCGCCCGAGGACGCCCGAGCGGCCCGCCGGGGTATACCTGCGCTAAGGGCGAGCCTCTCAACGCGAGTCGAAGAAACCCGACTAGTCCCGAACACTCCCGAGCGCCTTGCCGAGGGATACCTGGCTAAGGGCGAACCTCCGGACGCGGGTCGGCCTTCTGCCTGCTTCTGCCGAATCCGTGCAGAAGGCCGCTCGGCAGGTATAAAGCAGGTACCGGTCTCGCGACTCGCCAGGGAGGAATTTAATTGGCCCCTCTGGTGGGTGCGATCGAAATGCTTAATCGAGATGGATTCAGCCTGAAATCCCTCATTTACCCCAGGCTACGGATAGAAAATTATCTGGTTATTAAAGGTGTTATGAAAGTGTCATGCGTTCGTTAAAACCTCCATAATCACGCATTAAAGTTTCATATTATTCGGTGCACCCAGCTTGGAGAAAAGCATTATTAATATTTTCACTTTTTTATTTACATATGTAACCCTTTCATATCACCTTAAATGATGACGTAACCGCGAGGAACGAGTGATAATGCTTTCGAGTATTTCAGGTAATACTTTCGGAAATATATCGAGGAACTGTAATGTCGGTAAGTCACGTGGTACGATGAGTCCTTAAGGCCTCGCACTCTCGGCCTTAGTTTCGACGACTATCCTTAGAACGGGCGGACGCCACCGGAAGCGATATATCCTCTCGCAATGACGGTTATCGTGTGATTTTTACCTTTGCCGAGAGCTTATCCCGCGGCACGGTAAATATAACGTCGACCGGTTTGCCGACCGCCACGCCGCCTGGTAACCACAGAGATTATCGACGGAGCCTTTCGCGAACGCTAGCCTCTCTTTCCTTTTCAATCTTCCATGCTCCATGGCCGAAGTCCGATCCTGAGGATCGACAAAAAACAAGGGGGCCAAAAATCATCCCAAAATACCGCCATTTTGATACCTTGACAGTCCAGCTTACCACCTGTACCTAAATTTCATTTTGATCTATACTTTTTCAGATTTCTTCAAACCTGCATCCTGGAAGAACGTTTAAACAAAATGATTACGAAATCATCAAACAGGGGCGAAGGATACCATATAGTATGCGTAATAGCAATATCGAGAAATAAAAATGTTAAATGTTTATTGGTTGAGAGGCACTGCACTTGCACCCATAATTGCATCAGATCATGCTGATATTCCCTATCAGCCAACTTCCTATGTGAATGCCCGAGTAAATCTGATCGTCAATTGAGATCGACATTTATCCCCACGGTACGCTATATATAGTTTATAACCTTCGCGTTAATTTATTCACAGACACTCGATTATTATGTAATGCTGTATAAGCCACAAAAAGGTGATACGTTATGTCATCCTCATTCGTGAAAATGATTTTAGTCGACTGGCACTTGTCCATCTCCTGAAGTAATTAATAATTTATAAGGGGCGCGTAGCTACTCCATTAAATAATCTTCGAGAAGAACGGAGCAACCGTCGATGGTTCTCAGAAGAGGAAGGATTTCCAAGATAAGTTTATAGTGATTCATCTTCTTGCACAAAGGATTTCCCACGATGGTCATTTCCGTCAACACGCTCAGAGGCATCAGATGTTTCAGCTGGCCCTTATCCTGGGGGAAATAAATATTTAAACGTTTAAACATTTAGATAAACCTATCTAAACGGCCAGTTTTATCTTTCGTCAAATCCCTCCTCACGGATATTTTATTATTGGCCACGAAGAGCTTCTCTAATTTTAACAAACGTTTCGCGAAGCACAGATACTTCGTGCGATTGTTCTCCATAAATAAATATTTGATCTTGTTGCTCGGAGGAAAGTCCTCCTCGGTAATTGCGGATATTTTATTGGAATCAAGGACGAGAGTTTCCATGGCAGCGCACGTTTGTATGCCTGAAGGAAATGTTAAAGGATTATTTAAATCGTTTCTTTATGCTAGATGTTTATTAAGTACTCACCGTTAATGTCTCCCAAATTATTATGTTGCAGGTAAATGTGCGTCAGTGCGGCCATTTTTTCTAGATTCATCTCCACCAGGGTACGAATTCCATTATGGTCCAGGTACAAAGTTAACAATTTTGGGAAAAATCCCGATTTTAATTCCGTGGTCCTCGAGGTCGCCCTATTAAATCTTTCCACTTTGTTGTAGCTCAAGCACAACGTCCGTAAATTCTGTAAAGTGTGTAACCCCCACAAGTAGGATATGGAATTTTTACTCAAGTCAAGACTCTCCAAATTTGGTAAAGTCTCGGAAGTTAGATCCACCTATAAAAAAGTATTTTTTACCGACGAGCGGAGAAATCATAATCATACCTCGAATGATACTGAACGCATATAGAAATTTTTATAGGTAAAAAAAATGCAAATACCCTGTGTGCTCACGGCTAATTATTATTCGATATTTTTCAAAGCATTAAATTCTCGAACACTTTCAATTCATAATTAATCAAACTGTCGGATTCGCGTAAGAAGGGTGAATTTTCAAGTCATTTCTTTTAAGTGGCATGACCCGGTTTTCCCTATCTCTTGAAAAAAATCTTTACGGATATACCTCCTTAACGGAACAATGAATAATACTGAGTTGCCTCATGCTTGAGAGATAACTGGTACTGTGCATTGCTACCAGTGTACATTTATCTAACAGTCCTCCGAATAGAGTATTTGCTTCGACAACATCCGCTTCCAGGACCCTCTTTCCGCAAACAAACTATAAATTGAAAATCCATAATTTTACAATGAAACGAAATACTTCCGTAGAGAGAATGATGTAAAAAATCGAAGGAGCACCCAGAATGATATTTAATAAATCTTACTTCCAGGGTAGACAGATGATACACGAGGAAACTTTTACACAGCTTAATGGGATTGATTGGATTGCGGGATAAATCAATAACTTTTAATCCATCCCAGCTCTTTAAATTATATATATTCTCGAGGTTGCTGATTTTATTGTGGGAGCAGTAGAATTCTCTCAAGCTGATATAACTTCCCATCGGCAATAAAGACGTAATTAAATTATGGGTGAGATCCAAGTACTTCAAAACTGGAAGATTAGCCTGTGTCAACCCTTCCGGGGTTGAAATGAAATTTCCACTGAAATTTAATTTCGAGAGCCGAGCCAATGGCTCCTCTAATGACACCTTCTCAAGAAGATTATTCGACATGCAGAACCATTGCAGTGAGCAACAATTGTGCAAAAAATCGCACGTAGTTAATGAGTTGCCACTCAGATTTAAAAGTTTCACTTTTGGGAAATTAATCCTCGGAGGGGATTTCAAGCCCTTATTAATTTCGGAAATAAATTCGGATTCGGGAAGGTCTTGGAATTCCGAAGCTCCAAAATATTCGAAAATATTTTCCAAGCTGAGGAACTCTTCTTCTGCAATTAATCTAACGTCTTGTAATGCAGTTTCGTTGCAGTATTGTAATTGTTTTAAATAAATCCCCGCAGTCATAATCACCCTCTCGGATTCGATGATATCCTTGAAAGGATTATTTTCAAAATTGAGTCGACTAAGATTTGGCATAAAATCTCCAAATGCTCGACAACATTCTCGACATTTGTTTAACTCGTTCCATGAAATGTTCAAGTGCTTTAATCGTGGCAGAATCTCGTCGATTTGCAGATTCCGAAGTTTGTTCAAACTGATATTCAGATTTTCAACATTTTTCAGTATTTCAATATTTGGCAATGATGATAACCGATTGCAAGAGATATCGAGGTCCCTCAAATTTGGGAGGTCGAGAGAAATATCGATTCTCCTTATTTGTTGGGCAGAAATATTAATTTCTACTAAATTTCTAATGTCACCGGTTAAGCATAATAAATTATTGATATTGGCGTTGCTTAAAATAGGCCATGACGGAATATCTGCAGATAAAATTTCAGAGATTGTTGAACTGCTGGATTTCACTCTGGGCTGTAAATTAATTTATTTTAGCGCCAATTAATGCATTAATATAAATGTTATATGAAAATGCGTACTTCAATCACGTACTCGAACTCCACTATGAGGAGTGGCTTTACATTTCTGCATTTGTATAAATCACACATTCTATTTGTTCCTTCTGGTAATTGTTTATGAATATCATCAAGGCACAAGTTCCTTAAAAAAATTTTACGATCAGTTACTCTAACTTTATATTATTTGATAATTATTAACAAGCTGATTTTAAATTTTACTTCACATTCAATTCTTCAACCGGACTTTTTACGAGGACGCAGACACGCCGATTGTTTTCCATTAAAGAATGTAATTTATCATCTCTTTGTTTCTCGATTTTAATTAAAAAATCAGCATCAGCACTTGCCAAACAATCGGTCAGAGTGACTTCTTTCTAAAAAAATTTTTTTTTCGAAAAGGACACAAATTATTGCTTTTCGAAAAAATATTAATCAACATACCGAATCTTGGAATTCATGTTCAAGTACATGAAAAGGCCATTGTCGAAGTTCAACAACTCCTGGATGTGATTTTAAAATCCTTAATGTCACATTCTCAAGATTGGAAAATTCATCTGAAAATCGGATCGTGTCTATTTGTTTATTCGCTACTTCGGTTATTCGATGTACCCTGGTGCCAATTATTTTTGTAATACTGTGAAAAATAATTCCATTTAATCCTTTCATCTTATAACGTGGAAATTTGATTTTACCTCCTTGCGGAAGGACACAAAGAGTTGTCCAACATTTTTTGGCAAATCCGGAACAATGTATGACCAGGTGCATATTCAATGAAATTAATATTTCCACAATGTCGCATATTTATGAATATCTGCTGGAGCGATATCTAGTGAAAACGACGTTCGTTACTTTACACAATTAATTGTTGCAAGTAAAATATTTACTTTCACGTGTGTCGATGCGTTTTCCTTCCATTTAATAAAACGATTATACAATTGCTTTCGCTCTTCGTAAATCTCCGACAATTTGAATTTCTGTCCTGCCTGAATGTCCTTCCCATGCAAATATTTAATGTTTGCGACGAACAAATTCTCCCTAAGCTTGCTAATCTTCTTCAAATAGTCTTTGTACTTAGCTCTGAGCATCTTCAAGAAACTGTTAATTGACTTCTGTCTCAAGACATTGCAAAACGTCATTTTTTCTCTAAATTCAAGATGTCATAAAAAGTAAATTGGCAAAGAAATATATTCGAATTCAATATCAATTTGCTTACGTAAAAAAATGTTCGACCTGTTTTCTTTCTTCCATGGTTACATAATAATGATCCACATTTCTTATGTGCTTAACTCGGTAAATAAGAAATTTACGATAATTGCAAAATGACACAAGAGGACATTCTCCGTATAAAGGATCAGAAAACACGACAGATTCCAAATTTCGCAGATAAGACAGATTTGCAATATCCTGTTGAGAAAATTATTTAATGGGGATTTAATTTTTAGTCACAATTATAATAAAATCTTACTCGAATCTGGGTTAAAGGATTTCCTGCAAAATTGACACTACGCAGTTGCAAATCTTCGGAGAGTAGCTCATCGAATCTTTTTAATCCATTACGTGCTATGTACAGATATTGTAAATTCTTTAAGAATTTCAGGTTCTGCATTAAAGGACTTATTTTTGTTTAATACATAAACAACAAATAAATAACAGTGGAAATAAACCTTCATGATAGTTTTCTTACTTCGCACTCGAGTATATTATTCCCTGACAGAGATAACAATTTTAGGCGTTGACATTTCGACAAACAGGGTATATAATCAATTTCATTCGAGTACAGATAAACCTTTTCCAGTTTGCTGCATTTATTCAACTGGGAGATGTCCTGAAATTTAAATAGATGTAAACGTAATTATATCAGAGAGTAAAATATTTTTTAGGGAGAGAGCAGTAATAGTATCGTGAAGTGGTCATTTTGTCCTATTAATTGTACAAAATTACTTTGTTTAGGACGTATTAGAATATTTGTTACTGTATACATTCAATGTTCCTTTACCTTGACACGACACTCAACCACCCACAATTCTTGCAAATGCCTCAATTCTGAAATATTTTCCAAAGACGTAATGTCATTTTGACCGATTATAATTAACGTTTGCAATAATTCACTGGACATGACGGAATCTCTCAGAAAGGTTTCCTGGCGTGCAAAAACTGACAATTCTAGTTTACTTTTTTCACTTTCAACCCTTTCAGGGCTTTTAAACATTTTTAGATGGGTCGGAATTTTGGCCTTTTTTTTCCTTCCCATATTTAGTATTTTTTTATATCGCTCACGAAGTTATCTTCTATTGACATTTTACAGGGGTTATCGGTTTTATGTCACTTGTAAGAAAAAAGAATGACAAGTGAACAAATAAGAAACCACATACTTTGGTTTTACATTGTCTTATTACAAGGAGAATCATGTGATTTTGAATGTGAATTATCACAAATGTCAGGAAAATAAATTTTGTTTAATGAAAAATATTACACAGTACCGTAATGTTATAAAAATACTAGAGTTAAGAATCGCTGTTGTCAGTTGATAAAGAATCCATTTGTATAAAGTGAAGCATCGTGACAGCTTCCTCGTGTAGATATCTCAGTACCTGGTCCATTACATCGGTATGTTTCACCTTCATCTGAAAGGAAGAGACCGTTACAAAACTATAAACTTAAATTGTCGGTTCCCATTAATTTTATTATGCATAATAAACCTTGTTATTCATCATCATCAAGTAAGGTAACTGAATTTTATTCAAGTTGCACAATCCTAATTGAAGGCCCGATATTCGTAACATATGCTTTTGTAAAATGTCATGAAACCTCTCCATATCTTCAACCATGATATTCTCTCTGTTTTCCAGGTGTTTATTCTCTTGGCAAATGCTGAAAAATATTTTCTGATTAAATTGTTGTATTACAATGAAATCGATACTATCAATTGTTAAGCACGTATAATCATTATTCTTTAGAAACTGTACCCAGTCCAGAGTTTCAGTACATCGCATAGTCGATGCCTCACAGTTATGCTGTCGGAATCTGGATATCCTGGAATTTTATATTCCATCAAGAGCTCTTGAGTATCGCTTTGCCACTCGAGATCTAAACTCAGCAGGATTGGAATTAACCACAGAAGATCAACTTCCGATGCAGGTAGCGGAATTATCATACAATCGAACATGCGACTTATTATGACGTTTATAGCTTTAATAATACTTTGGGATCCTTTGCACAAGAGAATCGGAAGCTTCACAAAGTTCTTATTGTTAGACTCCTCCGGCTCATTTGGCCACGAGACAAAGATACCTTTGTAAATACATTTTTCAACCTTCTTATCGTCAGCAGATGTTGAGTTTACTACTATCTGTAGGAAAATTAATCGTATTAATTGGCATCATTGGTAATTCCAGAAGATAAGCATAAAAGAGTATACAGAATTAAATCTCTCCAATTATTGAAAACCAAAAATTACTTTAATCGCTGGAGGTCCAGGCCTGACTTTAATGCCTTCCATGACAGAAAATTTAGCATCGTACGATACATTGTCATGCGACAACGTGCTCGCTACCTCCTCTCTCAATTTTTTTCCATATAGCTTCAGCATCAATTTGTTGTCGTACTGAAGACCAAACAGCAGCGACACTCCGTATACTACCCATGACTGATCCAGTAACTCTAAGTGTAAATAATTAATTAGTATAAAGATGTAAAAAAGAAACAGACCTCTAAAGACGTTTCATACCTAGCATTTCAATTCCATCGTTAATTTCAGCTTCTACATCTTCTCTTGCCGGTATAGATTGCCTTAAACCCAAACTAAACTGCTGTCTGCGTATTCTCGGCGTGCGGGGTGTATATGGCACATGACTGCTTTGTGGAACTGCAGCTGCATGATCACTGTTACGTACTTCCATAATATCATACAATTCCCTATCTAACTAGTCCTAATAAATAAATATTAAACAGTTTTAACCTGCTGCACAACGTACACTATTTGAATTGAGGTTAAGTTGTCATTTTGCGCGCCACTCTATTCATGGGTAGTACAGACTCTATTTTGCCGACACGGGTTGGAAGTTGTCGGCAAAGGCGCTGTCTAACTTATTGAAGGAGCAATTTTTTTCTAAATAGTTTCCGCATTTTTCACGGGAGACGCTCGAGTCGCTGCGCAGCATCGCGTAGCAAATCCTGCCGTAAAGAGAATAGTGCCCAATAGTGTTCAAAGCAACTGAAAGCAACGGGCAGAGTCGACTGATTTTTATCGACGATTCCCGTTTTTATTCCCTCCTTATAGCAAGCCCAAGACTCGAGTAAAATGTGAAAAGGCGAGCGTTGGATTGAGGAGGAATCCACGATGGTTCGCGGGTAAGTCGTCCGGCTGCGGGACCAGGAGTTCCTGGATAAATTCCTCGCATTCCGAAGCTGGTCCAGGTCGAGCAGAGCGCAGCATCCAGGTTAAGAATGTCACTTTTGTGATCGCTCGTCAATGACATGCGAGGAATGCGGTGAGTGCGCTCGAACTGTTCCTTGATCCGTGTCGAATGCCAACTAAGCTAGTATTCTTTCCGCATCGCTAGAACCTCCAGACTACTTCAAAACCTTCGCGTCCCTTATTTTTTTTTTTTTTTAATTACATGCGCGAGCCCATAGAATATCTCAAGAATTTTTTTCTTCTCCAATTTTTTTATCAGCGTTTAAATATTATCTCGATGTAATTAGAATTTTCTGATAGAAGAAAGAAAAACGATACAGCGGTAATTTTTTTGCTTACTTTAAAACTGATTTTAGATTCTTTTCAGGAACGAGTCAAAGACCAAAAATATTCAACAGGTGTGTCCGAGGAGAGGATTTCCTGGAATTATGTATCCGATACCATACACAAATGATTCGGTAAAAATATATTTAAACTGAGAGCGAATTATTCAAAGTGCTATTCGGTATGATAATTTAGCTGTTCTTCCATGTATGTTCATATTCAGATTAGATAGAATCAATTGATGAGGTAACAAAAGGACGCCGAGTGGTCCAAATGGGCAACGGAGGCCCATTATGGCCCAGCATCGGCAAGGACGACATCAATACGAGTTCCTGCCACTATGTGATGTGCTCTTCAACATAATCTCCCTAGCTTCGTACTTCTGCGACGTGGTTTTCGACCTAGCCATGGGTTACGCCCTAGCGCATCATCCAGCAACGCCACCGGTCTTGTTTCCACTGAGCATTGCGCTGGTGGTGGTTTCTCTCTTTGTATCGCAGGCTAGTAACTTCACGTTTTCTATTGGAATCCTGATATTATAAGTCATCTCTCGCTTAATAATTATTTCCTAATTGTACAGGTAGTTAGCGTGAGATGGTATCTATGGGGAGCACGGGGGAAATTAACAGGCAATGCTATAACTGCTGAACGTGACCCCGATCAGGGGAAGAAAACGAGAGGCTGGGCAATCGGTTGTGTGTTGCTCCTTCATTCCGCCCAAATAGGAGTCCTTTGGCGGTACTTCAAGCTGTTTATTCCTGTCGATTTAACCTACGTTAAGCATGAGGTAATCATCTCTAAAACAAACAAAGAAAGAAAGATGAAATAGCCTGTTATAAATTTAAACGCTTATTTCATCGTTATACCAGGTGCGAGAGCTCTGTGTGCTTCGATTGATCCATGCCTTCTGCGAAGCTGCACCGATGTTGTTGCTACAATTGTATCTGCTGTCGTGTGGAATAACTAATGATGGCGAAGTAGTGGGAGATGTAAAGACGACAGAAGGGAGAGACAATGACAAATTGGCAGAGTTGACAGCGGTCTCCGCAGGACTGTCATTGTGGAGCGTTTGCTGGGCTGTGGCGAGCTTCAGTAAAGGTGCAGCTCGCCTTCGCAATCTGGAACGTTTGGTGCTAACGTGGCTTGGTGTGCTGGCCCAACTGGCATGGCGTTTAGGAACTGTCAGTGCTCGTGTCGGAGCACTAGTTGCATATGCTTCGCTCTACGGTGGCCAATGGCTACTAGTCGTGCTGGCTCTGCACTGGCTTTCGATGTTGACCTGGCTTCTGGTCACACCGGATGGATTGTTCCACGGTGGTGAACGACTACCTCTGACCCGGAAGGCTTTTCTTGCGTCTCTTCTGGCTTTTGTCTACGTCTTCGCTTACGTTAACCTACACGAGACGAATCATCGACAGAAGATGGTAATTTTTATTCTCTTTCGTTGCATCGAAAGATGAAAGTATTTAGTCTAAAAATTTTTAATGAAAATTTAATGATCGTTAAGTAATATTTTGATTTCGCAATGCCTTCTCAAGTTAAGGAAAGTTCAGTCAGGTCAGTAGATCAGCTGGAGTTGTAAAATGTGTAAACAGGGCAATTGTTACGATGATCATTTTTTATGTTCTCAGAGTATACAATATGTATTTTTTTGCAGATCATATTTTACACCGTGATGTTCCTAGAGAACAGTCTGTTGATCGGAGTATGGGCTGTAGGTGTGAACAGGAGCGATCAACATCCTCTTCATCATCACCCACGACCGGTTACTCTCATCCTGACGCTATTAGCTCTCTTTTTCGGGGGTTTATTTTTTATGGGATTATATTACAGGTAAATATCATAATAAAAATGTCGCGTTTCGCCTAAAATTAACGTCTTTATCATTGCTCTTCAGGTTCTTCCACGTGAGACGCCTCAGATACGAGGCAGGTGGGAGGATGAACGCAGCGAACGTTGTAACCACGTTATCGAAGCAGGTCTGCATTCATTATTTACTACCTAAGATAAAAATAAATTCCATACTGAAAAGAAAATGAGAAAAAGGTTGGACGCATAGCTCACAATTTCCACAACTGCAGGACACTTCCGATGGGAAGCAACTGGATTACAACAACGAGAAGAAGGTCAACGTAAACGCAGGAGTTAGGAGGGTGAAGCTGAGCAACGGTGGGATCCCAGGAGTGTTCAATTGTCGTTTCGCGAATCCCGCCGTGACGAGTCCTAACAGAAAGAAGAAGAAGCCGACGACCTTCGTGCCTCCACCACCTCCTCAGCCTCAGGCGACATCGGTGACGATGGCCGCAATGGGCGAGACGAGACAATGGCTCAATGGCAGCGGAGGTTCTCGTCAGCTCATCCCTTTTTGGAGAAGGCCGATGTCTTGCTCGAGCATTACACAGGTGAGAATCCGAACACTCCAGACCCTGAAGGATCTGGAGAAGAATGAGCGGAAGAGACACGACGCATAAATTGTAACTATTCCTCCAGGACGACGCCAGTGAGCGAAAGAACGAGGCCGACGTCGGCATCGGAGGGTCCCTCAGTGTCAATCTTATAAGAGAGAAACTGCGGGAGAAGAAGCAACAGCAACTCCGGGAGCTTAGAGCCATTCAGGAGGAGATCAAGGAGGGGAAGCTGGTCCCACCTCCGTCCGCGTCTACCTCGTCCTTTTCGTCGTCTCCTTCGGCGTCGAATCAACAGCCTCCGCCGAATACGAAGCTCCACACCTCCCCGAGTTCCCCGTTGTCCGCGTCTCCTGCCTCTCTTCCGGATCCCGACGAAGGTGACACCGTGTCTTCGTGGCCTCCCATCAAGATGCATTGCCTGTTGCCTCCTCCTCCGTCCTCGCCTTATTATCCGACCTCGCATCCCTCGAATCCGTGGAAGACCCCTCAGAGGGAGAGGGCTGACACCCCGGAGATCTTGTTGGCTCCTCGATGTCTTCCTCATCATTATCCGCATTGGACTCCTCCAGGACACCTGAACCACAGGTGATTGAGAAAGGTCTTAAACGATAGGAAGGGAAACAGGAAAAGGTTCTCACTAGGGGTGTTCTAAGCGAGTTCTTCAAGATTCCAAGTTATTGATGATTTCTTTCATCCTTGCAGGATGAGGTCGAGTCAAAATGGCGAGGAGGAGAGCTCGAAGGGCGAAGGCGAAGGCGAAGCTGAGATCAGCGACATGGAAGGAAGTCAGGTCTCGCTGCCAAGGAGTTACACGTTACCCCGGGAATTTAAGTACAATCATTCCAATAATGCTATCAGAGATAGAGAGCGTCGAGGCGGTAGCAGTAAGCTACTTCCCTCTCGCTTCTATTTGCCCTCGACCAACAGCTCGGATGGTGAGTAGAGACGCTGCGTTACTTTTAATTACTACAAACTAATGCTAGCGTTCTTTCCTGCCACGTGCTCCACTTCACTCTAAAATTAAAGGTTTACCTGGGAAAAGGACCTTAACGTCAAGGTGTATATTAAATTCCAGGAGACGTGGACAGCGCGGACAACGAGGAGGAAACCGACTCCGAGATCCATCATCGTGGTAAAGCGGATCATGGCCACGTACATGATGAAATTCACCATAGACGGTGCACCTTCGAAAACGAGGACGCCATTGATCCGCCGAACCCTAATCCTAACATAGAGATTCTGTCCCCGTCTGTCGTTAACTCCTCGGGTTGCTACATGAGCAACGCTTATGGTGTACTTAGACCTAATCAGTTACTGAGACCGAAGGTGAAGCACGAAACGAAGCTATGAATCCGTCCCAAGTGCCGATGGCTTTTACCATTCGACTGCTAACGTAATAGTACTTCCAACGCAAGCTGACGAGGTTGAAAGTAACGATACCAATGTCCTGACTCTAATTAGAACTTGTAATGAACGACCGGCCATGAGTACTTAACGCGCACGGAAAATCCGCAGGGTCATTCAAGTGTGGTATAATTTTCTCGAAAAAAGTGGGCCCTAGATCGTGCCTCGGTAACGATGCCTAAATTAAGATAACCTTTCAACGGAGACAAGGTTTCTTTCCTCTAATGAGGAGAACTCCCATTTGTACCATGACACTGCCGTGCGGCACACATTCGAATGACTCTAACTCCTTCGCGTAATGTAATTAACAAATTATAGTCTATTCTATTATTTAAGAAACCACTCGCGTTCTTTTGTATCTTTGTAAATAAACATCTTCCAAGGAGAGTTCCAGCTTGGTGACGTGTTTCATGTGTGTTCGGATGAGTGATCTCGGTCTTTCATATAACCCATACGTAATTCGGCGAATAAACCCACGTGAGGTGAAAGTGCGAGAAGTGAGCGCTCTCGTCAAACATACGTAATAAACGCCCAGAATCCAATCTACGCATTTATTTATGCAATGGAGACGTGCGATTTACTGGATCCGGATCCGATAAATCCTGGGATTTAGGAGTGCGATGGAGACGTAGTCTATGTCGACTTGATACAAGTTGACACGTCAAGTCGCGTCAAGTTTGTCTACTGTGTGCTACTGTGTGAATTTTGAAGGTGGCTCGCAAGATGCGTTAGTTTTACTCAACATGGGCGAGATTTTTGAATCTACCGGAGTTATTTGAGGACACCGATGTGTCTGCAAAACAAGGACAAGCCGTCTTTTTCGAAAGGTTTCCCCGATCGTGGGTAATTCGATCTGCGTTTGATTTTATACATGGCGAGAGGTTAGGTCTGCGACACGTAACCGTGCAATGTGATTCCCCGAGGGAACGGAAAACGAGGTTTCGAAGATGCCGAGATTTACGATGTTGCCCAGGACCTCGCGAATAGTTGCTTTGTGCTCTGCTGCGAATTTTATAAACGCTGCCGACAGAGTGATCATGCCTATCGCTATCGTACCTATGACCGATCAATTTAAATGGAACCTCCACTGGCAGGGCTGGATCTTGTCTGCTTTCGCCTTCGGCTACTTTACGAGTCAGGTAAGGTATACATTTCATCTACCTCTCCAAGGATTGACCATCGTTCAATTGTTTACCTTTTGTTCTGATTTGTTAACACGTTAGATCGTGGGTGCGAGCACGGCAAGCAGATTTGGATGCAAGACCGTGTTAATGGTAGCTGTCCTGCTGTGGTCCATTAGCACGGCAGTGACGCCTCTGTTGGCACATTCTATTCCTCTGCTAATCATTTGTAGGGTAATTCTTGGCCTTGGAGAAGGTTTAGGTAAGATCATGGAATGGATTAATATCTACTTAGTCTTGGATGCGATAAAATCCTGGTAAAAAGTACTGCTTTTCTTTTAGGTCTTCCAGTGATATTTCATTTGTTTGCACACAGCGTCCCTGTGGAGGAAAGGTCAAGAGCGTTCGGATATCTTGTGGCCGCTGGTTCTGTCGGACAAGTTGTAGCGTCGATTGTACGTTAGTGAAATAGAGTTAACTTTGTTTAAGAAATGTTAATCCTTGCGAAGATGTATTTAATTCTAATGGGAATATCTGTGGCTTTTTAACATTGTGAACTTTCATCGCTTTACAGTTATGTCCACACTTGTCCTGGCAAAGTGGATTCTACTTATTTGGAACAATAGGAATTACATGGACTTTATTATGGTTATTGCTTTATCAGGAGATGAATACACAAGACGAAATTCCTTTGTTCCTTCCAAAGGTAAACTTGCATTTATGTTCGTAATTAATAAAAGACAAGAAATGGAACTCTCTTCTAATATTAATATTTATATGTAGGTGACGCAGAACAGGAGTTTACGCTGGTCTGAGTTTTTTGTTCACTGGCCCCTCTGGGCACTGTATATAGCACACTTTACTATGAACTGGAGTAATTACATCATTATGCAGTGGTTACCCACATACTTGGCACGGAACTTGTCGGCCAATAAGGAAAGCATCAGCTTAACCGCTTTGCCATACATCGTTAATTCACTCGTTGGCATCGGTAAGGCCTATGAATATATAATTAACTCTCAGTACCTCTGCAAATATGATATTTAAATGAGTACATTAAGAAAATATACACTGTCAGTACAGAGTGTTACAAGAAAAGTGCACATGGTTTACACAGCGAATATTTTATTTTACCTTTGCAGTGGCTGGCCACAGCGCCGATAACCTTATTCAGAAAAGGTGGTCAGTTCTTTCCGTGAGGAGATTAATGACCAATATTGGCCTCATCGGTCCTGGTGCATTTTTATTAGCATTTTGTGCTGTTGATAATTTGCTTTCCGCGGTAATGTGAGTATCTCACTTCTTGCAATTGTATTTATAGATATAGATTCCTAACTAACAGTATTCCACCTTTTGCAGATTCGTATCGATATCAATGGGACTCTGCGCATGCAACTCCGCAGGTCATCTCAGTAACCACGCCGACATAGCACCAAATCATGCTGGAATAACTTTTGCCATATCAAATACAATTGTAAAAGCCTAAAATCATATTTCTAAATTTAATTCATGAAAGAGCAAAGGTCTGATTATGTTTAAAATATTTTTCAGGCTACCATACCAGGAATTCTTTGTGGCCCTCTAACAGCAGAGTTGGTAACGGCATCGCATGGAAGGTGGATGCCAGTTTTTGTCTTAGCAGCTGCAATAAATTTCACCGGTGCTATAATTTATCAGAGCCACAGTGCAGCCCTTCCTGTATTGTAACGTGTACCAGTGATAATTACTACTGGAACAGTGGAAAGTAATTTACCTGTAAACAGTGAAAGAAGCATACCTTTACGCATGTTTTCAAAAGGTGATGCCAGAGGCCAGACATTATTTTCTGCACCATCGAAAACTATTTAAAAAGGACTTTAACGTGGGGAACACCTGCTGGTTCACATAACGTCGAAGCTACTTTCAGCTGGCAAATGTGACAGAACTGGAGCTCTCCGTCATCGCTGGACTGACATGAGTGACAAACATATCAAGTGGGAATGTTACTTCTTAATCTTTAACTTTGATACTATTCTTCGAATCGACCATCGACGTGAGAAACCAGTTGTGAGACTTGTGCCATGTCTGACTCGAATGAGTTGGTTACGAATAATCGATGGGAAGGAGACGTCGCGAAAGGCGGCAAGCACTACATTTTATTTTCGTTTCATCGAAGTTTACATTGTACAAAGAAGGTATATACTGTACATAAGAAAGTATTGTAACTTTTCGTGTGTTATTATCTCCCGAATTTCCTAGTGCATCTTGACACAGAAAGGGATTAACGTCTGTGATGATTAAGGTACTACATTAAACAAACAGTAATATATATCTACATGAAGACCTGTTTTGTATTTAAATTTTCATCTTAGCAGAGATTATAGATCGTTAACTTCACTCAAGGCCCGATGAAGCCAGGTTGGCTATTTTAAATTTTGACGTCAGGCAAAGGAATAGCGTAATATTCTCGATAGGTATTCTACGAAACGAATAAAATTTGCCAGTGAAAGTTCTAAATCATTTAAGTGGATTATAACGAAGCCAAATTTTTGCTTAGGTACTCCGACTTCAATATCTGGGGAACCAAGTGCTGGGGAACGTGTTCTTCGATCCCATTCAGACCCATTCTAACGAAAACATTTTCTGGTTTTCTAGCGTAACTATTTCCTTGGCTCGAAGCATCTACACAGTTTGCATCGAGTAAGATTTTCCTGGTCCCCTTCGAAAGTGAAGTAGTAGCATTAGTTATTTTTCGATTTACCCCCTCATCTGATCTAATTTTTATTTCTTCAGGAAGTATCCCTTTGCCGAGGAAATTGCAGGTTGCATCTCCCAAAGTTGTCGACTTGCTATCGTCATCAACAAAATCGAAAAATCCACAATCACGGATGTTCAATCTGCCCAAGATATCCTCGACGACTCGAGGCGACGTTTCCAAAATTGGCTCGCCTTTCTTCGCCTTTTCGAAATTTCCATACTTTTCTAAATATTCCTCCAATTCGGATTTCACTTCCTGTCGCTTCGAATCGTTCTCTGCAATATTCTTCCTCGATGTTCCATTAATTTTTTCACTCTGACCAAAGGAAAGCCTTTTCTGTGCTGCGGAAGACTTTGCTATCGATGAATCTCTCTTCGAGGGATTTTTCTTCTCAAAGTTACCGAGGACACTTTCTGCCAATTTTTCCTTCTTGCAGTTCTCCAGGATGCTCGTCAAGGAAGGTTTTTTCGATGAACTGTGCTTCTTTGGAAATAACGAGTTTTTAAAGCTGGAGACCTCGTCTACGAAGGAAGTCTTTGGCGGTTTGTTTAAAGCCTTGACAACATTTTTATGCGAGTGTTCTTCATCTTGACATGGCCTCTGGAAAATCTGCATTTTGTCAAGTTGACTTGTCATATTTTCCAAAGTCTTATACAATTTTCTTTTTTGATCTTCTTCCAAGTAGTCTTTCCTGTGGGCCCAGTGCTTTTCTCGAAGCTTCTGCCAATTTGTTTTAACATTATCAACCTCTTCTTCAATTCTTGGAACTTTTGTATCTGAAGAGATTTTCACTCGTTATACAAATTGCATTGCCATTGAATTACAAAAAAAAAGGAACTACATCGTTAGAAATAAAAAAGGATCGGTGAGTCGTGCAAAAAAAGACTTTTTAAGTGATGATTTTGTATTACTGATATGCCTTGAAGCCGTTTTTCCTTCCAAGATGGAATTTCCTCTTCGAACCAGCGGTAACGTCGTCTTCGTCGTGACGTCATCGATATTTCTTTTCAACGAGTCATCGGAAGAGTAACCGGCTTTTAATTTTGGAAATCGAGCGACATGCTTGCGTGCATTTTTCCCCAGAGTGCATTTTTTATTTCCAGATCTCTTCCCTGAAATACCTGAAAACGTGGAAATGAGTGAAAATGTTAGGATATTCTTTACACGCTTTTGTGTCGAACTTAATGAACATTTCTTACAATTTGCTGTATTGTAGGACTCATCAAGGTGGACTGTCGAATTTTCGACGATTTTTTTCGACCTGACACTGTTTTCGATCGGTCCCATTTCATACACGAAATTCTTCGTCGCGGAAATTCTCCGCGTAAGAGACGTCGCAGGTTTCTTTTCGATTTTCAATGGTCTTAAGATCGTCTGCAAAAAGGAAAATATTGCGCATTTAATTTGTTTTGAAAAGCTCATATATATAAAATCTTAAGGCGATATGAAAGGGTCATTCCATATGTATGTAACGTCAAAATATTTATTATATATATATAGAGAGTGATCCTTTCATGTCGCCTTAAGAGTTTTGGAAAAGGGAGAACCGGAAATTCGTTTTTAAAAAAGATGTAAATTTGTTATTTGAGTAGACCTCTTTATTTCGCATGAGTGGTTTTCGAAAACGACTCGGGGATTTCTTTTCAATGTGATTCCCTTCTGTGTCCGATCCCTGTAAAATTCCGTGGACGGAAAGAACAGTCGCTGTAATTTTATCCTTCTCGATTCTGCTCAATCGAAGCCTAAAATAAAAATCCTAAATGATAATTACGTTAATTACCCGTGTTCCTAATTTTTATATTTACTTAATTCCAATTTTTTTCATTTTAATTGCCATACCCAGGCTATATTATTAATAATTAATTATCGGTACTGAAAATGTATTATCTAGAACAGACGAAGTATATCTTAAAAATAGATAATATAAGATTGTTTAAAATTATAGGTACTATTTTTTTGGGGGCGATAGATGTAATTACTTGTTGCGAACAGTACTCTGTATGTACTCGTCAACGACTCGTTGCGGATCCAAAAAGTGTTGGAAATTGAAATCCACCTTTCCCGCGTTATTCACAAAAAGTTTCCGAGAAGAAGTATTTGCATCGTGGTATTGTTTTTCGATCGCACTGAAAGAAACGAAAAAAAAAAAAAAAATGAGAGAAACCAGGAAATTCATTCACTCGGTATAATTTATCTAAACAATGAGGGGGGATTTAAATTTTGAACATTATTAATCATTTCAAAATTTTCGGTACTTTGCTTCCACGACCAGCGACTTTATTCTGGGCTGGACCTTTTGAGGATGTTCCTGGATCTCGAGTTCAGTTCCAAAAATGTCTTCTTCGAGGAAATACGAGAGAGCTTCTAATCTTTTATCTGCCGGGGTCGGATTTCTTTGTCGAGGTTTTGAACAAATTAGAGACGAATGCGGCTCTTCGCAACCTGGAAATCCTTTTGAGAATTTCCAAAATCCTTCGGATTTATCGGCTCGAATCACTTCTAGAAGCTGCCGACCCCAGTCTTTCCGAAAAGCCGACTTTGTTGCTTCTTCTTCCTCCTCTTCTATTATTGACACCGATTTTATTCCTTCCCCTTTGATCTCTTTTCCGTTTCGCTGCGTCGTTGCATCGATTTTCGAAAAAAGCCCTTCGGGAAATCCGCGTCCGATAGAAATTAAGAAATTGGGAAATTCTGCCTCCTCTGGTGTTAAATATTTCCCGGGAACAGAGGAAAGAAAAGAAACGTCAAACTTGACAGATTCGGAAAAAAAAAATGAGACCCTATGAGATTACTTAGCAACTTTTAGGGGGTTCGAAAGTGAAGGGAGTCAGGAAAAAGATGGGACGCTCAAGTTTATCAGTCTTTATTCATAGCTAATCCGACAGATTAAAATACATATATTCACATACTCGAATATATGGACGTCAAGACATTGAACAACCTCGAGGACATCCGAAAGTAACAATTCCCGAGACTTTCGATCTCGGCATCAATTAGAACGAATTTTTAAAAGCAAGAAAAATCGCAGTTTTCGCGTCGAAATTTATCCCTACTCGTTTTTCTATATTTAAGAGAACCTTTAAAAAAAAATCGCGGATTGCTTGTTTTTCATTATTTAAGAGCACCTCATTAAAAAAAATCTCATTAAGTAAAATGAAAAACTTTATGCCGAACAACTTCATTTTCGTTCTCGGCGTCAATGAGAAGAAATTTTGAAAAACAAGAAAAATCGCAGTTTTCTTCGCGTCGAAATTTATCTCTGATGGTTTTTCTTTATTTAAGAGAACCTTGTAAAAAAATCGCGGAAAGTAAAAAAACTCGACGCCGGATATCTTTACTTTGGCTCGGTTTTCGGGGACATGTCTCCTCGTAGGTTTTAATTAAGGAATAATCAAGTCCAGCTTGATTCGTTATTAAATTGAAGTTGCGTCGAAACTTTCTCGCGGAAATTCTCCTCCTTGGGGGGAATGTCAAAATTTCCCCATTCTACAACGAAATCCGCGAAATAAACGCCTCGTTCTGCATTTATATATCTACTTTTCTTTAACTTTTCATTATATGTGCGTAAAACAAGGAAAATCGTCGTTCGAGTTTCCTCTAAAGACTTGTTCTTCGATTTAAGCGCAAGAAAAAAAAAGAATGCGTCCCTCTTCCTCCCGTATGTGAGATATCGTTGGCTAACACATGGGATCTCTTTTTCACTCCCACTTCTGGTTAGTTAGCCAACTTTCAGAGCAGCAAGCGCTAACATATTGGATCTGGGCTTCTATGGGACTTCTGAATTCTTTGCCTGATTCGCCTACATTCTTCAGAGGAGATTTATATGAGCTGCTTCGAGGCCTCGTGAGGAAGCACGACTCGCTTCGTTAGGCCGGGAATAGGCTCGAATGGGCTCCTAGGGTCTTCCCCGATTTGGGAATCCGTTAAGTCTTCCCCGTCGGCCGATTTGTCGGTTCCAGAAGCCAGACATTCGTGCATGAAGCTGCATATGGTGCTGACGTAGACCTCTCGGTACACAGCGTAATGCTTCACGTGAGGGGAGTCCGTGAAGAGCACCATCTGTACTCGGACTCCTCGCTCAGCACGCCGCTTCGCGAATTTCTCCACGTCCTGATAAAAAGAAAAAAAAAACGATTTTAAGGTGACATGAAAGGCGCAGAGACATTTTATCGACATACTTTATTACGACATATCTTATACTTTAAAAAAGTAACTTACCGATGCAGGAATCAATGTATCAGCATTCGAGTATAGGAACAATTGTGGCCAGGAGTGCACTTCTTCTGCGAGAGCAATGGGATTCGTCAAAATTGGACAGCCGTTCTTCTTCCAGGTCTGCGAGACAACCTGTATCGATAAGGAAAATTGAAAATCAGGAAACTCAGTACAGTTTCGTGCTAAATGCATATATACTTATATATTTAGATTAGGCTGCAGTCTCACCGAAGAGGATTGCAGGAACTTACAATTTGATAAAACTCTACATTCGCCTTCGATGGATCTCAAAGGTGACGTTTCACTATCAGAAGGCGATATCAAGCTTGCTCTCAAGAAAAGTATAGATACTACAATTTTCTTGATTGCAGATTCCTGGGAAACTTATCGGTTCTTTCTTCGTTAAGTATTTACCTCGTAAAACCACAGCATGGACAGGAAGACGGTGATGAAAAAGGACATTGGCAGGTTGGTCAGGGGATGACCGCCCAAAATGACACTAATAGCCTTGAACAGCGATGTCAACCTTCTTTCTCCTGGTGCACTGTCGAAGATCACACCTTTAACCTACCACATGATTCGAAAGGTTATTACAGGACATATAACCTAAAACCTGAGACAATTTAACACGATGTATCAAACCTTAGATAATTTAACACCTTGTGTTAAACTATCTTACATTGTACGTTGCACCAAACATTCTCCGTTTACTCTGTACTCCTGCACTTTTATTCGTAGCTTGTCCCTTCACCTTTAGTGGAGTGTCGGTCCTCAGCATCGCAAAGCTCACATGTTGATAAAGAAAGGCCCCACCGTTGCTAAAGACGTGGAAGAAGATCGGATGCTTATTCAAGCTCTTCTCAACGATAACCTGGACCAATCGCTTGCCGATGGAAGGCATCCGGTCTCTTCTCCAGAATAAACACTCCACCGGTGCTGTATACCGTAGCGTAATGCAGCTGTGAGATAATTGTAATTTATCATTGTCATCGCAACCCCTTTTCAAAATTTTCATCGACCATTTGTCAGTTTCAGTTTGTGGACCAATGAAGTCGAGGGAGAACGCAGTCTCAGTCATAATGTAATAATAATATATATCATAATATATATTTTTTTTTAACAGCGAAGATTTTCCATATTCATAGGAATTCCTGGGTCCACAAACCAATCATCGAATTTATAAACGAGATATCACCTCTTCTCTTCATACATAGCGCTATACTTGGCGAGGTATTTATCCTGACAACCAGCCCAGCCAAGTAACACCACAACCGGGCGTTTGTCTTCCTCGTAGACGAAGACAAACTCTTCGTGTTGGTCGCGACCGGCGTTAACTATTTGGTCTTTTGGCGAAGGAAACACCAGCCGGTAATCCAGCTGGTCTTCGGCCGGCCGATCGCCGCCGGTCGCCATTTTGGAGAACTGAGCGACTTTGTCTACTGCACCAAAACTCCAAAATCCTGGGATTCCCGCTCTTCCTCGAGGCCGTTTTCACTACAACGTGCGAAGGTTCGTGACTAAAGAGTTTCTTATTAAGACCTATGAGGCCAAGAACTCCTCTTAGCTTTCGAAGAGGCCTTAAAGTTGATTACGACGCCTCAAGGGTGGTCGTTGCAAACAAAGAGTCGCGGATTCGCTCGCTGCTAAGATTTGGTACCACACAGTAGTACTAAGAAGAGATCGTGGCTTTTCTCGCCAGGAAAATCCGAGGACCACGAATTTCTTTATTAAGACCCTGGAAGTTGCGATCTTCTTCACCGTCACTTCCAATAATGCGAGGCCGTAAGGTTAACATGCTTATTATTTATGTATTTGGCGCGAGCTCGGTGAATTTCTTTAGCAAAGTCTGGAGATCTTTTCACTATAACAGTTTCCAATAATGTGAGGTCGAGGTCTTCTCCGCTGCGACCTTCGATACTGCAAGTTCCTTGAAAGCTGCGAAATCACTAGGTCCCTAAGAAGTCGAAGATCCTCTCACTGCACCGTCCTAAGAGATTTGGGACCACGATTGCACGTGTTATTTCACTAAAAGAAGTCGAGGTCGCAGGCTTCTCCCTGCGACCGCGGAGTTCCTCGCTCCGAGGAACTTCGAGGCTGCGACTTCGTCCGTTGCGAGGTCGCGGACACCTCGTTGCGGCGGTTCGAGGCTACGAGAATGCGTGCTCGTCCCAACGGACTTGCGTCGTCCTGACGGCCAACCTCCCAGGGATCGATACCCGACCTAGCCAACCTTCCACCGGCGAATCCGGCGCCGTCGCTCTTCCCTCTTCGAAATTCGGGAGAAAAAAAAGAAGTAACGAGGGCTCAATCGAATTCAGTCGAGCGAAGAGTTGGATTAATCAAATCTAAAATGGAGATACATGTATATGCCCACCAAACACGGTTATGCAATAATAATATAACCGTTGCATAACGTTACATACATATAATATATAAGTAAGATTTGTATTACTATTTCCTACGCAGGTATTTAATACTTATGAAACGAATAATGTAGCGTATACATAACATATCGGGAACATGCTAAAAAATGATTTGTTCGTTTTTAATGAGGGTTTTTAGTATTCCTTTTTTTTCCGCGTTGGGGTTTCTTATTTTAGGTAATAAAATATCGAGATTAACGGAATGTCATGTTCACTACATGTCGCAAGAATTCGAGCGGATTTTCAACGGTGATAAGAACTTTATCTCAGCCGTGATATTAACGTCGACGGCGAGATACATAATTCCATTCTATTTAGAACGTTCTATCGTCGGATACGTGGAGATAGTACATATCGATCCGAAGATCTTTCTCGCCGCGGTCGGAGAAAACTTGGCGAACTGTTGAATAATTAATTTTCGCGCGGGACGTTTAGCTTCGTCATTTCCAAGATGGCGGCGCTTCGCAGCACGCTATTTTATTTCACGCACGAGCTAGTCAGAGCTTGCAGGCAAATCGGTCTAAATTCGCATCGTAGCATTGCGCCATTCGAATCAATAACGGAATAATATTTCCTTATTCACTGTGCCGAGCTCTTTTCTCGACACAGTAATATTAGTTAAGGTGAAATGAAAGTGTCATACATACATAGCAAAAAGTCAAGATATTTATAAAACTTTTAACGACATAATACTAAACAATGTATAAAATATATAGAATGATAAAATTGGAGAAAAAATAATTTAGACCAGTTTCAGTAAATTCTGACCATTGACAAGTACCAAAACGTTCGGGAAATACTGTTTACATTTTTTTTTTATTAAGAAATCATTACAAAATACAGAGATTTCAAGTATGTACAGTTAACACGTAGGCGTGGATTTAAGTATCTATGATGCACCGGCAAAGCATGACATCAGCTGAAGTCACGTCTTTTCCTGACTGCCGTTCTCCAGTGACGTCGCGCATTAGCCCAGCGCCGCCATGACAGTGGATGACGTCACGCATTAGCTGGGCGCCGCCATGACAGTCGGTAATGTCGCATCGATGCGCCACTCGTTCCAGGAAGCGAGTTACTACACCGGAACACGTAAGCCGGAATTTCCGGACATATACGTATACATACAAACGCAATCCCGCCGCTCTGTATTTGCTAAGTAGGTCATCGGTGGACGCATCTTCCTTTTACACCGTCACGTGATGGACAATTATTAGAACATTCGACGAGCGATATCGCGCGATCATAAGTGCGATTTGAAATTCATACATGGAGTAAGGAATAATTCTTGAAAGTTTCTTGAAAGAAATTCGTGAATATGACATTAGTAAGGCGGTCCCAAATCTTTCCTTGTGACTAACTGTGCTTCGGTAACCTTGAAGAAGGACCGCGGGCAATTCCGCTCACCATGTTCGGCCTTCGGCGGCAATGACGTCACCGAATTCCAGGAGACACATTCGGGACTCGGTTGGCAGCGTTCGGTAATTTCCGTAAACGGTCGGGCGCCTACGCGGCCACTCTGCAGCGGATGGCAGTGGCGAGAACCGCGTTCGGGCGTTCCCGCGAGTCCTCGGCGTAGCTCGGCGATCGATGCGCCTCGCCCCACTTCGGTCGACTCCGGAAGCTCCTCGGCTCCGCTCCGGCTGAGGCGCGTCCAGTCACTCGAGCGACGCCAACTCGTTTGTGTCGTTACATCACCTCGTTCCCGTTAACGGTCCACGCTTCCCTGTAAACATGGTGTACGCGATTAAGGACGAAGTAAGTGACAGACGAAAGCGACGCTCCACTCGCGAATCGAGGCGCACTTCCCGTGGCCGACTTAACCTAAAATCCTGCCGGCACTCGGCGAGCTGAACTCGCCGCCGGAAACGCGGTAGCCTTGAAAGATAAACGGCACGTGTGCGCGTCGATTCGTAACACCTAGCGAAATTAACTCGTAATTGCTTAGAGGAAATCCAGAGGGAAGGAATTAGCTAGGAAGCATAGAATCGCGCGATAAAAGACGCCCCATTAATCCGCTGCGTCTTGCGAGTCACCTCGTCAGATGAAAGTTCCACTTTGCTCCCAAGCGCGGGTTTCCATTTTATTCCCTAAATCGTGGAATATGTACGCGATATTTCGCGGTCTATGTCACTTTGTTATGTATGCTAGTAATTATTTCATTGCGATATTTGTCCCACGATCGGTGAGGTTAGAATATGCTCGCCAGGGGAAGTGGAACTTGGACCCAGAGCGGCGGTTTTTTCAAGCAAGGACCGGCATTCGCGATCGCCATCACAAGTGCTGCGCAGTTCGTGCCCGAGATATCCACTGCATCATCCAGTAGGGCATGAACCAGGAAGTCAGGCATGAGCGTTCTTCAATTAGAAGTCACTGAAGCTTCTCTCAGGCAATAAGAAACTCGCATCGCGAGCACTCGAGCGGTTAAGCTCTAGAACTCGACTCGTATACTTCCAGAAATTCTGTTCTTATTCCTCTGGAGATATTTATTTCATGGGTGGTTTTTCCATCTCATCAGCCGCTACTCGATATTTCTAAGAATTACGTAAATACCTGGGTAATTGCATCCCAGCGAAAGATATTACTGCATCTGTTCGTTGCAACTCGTATCGATGTCGCAGGCATCATAAAACTTCTGTAAAAGAACGCTAATTAGCGAAATTGTATTGCTATAGGTAGTTGCGTTATTGTAGACATTTGTTACATCACTGTAGGTATTTGTTATTGTTAGGAGTATATGTCAAATTTCTCCACGTTTCATTTCACCTTAACAGAGATTCATTTAAATTAAATTTCTGATACAATTAGTAGAAAAAAAAAAGTTAATTAGTAGAAAAAAAAAAGCAATTTAAGATATCCTTTATCGAGTTTATTTGCATGTTACAGTGGTACGGGTTATCAAGGTGTCCAAGTCTTAATTTAAATGTCGGAATCGCTGTTGGCATAATAGTCCAATGATAAGTGTCACTCGCTAATGAATGTAAATGTTTTATAACCTGATTGTATCACTGCATGATGCAGGAGCGCAGACTAAACATTTCACGCTTTCTTTTTCACTAATTGGTCAAGTTCGGTGATGAGTGTTGTGACATTATTTTTTATTTTTAATTCAAAAGCTAAATGAAAGTGGCCGCTGAGGCGTTAAAATATTTATAAAACTTCTCTCCATGCCGGATGCATAAAATTATTTAAGGCAGTACGTGATTGTGGAGGTCCTTAGGAGACCTTTATGGACTGCTAGGTATGTGGGTGAAAAGTGTGGCGTTAAAAAGATATGTATGACGATAAGCGTTGTATATAGGTTGAAGGAAGTAGGATATCATAGGCGATGACTCAGCTTTTAAAGTAGGACTTTCACATCGTTCTGGGCAATCGTGAATTTAACGCGATATGAAAGACTCATTCTATTAAATTTATGCATAAGTAATGGCGTTTTTTTTTTACACCTTACGTTACATGCTAAAAATGCCAATATCTATGCATCAATCTAATACAATTATTTTCTGTTCTCCACAGGCCGATTTGCAGGAAAAGTTGAAGGAAGCTGGCAACAAGCTGGTTGTTATAGATTTTTATGCAACGTGGTGTGGTCCATGCAAAATGATTGCACCAAAACTTGAGACCCTGAGTGAGGTTAGTTTGACTTATCGACTGTGAATGCTACTTTTATTTGACATCGATTGAAATCAATTATTCTTCCAGGAAATGGACGACATCGTTATCCTCAAAGTTGACGTTGACCAGTGCGAAGCACTCGTTTCTGACTACGACGTCACCAGTATGCCCACCTTTGTCTTTATCAAGAATGGCGAAAAGGTAATTGAATTTTCCTGGGAAACTTCAATCTCTCGAAGTATTCACTCTTCATGGTTGAACTCACGTCTTGTCTTACTTTTCTAGCTGGAGTCCTTCTCGGGGGCCAATTACGAGAAGCTGAAAGAACTCATTTTAAAGCATAAGTGAACGACTTGAGCGGTCATTCCAACTAATGTAATTATTAAAGGATTTTCGCAGCCACCAATGGAATACAAAACTTTATGCAGAGCTATTATGTGACCTTTAAGACAGCGAGTTAGGATATTAAATGTATCCCCGTGGTACATTGAGTTTCGAGAGCACGCGAAAAGCTGCATGTATTTTTTTAAACACACCTTAGCCAGTCTTGTACTCTTGGTTGTACTTGTACAACAGGATCATTGTAAACAGCTTGTAAAAATTTACACATAAATGTTGCAACCCGTAGAGCCCCTCTTCACTGCGGTGCTTCTCCTTTGTCTGGGTTTTACACGATGATTAACCATCAGAGTGGTTCTTTCAATCTCAAGATGTGCTACGATAAGTGATAAGGTTTCATAACAAAATTGTTAATTGGAGCAAAGACCTCCGAATGATGTCAATGTTCAGGTTGACTGAGTTATTTCTTTCGATTGTCAGGAAAATATTTAGAATAATGAATGTCACATATTGCACTGGCATCGCCTTATCAGGAATACTTTTTAGAAATTATTCATGTCCGCCACTATAAACATATTGTTCGACTCGGAATGCATGATCGATACACACATAATAAGCAATATAAATTCTGCGAAGAGATTAGGAATATAGAAAGTGACTTCGAAGGGCCTAAAGTCATGTATCGTACAAGAGTTCGATTGTAAAAAGACTACATGTGCATCGGTGTGAGGTTTTACACTTTGACAAGCAGAGAGAACGCCCCGGTGCCAGCTTTGCAAGGTTGACCCAGCATTAATCTACTCGAAGGTGAAACCAGGTCATCTTGCTTTCCTGCAAATAGAGAAGATTAAACGTTGCATAATCGACGAAAGGATAAGAACAGGAAACATCAGGGGGAATAAACATTCGTTTTAGAGGGAACGGCTCCATCGAATGGAGTCCATAGGTCACTTGATAATTAAATCTGCATATTGGGCGCATAATTGAGAACCCAACGTAAAACTCCGCCAAGGCGACGTGAAAGTACCACCTCATCGGTCGAACATACATTACCTGTTAATCAACTTGATACTGAAAATATCTGAATGATCGACAGATGAGAGAGACAAATACATAATTAGCCTCAAGTGGCATCGCTCAGAATTCTTTGTTTTACTTATTAAACTGTTTAAATCATTTCTACGTGAATGTGGAGGCTCTTGTGGGTATTGGGAGGTCCCCGATACCCAGAAAATTTCATCGGGATAACTCGTACCCTGCAGAGTGGCGTTCTTCAGGAAGGTCAAGGAGCTCTCGAAGCTCATCTGCTGGAGTGGCGATGACGAGTCCTCCATGCCTTTCCTACTGAGGGGTTGATAAGTACCGTCGAAGGTCATGTAATCGGCTATCAACAGGAGATGTCTAGGGTCCACCGTGATGCCGTACATCTTGAAGACGTCCTTGACCTCCTTGACGATCACCCTGTTAGCGGCTTCTATTCCATAGGTCTGGGAGACCCCGTAGACGTCGTTCGAGTAGAGCCTCTGCAGGTCCAAGATTTCGCCGTACTTGAACATCTCCTGCAAACCGATTGGATGATAAAGTCATCCCTTTTCTTGGATCAAACTAAGAATTGGGTTAAAGTGAGTTAAGGGTCATTCTATATATTAAAACATTAAACAGTCATGCGTTTCGATTTCGTGAAGCGTAAATTTTCTCAGGAGTTTCACTCGAAGCCCGCAAGTGGCGCTGCCATCGACGTCCACTGCGGAGCGATGACAATTCAACTCGTCATTTCGTGAAAAAGTTCGACTGATTTTGGTGGATTTCTTTTCCCGCCTGAGGCTGAGATTGCTTTTATATAGAATGACCCAAGGAAGAAGACCGACCATGATGTTGAGCCCGTCTGTTTTCAGGATCGTTTCCCCAGTAGAGTTCTCAAAGGTGAAGGCTCGCTTTATGCGCGGCGTCTCCCAGAGGACAACTCTTTCGGCCACGTTCCTCAGGATGGTCGGCAGGTCCAGCTTGGTCATCTTGAGGGGCAACTGAAAGCGAGACAATATTCTTAGCTGGACGATTAAATGATTATGAAGTATGTTTGGGCAACTAACTAAATTACTATGAAGTATATTTAACGCCATGGCGAGGATTTTCAAGCAGAGACGATTTATATCCACAGTCTTTACCCAAAATTTGAGCTTGCACCAAAGGTGTTTCCCAGTATCGAAATCGTACTCCAGGGCATGCGAGTACATGTCGATGACGTCCGCCTTCCTCTGTTCGTCGTCCGTCCACTCGTTGGCCTGATTTTCAGCATCCTCTTCAAGGAATTCATCGACCTTCCTTTTGTCCAGGACCTTGCGCTCGTCCTCGACATCCTCGCCGTCCTCGTTATCCTCGTCTTCGTCTCCCTCTTCTTCATCCTCTTCAGGGTCTTCGTATTCCTGGTTCTCCTTGTGCCTCGAGACGGACCTGGCAACGGTCGCGTCGGCGTCTTCGGCGGCTTCCTCCTCATCCGAGGACTCGTGCATCTCCCCCAGGTCGGACTTGGAGAAACCTGGAACTGGATGGTGATGTTGAAGACCACGATAAAGAGGATGATGAACGAGGAGTTAGGTAAAAAAATCAATTCAGAAAGAAATTGGAAGCATCTTCAAAACTCTACCCGATGCCTCGCCTTCGGGGCCCTCTTCGTCCAGCTTGGCGTCCTCGTTGCCGGCTTTCTTCTTCTCCGACTCGACGTGCAGGAGGGTCCCGACGACCCTGGCGGTCTTCTCGATCTCCCTGAACATTTCCTTGAAGAAGATGAGCTCCGTCAGCTCCACGGCGCGTCTCGGCTGGATGAAGAACTCGTTCTTGTAGCACTTGTGGGGCAGGTACTCGAACGTCAGGGTGTAGACGAGTTGTCTGGAAGTACAGTTCAGTTGATACATGTACCGAGGACGTAATTGGATCGAAGCAAAAAAATATATATATATAAACTTTCTGCTTAGCTTCCCCACCTGGGAGTCGTGGTTTCCATCCTGCGGTCGATGTGGATGCTCTTCAGGACGTTGGCAAGTTTGCACTTGGTGAGCCTGATTCTGAGCTTGTTCTCCTGTCTCTTCGGATTGTCCAGATCTTGCCTAAAGGGGATCTCCATGCTGGGGGTCTTGATGTTCCTCGAGGCCATCATCAGGATCTCTCTGAGCCTGGGAATTCCGAGGGTGACGTTCATCTCTCCTCGTCCTGCGAAGTGGAAGGTGTTGAGGGTCATCTGGGTGGAGGGCTCGCCAATGGATTGCGCAGCAAGGAGACCCACGGGTTCCCCTGGGGGACACAAAGACTTCATCGACTTGACAGAAAGGACGTCCCTGAGGTCTTCCCTCCCGACCTTAAGATGGTACGACACCCTGAAATGAATAAAAAGTAGATCTTATAATTCCTATACCCTCCAAAGTCTATAGCTATTAAGGCTATTAAGGCTATCGAACTTAGTTTCACCGACCTCGAGAACCTAAATAATAAAATCATCAACCAAGTTAATTTTTACTCCACGGTGAAGGGGTCAAGATTGAAGGGAAAAAAAGATTCGACTCCTTTCCTTACAAAGGTACGGTACCAGTCAGCTAACCTCTTAGCATTCTCTTCTAGATATTCGTTGAGAAGGCCCTCCAGTCTCTCCACCAAGACCCCATACTCCAGGTCCTGCCTGAGCCTGGAGCTCACAGGATCAGGACAGCCCTCGCAGCTTGCCCTGAACCCTTTCCTAGTCTCTTCATCGGCTCGAATCCACTTCTTCATGGCCGAGACCGCAGCCTTGCTCCTACCACAGGTTGGATTAATCGCCAGGTGCCTAGCCTCATTAGGATGCCTATTTTCCCTGGAGAAGAGGGCAAAATCGCTGACGCGCCTCTTTTGGAGCGCCGAGCCATTCCTCTGCTCCCACTTCTGGATCTTCCGGATCATCTTCATTGTCCTCTTCAGATCCGAGCGTGCCTTCAGTTCCTTGAGCAGCGCCTCCTCGACGATGGCGTTCCGGTTGTCCACCAGGAAGCCCAGCTGCTCCTTCCTCAAGAACTTGGACCCCGGTACGTCCAAGCCATCCTCTCCGTAATATATCTGCACCAGGCTGCCGTCGGAGTCCCTGACCGTCAGGTCGTAGTTGACGATGAGGCCCTCCAGGTGCTTTATCAAGCACCTCTGCAGGTACCCTGAGCGACTGGTCTTCACGGCAGTATCTATCAAGCCTTCTCGCCCGGCCATACAGTGGAAGAAGAACTCCTGGGGCTTGATCCCCGTCATGAACCTCCCGTCGATGAAACCTCCCGCCCTGGGCGAGGGGTCGTGTGCTGGGAAACTTGGCAGACTCTTTCCACTTATCATCAATGGGGGTCTTTTGCCTTCCAACTCTATTTGCCCTAGGAGGCAGGAGATCTGCATGGTGTTCACCGTCGACCCCTTCGCTCCGGATTGCACCATCAGCTGCAGGTTGTTCTCGGGGAACCTCTTCATCAAGCCTGCCGGTAGACACGTCCGGTTTATCTCGTTCGTGTAGGTGTCCAGGGCGGTCCGGTACTTCCGGTCCACGTGGGCCCGGAACTTCGGGTTCTGCCAGTAGGAGTACTCCATACTTGCCGTCACCATGTCCATCGACGCGTCTTCGTGCATCTCCAGCGCGGATCTTTGAATCTCCTCTCCTATCTAAAAGACCAGAAATTGGGATAAGTATTTTATGGCGTTGTAGAGTCCACGATTTACACGTCGCTAGTCTTGTTGGAAGTGGAGTCGCAGTCTTTTGTTACTTTTTCCTACGGTGCATGGCTCAGCTCCATTTTTTAAAAGAATAGCGACATGTAAACCTTGGGCATGAACTCTGTTACTCCCTGGGGTTCTTCAGGGACTATAAATTACTCGTCCATACCACTCTGCTCTTCTTAATGATTTCCTTGCGCTTAGCGTCGGCTCTTGGCTTGATCAGGATATCCTCAATTCCTAAAGTAAAGCCTTCCAATTGGAGGAAGGCCTGGAAGAGCTTTCCGAAGGCACTTAACACCCTGCTGGAGCAAATGCCGCCGTACAACTAAGAGAGAGAAAATTACATTCACTTTGACATCTTCTCAAGTGTGTTTCAGCTCAAAAGACATGTTCTCAAAATTTGTAAAAAGTCTAAAACGGCACTTAAATCTGAATTTCGAGCGATCTCCCCTTCGTACTGTCTTCAAACTTTCCATATAGTTCGTCGCGAGCGTCGCTGCCATCGCAACGCCCTCGCTCCACCTCGCGAACTGATAGGACGATATCTCCCGTTCCACTTGACCAAATTCAACGGAATAAACTGCGAATAATACCTCGAAAAGGCAGTGTATCAGCCCGTACGGCGTAGCGCCATAATGAGTCTTGTCAAGGACTCCGCAGAGCAACTCGCCACCTCTTATAACGACCTCGGCCTCGGACATGGTCTTCGGATTGGAGAACGGAATTCCGCAATTCCAGGGTCGCGGTTTCCTCACTTCCCACGATCTGGCCTGGATTTTCGCGTTTGCTGTCAGGTTAATCTTCGCGCGGCCCTTGGGGATGATGTTGATGAGCACTGTTGACACCACCTGTTTACCCGACCAGAGGGGAACAGGTTTCAAGATGGCAGGAGGCAACAATTCCAGATTACCCTGGACAACTGAGAGTGCGGAGTACACGAGTTGCATGTAATCCTCTCTAAAACACGAGAAGAAAAATTTTAAATATCATTTAACTACGTAGCCTTACTTAACAGAATAGTGTATAATTAAGATGTTCGTTAATTTAATGCTAAATATCAGATAGACACCTTGCGAAGAATCTTCCTCTTGTCGTTAGCTTCACACCGGAGACCATGTGATCCTGAATCAAGCCACTTAATGGAGTTCCATCCTTCGGTACTAAGTACTGGTTGCACACATTTGCTAAAACAAAAATATAATTCTTCTACAGATGTATCGATGAGACCAAATTAAGATTATGACCAAAGGGTAGTACCAATGTTGTAGCCTTCGCTGCGAGCCAACTCATTTTGTGGAAAGTGGGCGTTCATTTCGTCACCATCGAAGTCAGCATTGTAGGCTTTGCAGTTGGCATAGTGAAGTCGAAGAGTCTTTTCCCCCTTGAGGATCCGAACCTTGTGAGCCATGATACTAGGCTTGTGCAGTGTAGGCTGTCGGTTTAATAACATCATGTCTCCGTTCTGTAGATGTCGATGAACTATTTTGACACCATGGAAAAATCTGTTGGCTTTCCCACTCGTTGTCAGCAGTCGTTTTGCAATGGCTTCCTTCTGTACAGAATCACTGCTATGGATCCGTTGAACATGACCTTCCTCATTCTCAACCATTACTGCTCTGAAAGATTATTCCAACTTTAGCCTAAGAGCCTAAGTCAGAATTTTACGATAAAGTGATTCAACTCTTGTAAATCTTGTAATTATTTACCCTGGATGTACATCCGGTCCATTGAGAACTAGCTGACGTAGCTCTGCAACATTCCACGGTGTAACAGGAACAGGATACGTCAACTTAATAGCAAATGCTTCCGGAACACCAATCTCGTCAATGTTGAGATTAGGATCCGGAGTAATGACAGAACGAGCAGCAAAGTTAACTCTCTTTCCCATCATATGCATACGAATAACACCTTCTTTCTTCTCAATGATCTGTTTTAGACCTTGACAATTTGCAGAGTCTGTAGTCTTGTTCAGTTCTCGATCCATCAGGTGGTCCACGTTTGCCTGTAAATTCTGCCAGGCATTGTGCAACTTCTCCACCGGTGTGGTCCCTCGTATTTGCTCGAACACAAGCTGCAAATCACCGTTGAGAAATCAGCTAATTAATTTCATGAATCCTGAAAGAATTTCTTCATTTTCATTCTGTTACCTTTCCTTCCTCGGGCAGTTGGCTCGTACTTCCATCCTGAATCGTTTGAATGATATTCCTAAGCACGAGACAGTCTTGAATTATGGTTTTATAAACCTGTGACTGAGGATGTTCGATCATCTGATCATCCAGGAAATTTACTGGCCTGACTAAGGGCGGAAGAACTGGTATAACCTCAAAAAAGAAAACATCGGTCGGATGCTCTGTGTCCAGTGTTCGCAAACAAGGGAGTATAACTTTCAGAATTTCGTGCTCGTTTCTCCAAAGGTTTTGGAGATATTCCCTCGACTGATCTGGCAATATATAAACAGTCTCCATCTTGTGCACAATACGTTGGCCTGGTCTGTAATAAGAGAAATAGATATCACATTACTTATTTAACTTTAATATACTTTTTTTAACTTGATTTACTTACATTACAGGACAAGGACTACTGTCAACTTTTGTCGTCATAATTTTATTCTTCAGCGTCATTATCTTAGGAATTGGCTCATGGCAATTAATACATACTTTCCCAACAATACATTGTTTAAGGGTAGAATCGACAAACACATGCCACTGTACATTAATATTCTTTGCATTCATATTACCCTCTTGGAGAGATATAGAATTCGTGTTAAATCTCTCTCTACTTTGAAGACTCTCGATATAATTGTCAATAACATTCCGAATGAACACCGTTTCGCCTTCTTGCACTTGACGGGAAGTTGGTACCAAAGATAACACTTCCTGTTCCAGCCTCTCGTAATCGTTTAAGAACCCCAACTGTAATAACTTCAGTTTCGCAAGTAATAACAGTTTAACATGATTTGGTACTTGAAGTGTAAAGCATGAAAGGCATGTTAATTTAAGCAAAGTGCACAGTCCTCTGTGAAACAGTGGATTCACCACAGGAACAGGGAGCTCTATGTGCCCAAAGTGACCAGTACATTTGAAAACATTATGACCGCATGTCGCGCATGGGTCTGAGTTTTCCCTCAATGGGCCTGGAAAAGATAATTTTATTCACTGAACATGTACTTTACATATAACGAAAAGGCTTACGATATATACATTTCAATAAGCTTCGATGGAAAGAATATACTCAAGACCTTACCTAAAGCAATGTCGTAGAGTCCGCCTTTCAACGGATGGCCCAAAACATTAAATGACAAAGGCGTACTAATCTTTGTTACGCTCAGATTTCTGATATCGTCCGCAGTGAATACTGAAAACTCCAGCTTCTTCGGATCTAAATGCTTCACAGAAGACCGAGAAGTCTGCTTGAACTTGGAACTCATTTTTCTATCCTTTCCAAACCCTTCGATGTGTAATTATTTCTAAACTGGAGTTATCACCACTTTCAAGATTATTGCTGGATTACTCTTGAAAAGTATGAATAACTACTTAAAATTTTCATCTACATTTATAAAAGAGCAGGAAAGAAGTTAATGTTATGTCTGTTTTCGTGGTATTGCGAGAATAATTTAAAGCGTACGCTTTTACCATCTCTAACCGCCCTAGGAATATAACCTCCAAATCAAACACGCGGTAATCACGTTTTATTGAAAGTTTACCGGCAAGAGGACGGCACTGGCGACTTTTCTCATGGAGAATTATTCATGGCGATGGATATTACGGAATTATCCAATAAGAAGCGTGAAACGCGAAGGATCTAACGGAATTGTCCAATAAGAAGCGCGAATCGGATATGTTATCGAAAATTTCAATTCGGGACGGAATCTCAACTACATCACTGATTCTAAAAACGAATACATTTCAAGTGTTTGTACGGTTTATTTGCTTTGAAAAAGGGTACACAGAATCGTTTGTGCTGAGTAAATGTTAAATAAAATTTAGAAGAGGCAATTGATCCATAAACTAGTTAAGATAGAGAATCAAAAACTTGAAGGTAAACGAAATATTAGAAAATCTTCCCACTTGGTTTCATATTCTCTCTTTTCATGCAATTTCCTTTACCAAATGTTACAACATTTATGAAATGCTTATAGATACCTGCAAGATGTATTTTACTTAGATTTTAAGGAGGTGGTGTAAAAGCAAAGCACTGCGTAATGCAAGCCGAAGTTAGAGACATTGTTGAGAAGTCGTTGAAGAAAGCCCGGGAACATGAAGCAAGAGGTGACATGGGGAGAGCGTATGCTTATTACACAGTTGTCATCGAGCTGTGTCCTGAAAAAAGGAAGGAAGTGGAAAAAGTGTTCACCGATGTTTTATGTTAGTGCAGAATGATTTTTCAATGACCCCTGGAGCTAAAACGTTTAAAATCACTGTCATGATTTCTGTTAACAGGCGAATGGGGACTGCAATTAATTCAGAATAACAGGACACAAGATGTAATCGTTTGCTATGAACATTCTCTGGACATTTATCCTGAAAATCCACGCATGCTGAACAATTTTGCTGCACACTTATTGAGGTGATTTTGTAGAGACTTACAGTAAAGAAATATAAATTGCTTAATAAGTGTTTCCCTTTCACAGGTTAGAAAATCCAATACAAGCCATCAAGTACTTAAAGAGAGCGTTAAAAGCTGATCCCAACTTCCTGCTTGCTGAACGCAACCTGCAGAATGCTTACAGCATGGCTGTTGACCGTTGGCATTTTTCCATGTTAAATGACAGATGTCGAAATAGAGCTTTTAAAAAGGCAATCAGAAATAGGATAAGAGAGGGCTATGATACAGTCCTAGACATTGGAACTGGTACAGGATTATTAAGCCTATATGCTCGGGATGCCGGAGCTAAAGCAGTTTATGCTTGTGAATGTTCTCCAGTTATGGCAGGAATTGCTGAGAAAGTATTTGCCAGAAATTCTGACCATGGCATAAAATTAATCTCCGAGTTGTCAACCGATTTGAGAGTCCCTAAAGACATTCCTGAGAGGTACGTGATTTTTTTCTGATTTATCCATTGCTATTCCCATTAGTGCCAATGTATTGAAGCCAAATAAACTACAAGTTTGTTAATTACACTGAGCAAAAAATCACAGCGCTCTAAATGTTTCTTGCTAACGATTTGCTAAAGTGATTTTTTTTGCTCAGTGTATTATTAACATAAATACTTAAGAGTCAAGTCTAAATCTGTGTTTTGCTTCGTAGGGTAAAGTTGATCGTCACTGAGACATTTGATGCTGGTCTGTTTGGAGAGTTTGTCGTTCCATCGATGATTGATGCACACGTAAATCTTCTAGCAAAGAATAGCGAAGGAATTGTTATACCTATGTGGGCTGCCCTTTATGTCGCAGCTGTGGAGAGCGAACACATTCGTCTACGTTCCTCCATAGAGTGGGACAAATCTAAGAGATTCAGCTTCCTGAATTTTGAAAACGTATCTTTACTCCCGGACGATGAATACTATGACAGCGAGAATTTGGAGAATGTTAAGATAAATTATATAACAGAACCGAAGGAAATACTCAGGGTACACTTCAACGATGTGCAGGAACTGCAAGAATTTACTAGAGATGGTATAAAGGGTGTCTTACGATGCAAGGTAAATGTCTGTATCATTAATACTTATACATGTCTTATTTCCATTACTTCTGTGAGTCTTTATAGCAGTATTTAAAAAAAGATAATGTTATATCATTCTGGTATGTGAAATAAATTTTGCACTAAACATGAAAAGTGCCATTTAGCAAACTAAAGAGGGACAGAAATTTATTTAAATAAATTAAATCTGTAAGTTTAATTCAGATTATTTAGTAAAAACATCAGGAAATTGTGCACCTTCTCTAGCTATTAGTAAAACCACATAAATATGAATAATGTCCATATGTACATTAAGTGCAGGTACGATGGCGTGGTCGATGGTTTGGTAGCCTGGTTCAAGCTGCACCTGGATGAAACGGTGACCATCGACTCCTCCCAAGGAAAATCTTGTTGGCAGTTGGCAGTGTTCTCAGCAGCGACGACTTCCTGTCAAGAAGGCGATGAACTAACAATCACTGCAGAAGTGTCCCAGTGCAAGCTAAAGTGTTCCTACGTGTCTGCCAAGAAAAATCTTGAACCGTCCACTACGGTCTACCGAGTTCCAAAGGAAGTAATAGCTTTTCTGAACGACTCCGAGTTCGTCAACTCATTGGTCAGTATCGGCAAGTCTCAGAATGACAAATCCATAAAAACTGTCCTTGATACTTCTCCGTTCCCTGTCTATGGTCTCACCATGGCGAAGACAGGTCGAATTTGTGGGGTTGTGTATCACCAGACCGATAACGAAGCTGTTAAGAATCTTGTTAGGCAAGTGGTCAAAGATAGTGGTATTAAAGCTCAGATTTGTATTATCTCAGATTACAGAGAATTACAGCATTCTATAGATTCTGTACTTGTGCACAACTTTGACGTCAAAGGTGAACTCAAAGACTGGGGCTTGCGAGACTACGATCAGTTCTTCAGGTGAGTGTTCGATTAGTATTCTTATGGGTTAGAGAAAGAGAAAGAAATGTAGTCGACTTTATGTGTATTTTCTTCCAGTTCTTTGTTAAGTCCTGTTGGAACTGTTCTCCAAAAGAAAATCTTTCTGATGGGTCAGTTGGTCTTCTCGTCAGACCTGGCTAAGATGGTACGAGTGAAGGATTCAAATCTGTCCATCTCTGAGAATTGCTCATCAGAAAAGGTAACTGACAAGACGTCAATTCGTTTAAAAAGGTTGTTTCTATTAAAAAAAAAAAATTGATTTTAACATCTTTGAATAATGTTTGATTACTAATAATAATTTCATATATTTACAGAATTCGGATGAAGAAGAAATGACAAACGTCTCTGACAAAAATAAAGAAGACTCGGTCGATTATTTTATTGCAGAGTATATTAACGAGTATAAGGTAATTAAAACAAATGCGATGCAAAGCAATAAATATTTCGATAAAAATATCGTAATTGCACTGATCAATGCCATTTCAATGTTTAGATTAATCAAGTATTCGACTTGAACTCCAGTCTATATCAGTATGAACCGATGTCGGATGTTAATGTGTTAATAAAAATAAATGAGGCAGAGACAACGGAGTCACTTGTCAATTTTGGAAGAATTAAAGAGACAAAAAATTCGCTCGCACCAAATGCTCTGGTATGTTGGTACAGAATTTGTTTGTCACCAGAGCATGTCCACGATACAAGAAGAGACTCCTCATTTATGAATCATACTGCCATTGTATTGGAGGATGAATTGAAAGACATAAGCTTAAAAGGAGGCGAGGTCAACATTAAAGTGCTTCAAATGAAAGGATTGGTGAAGGTCAGCTTAGCGGACACCTGACAATGAACTAAACAGTAACGAGTTAATTGTTATACTCTGATAAATCTATAAAATGACATTTACATAAAAACATTCAGCACAATTTGTACGATCTGATGGCGAGAGTTGTTCGGAACCAATTGAAAACAATTAAGCACTGTAGATTGTTTCGTTGAATTTTGTTCGTATATTTAGAATGTGTTTCAAACTCCATTTGGTAACATTTTATTTGATATATAAAAGTTAAAAGGAAACATATTAAAATTAAAATACATTTTGTACTTAAATAACACCGACCCCTCGATTATAATTTATGATAGCAAAACTTAGATGTACTTTATTTATTAAATCATCCAAAGAAGATAAACAAACCATTACAAAAATAACCCTTTGACCCGCAAGAGGTGTAATAATAGATAGAATTGAATTATTATCATACAACATTGAATTATTATCATACAGTCCGTTTTATACAATAAATGCTGTTCCGATTAATTGATGCACTGAAGATTTACCAACAAAAAAAAATTTGTAAAGAACTGATGGAGTTACAATCATCAGAGTTTGCTTTTGGTAGCACTATCGAGATACTTGCATATATGTGGGGCGACCCTTTCAGGAAACGAATTATGAACATCGTGGTTCCCCTCCACTAAGACGAAGTTCATCTTCGTCTTTACCTCCAAGTATTTTAAGTACATCTCAGAATCCGTATAAATATATGCATCCAGGGTCACTGTAGAAACTAACGTTAATAACGGCACACTGAGCTTTTTGTAAAGTGATAATACCTGGTCCACATTCATTAGAATTTTTACTGAAAATTTCAGTCGGGGATCGCGATTGTACATGTACTTGTCCCCAACCTTGGTTACAGCCCGTTCGAACAAAGCTTCCGCAGCGTCGCTGGTATTCACGTGATATCTCAGAAATTGCAAAGCATATAATGCTTCGTCTCGAGTATAAAGATTTGCCGGTGACTTGCTAGCCTCTATAGACTCAAATACCGTTCTGAGCCGATCGATCAAATCACTATCATGTATCAACAATGGGATGGTTCCGTCACAAGATACGATCTTAACGAACCTCTCAGGAAACAGAATGGCACAGAAAATCCCTATCTGTGCGCCCATGCTGTGTCCTATATATGTACACTTGTCCCACTGTAAGCTGTCCAGCACTATTCTGATCGTGAAGACGTAGTTAAAATATTCCAGAGGCACTGCAGAGGGAAAGGACGAAGAGAGTCCATGTCCTGGCAGATCTATAGCAACATAGTAGAAGTGTTCTGGAAGCAGTGGCACTAATCTGTTGTACGATCCTGCATTGTCTAATATCCCGTGAACCATTAACACTCTGTCACCACTCGGGGATCCCCATGCTTTCGCAGCGATGTGACCCCAAGGCACTGTCAATCGCAGCTCCTTAACTTCGCGTTCCTTTGACATTCTTGTCATTTCTTGGCGAAGTCAACAGCTAACCCTATAAGAATCAAAGTTCATTTTACTTTATGCAGTAATCTAAGTTTGTTATGTGTATGCGTGTAAGCGACGATAATGATAGCGATGCGTTTAAATAATGGAAATAATTGTGAGCAATGATGAACGTATAAATAATGATGATACGTTAAATCTTGAATGAGGTAAACTCACAAAGTGCCTTTTAAGGATCGTAATGTAATTGCCTTACTTTTCTTGGTGACACTGTTGTACTTTGGTCGTTCGGTTATACACACATTATGCAAATGCGGCAATCCCAAAGATAAGCTTAATAGCTGTTAATTGCTAAATTTAATATGCTTTCAATTATCTCACGTAACTTAGATATCTAAAATTAATTTAAAAGGATAAGGTTCAATTCCTTTTTTGTTAATGTATTTGTTTACCCTGTTTAAACAAGGGAAAAAACCGTGCGCATAGAATTGCATGAAATTATCATCTTTAAACCCAATGTTTACTCCAAGATTAGCAAATGAAGCTCCGTAAGAAGGGGTCCAAAAACAGTAACTACCTGCAGTTAATCGGCAAAACTTGTCATTCCATTTTTGAATAAACTTTTCCTCATTTTCTTAAAATCGACGAAAGGTTTGTGTCGGAATTTCTAAGATTCATGAACCAGCGGGGGGGGCAGAATTGGCCTATCAGGATCGAAACATTCCCTTGGATCGGAATTATGGCACATCGGAAGTGGAACATTGGAACTGTCAGACGGTCACGTGTCGGTCATCTTGTTAAGCACTTTTTCGATGACCATTATATATTGCAGAACATTGGTGAACGTTGGTGAACGGGGAAGCTGCACGGAGGTGGTTACAATTTATTTTCTCGTCAATATCCGTCATTGACGCGGTAATTTAATGTTCGACATGTTTCAATTGCCACAGGAAACGGGAGCTGGTTGTGTTAGGTTATCATGAAGCCAGATATGCCTCGCTCGGGACAACCACAGCTCCTCACTTCGCAATGACTTTTGGATAGACTGGATTTAGGGATTGAAGATTTCCTTCGAAAGCCAGAAATAGTGTTTTCGTAGCAATGGAGAGTAAAACGAGCAACAATTTTATAAGTTACGTGGGCTTTGAGGAGCACGAGATGCAGGCAAGTCGAACACGTATGGCATTCACTCACTGCGTAAACATTGAGATGTAGAGAGGAAAATATTAGTTAGGCCTTTTCAATCGCTACACAGTGGGGTTTACAATTTAAAGATTATCATGTAACCAGCATTTTTATGAGTCAAGGAATATTATTACTATTAAACTGAATTAAACTGTTACAAAAATATCTTAAATTTTTAATGATCGTGGGATTCTCTCCTTTGTCGCAGGTACTCGGTTCCAGTAGGCGGGATTCCATGTGCGAAAACAGTGTGAAACTTCTGCCAGGAGAAGTTCAAATCGCAGAAGCTCAGAGCGTCCTTATGTTCTCTCCTGTCGGAGACCTGAAACAAGGCACCTGTGGTATTTTATCGGTGACAAATTTTAAGCTAACCTTTGTTACAACCGGTGATTCCAGTGGAGAGGTAAATTAACTTTAACTGTTGGCAGCGAACCGGTATTAATTTATCAACAAACATTGCAGGACGTCATGCACCAGCAAAATCATCTTTACGGTTACAACGACACGTGTTTGTCCAACATCGATGAAATTTATATAATAGTGGGGGATAAAAAGAAGAAACTCGTTCCTGGCAATGCAGTGCCGTCCAAAGTTAAAGGAATCTTCATAGTTTGTAAGGTAAAAAATCCCACATTGCTGTTGAAAGTGAAGTAATGTTACCATTAAACTCAAGAACATCAAACTATCAAAAATGGATTCGCCCTGATGACTAAATGTTCAAATTATGTTTCCCCTGATTAAGCATTATATTTATGTATTCCAGAACTTGAGAACTTGGTCCTTCTCCTTTAAATTCTCTCCGCTTGGACACGGTAAGAATTTATTAACTACTTTGCTGCATCATGCCTTCCCTAGCAGACATCAGCTCTTGTTCGCCTATGACTACAAGTCAGTACAATTTGTTAAACCGCTGAAACTTTACCATGGCAATATTCCGACAAATATAGCAGGAGAAAAATAACAAAGGTTCTCATCTATTCGATCGCAGCCTAACAAGAAATATCCTTTTTTTAGAGAGGCTTATTACAGCAGTATAGACAAAGGCGTACACTTGTTTAGAGGAAGACTCGACTGGATAAATGAGTTGGATCGAACGTTCCGTAAGAATGAACAGATGCGTAAAAGTTGGAGATTGTCTTTGGCTAACAAGCAATTTCAACTTTCAACGAGGTACGCGGTTACATGATTTAAAAAATCATTACGTATAATTTCGAAAAGTGAGATAAATAAATGTTTGATTTTTCAATGTTATAAAGTAGAATGATAATAATCCAGATTTTCAATGTGGAATCAAAATTAATAATATTTCGGCTTCCAGTTTGTCGCAGTACATAATTGTGCCAATGTCAGTAACCGATAGTCAGCTGACGAAAGCTGCTCGTCACTTCCAAGGCAGCCGACCACCAGTTTGGTCCTGGTCAAATGAACGAGGAGCTGCTCTGGTAAAAATGTCTGAACTTCTGCCCAGTGTCGTTGAAAGAACTCAGGAGAATATCATGCTCGAAAACATTCGCAAGAGCCACCCATTGAAACTACAACCCATAGTCATCGAGTTAAACAAAGATGTCAATGTCAAATCTGTTGCGATGGGGTTCTCAAAGTTTGTTCACTTATGTTCACCAGGTAAAGCCTTCGGGAGTAAATTTATGCTAATTCTGCTCCGACGTCTCTAACATTATCGACATTTCAGAGAATATCAGACAATTCTGGATTCAGGACAATAACTTCTACTCGTTACTGGAGAGTACAAAATGGCTTAAGCATGTATCGTACTGTTTGCAAAAAGCTGTCGAGGCTAGTGATCATTTAGACTCGGGTACTTCTGTCATTATGCAAGGTAAATATCTAATATTCAAACGTGCTAACTTCAGAGTGCCCACCAAAAAACTGACGTTTCGTGCAATTTATAGATTAATAATTTATGGAGCCATTTCTACTCGGTAACTTTGAAAAAATCGACAATTTTTTTATCTCACTTTTTGAAATTATATGTATCCAATATGCATGGAGCAGGAATCGCAGATTAGATTTTAAAAAATATGACATGGATTTGTTAATTATTACAGAAGGTGCCGGCAGAGACATGTGTTGCTTGGTGTCCAGTTTAGTACAGTTATTACTAGATCCCTATTTTCGAACGATAACAGGCTTTCAATCACTTGTACAAAAGGAATGGGTTGCGGCAGGACATCCATTCTGTGATCGCCTAGGACATATCGAAAACGCAAATACAGAGAAGGTGAGAATTTATGACATACATAAACTACCGTGTTGTGTAATACTAACGTAACCTATCTAACGTAAAACATTTGTTCCTTTACAGTCTCCGTTCTTCCTATTATTCCTGGACTGTGTCTGGCAATTGTGTCACCAGTTCCCAGCTGAGTTTGAGTTCACGGAAACTTATCTAACGACTCTTTGGGATTCGGCTCACGTGTCCATCTTCGACACCTTCATATTCAACTGCGAAAGGGATCGTACTGTGGCAGCTATGGTAATGTTTCTATTTCTAGAAATAGAATTTTCGTATAAGTCTAATTAATTCCAATTGTTGATTTAGGATCCGAACACTCCGTTAGTACTGCGTAGTGTATGGGACTGGAGGGAACAGTTCAACGACCAAGATATTCTGTTGTTCTACAATCCATTATTTAATCCCCATTCGCTGAATGCAGCAGGGAAGTCAGCGATGAAGCCTCGGTACAGTATTCCTAACCTCGAACTCTGGACACAGTGTTATTTTCGGTGGATACCACCACTTGAAATACGTAGTGGTGGGTCGAACCACGTGGAACTCTTTGCTCGACTGATCCAGAACGACATTAACCGCTTACGAATGAACGTAAACGGTGGCTGTGCCTCTCCGGTGGACAAAATCTCCACGTACTTAGTCCAGATGAACATCGACAGCTTCTATCCATTTAGCAACAAGTCAGGGAACGTAGTAAGTACACCGATAATGAACAGCTCGATACTGATGACTGAAAGCTTACTGGATGCTCAGTCCTTTTTGACTGCGCCTGATTAAGTCCTCCAATGTTAACTCGACAATTAGTGTTACGTTAGGAACGGTGTATACATGAAGTAGCATAAGGAGCTCCCACTAGTAAATGACCTAGGATATTTTACTTATCCAACCCTGCTATCGACTAACTTGGCAAGGATACATTAAGGTTAGAATGTTTCCAAAAAAACCACAAAGTAGGGGCTTTTTATGCCACTAAACGAGTGTATATTTCCATCGATGGCAAATCTTGTCCTCCGAATGCTTTCGAATAACAGCTTAGTAGTGTACCTTGTTAATTATTCTTTACTCTCAGTCGTTTCATTGAATTGGATGATTTTTTTGTAACACTTCCAAGGCCTTCGTTATATGCTGCGCAAGTAGATCGAAATCAACAGGCATTTCATAGTCTGATGAGGAAATATTTGTGCAAAGGAGGACGGGTGTTAGAGATGTCCTTTACGATAGCCTTTGTTTTTGTCCAATGAATACAGCGATATATAATTTATTTATATTTATTTGAAACAAGAGCTTATCGGTATAGTGAAAGTCACGAGTTTAAAGATAATGATGTTATGTAGAAATATTTTTCTAATGACGAATACAAACTTTAAGGACACTCCTTTCGCTAGTTTTCCTGAAACACCTTGTTTAACCATGCATTGTAACTGCGTTTAAAGAGTCCTTGAACATTTGTGGGACAGGTTCCTTTTTTTTTTACAGTATCTTTGCATCGTTCAATATAATGCTTTTACATTACGTAAGTACAAAATCAGTAGAAATGCAACAGGCCAAGTCAATCATGACGTACCTGATTACCAAATACCGTAATTTTACGACAGGCTTATTTCACTTAACTGTACTTCTCGGTGACCTTCATAATAACACTTTTCACTTCGGTGTATGGCTCGAGTCCATACGCTCCGAGTTCTCTTCCTTGGCCTGACATTTTATAACCTCCAAATGGAGCCTGAGTGGTCACTGTGTTGTATGTATTCACCCTTTAATAGAAATTATCAGTAATTAAATTTTAAAAACAAAGATGAGGAACAGTTAACCAAAGAACAGATGACGAAGTCTAATAAATACTTCGATTTTATGATATACTAACCAAACTGTGCCAGCACGAAGCGTTTGAATAGCATGGTTAACTTTGTCGATATCTTTAGTGAATACTGCTGCTGCGAGACCATAGATACTGTGATTTGCTCGTGACATTACTTCATCCATGTCGGAGAACTTCAAAATCTGCTGCACTGGTCCAAAAATCTGTAACCCACAGTTAGCATTGTAAATATTTGTGTTTAAGGCGAGGTGAAATCGACATCGATAAAAAAATCAAAATCATCTTCAAAAAAGGTGTCTTATTTGAGTCGATTAGTTTGAGGCAGATTTCATCTTGTCTTAATTGCTCATCGGAGATAACTGACCTCTTCCTTAGCGATAGTCATCTCATCTTTGACATCGGCGAACACTGTTGGTGCAACGAAGTATCCTTTATCACCAACTCTATGACCTCCTTGAACCAGTTTAGCACCTTGCTCCTTTCCAGACTCAATCATGCTCATGATCTTGTTCAGTTGCTCTTCGTCTATCTGAAATTGCATCGATGACAATGTAGCATCGATTGGTACATATTGATACGAAAGGTAAAAGGAACGATATTAACACCTGTGGCCCCTGTTCCACTTTTTGGTCAAAAGGGTCTCCGACAGTTCGGGATTTGGCACGAGCTGCACTCTTCTCCACAAACTCATCGTAGATTTTGTCTTCTACGAACGTTCGGGATCCTGCACAGCAGCACTGGCCCTGTTAAAAAAAATGACATAGAATTATATAAAAAGATATCAATTTGTCTCAGTATCTGATCGAAAGAAAAAAAGAAAATGGTAATCTGAGCTTAAATTCGATTATTCGGTAAATAAAAATATGTTCCACGAAATTCACCATGTTGAAGAACAATCCGAAGTGAGCCATCTCGACTGCGTAATCGATATCAACGTCCTTAAAAATAATATTAGGAGATTTTCCTCCCAGTTCTAATGTAGTCCTCTTCAGATTGCTCGACGCTGCAGCTTGTTGCACTAGTTTGCCCACTTCAGTTGAACCCGTAAAAGCTACTTTGTCGACTTGCATGTGCGAGGACAACGTAGCTCCTGCATTACCAAATCCAGGCACAACATTGACAACGCCACTTGGAAATCCAGCTTCCTTCGTCAGCTGTGCAAAGTATAATGCTGTCAATGGAGTTTGCTCGGCAGGTTTCAAGATGATTGTGTTCCCTGAAGAATACGAATATTGTATATCTGAAATCTCTCGAGGAACTTAGCAATACTATTCATCGAAGTAAACCTGTTGCCAAAGCGGGGCCCAACTTCCAAGCCATCATTAAAAGAGGGAAGTTCCATGGAATGATTTGTCCGCATACTCCGACAGGCTCGTGTCTCGTATAAGCTATGTACTTCCCATCGATTGGAATCACTTTGCCATGATTTTTATCTGCCCAACCGGCACAATATCTTAATGTGCCTATACTCGAAGCAACATCGAATCCGTAGGCTGTAGAGTAAGGCTTTCCATTGTCAAACGTCTCCAATGACTGAAAATCAATGGTATCAAATACTGTAATTCAAATTCAGTATTCCAATGAAACAATTTGGGATTTTGTGTAAAAATGTGTTTAAAATATTCACCGCAAGGTAGACGCTGTCTCTTTCAAGAAGGTCGGCCAGTTTATTCAATAAGACTCCTCGATGAGATGCATCCATGGTCCTCCATTCGCTATTTATATTGAACGCCTTTCTTGCAGCTTGTACCGCTTGATGTATATCTGCTGCATCTCCTTCCTGAACCTCGGCGATAATTTCGCCAGTTGTTGGATTGACCGAGGGAAAGGTTTTCCCAGACTGCGATTTGTGCCACTCATTGTCTATAAAAATCTGTGGCAAAGAACAAAAATTGACAAATTTTCAAGCAAGGAATAATAGATGGCAAGAAACAATATATTCTTCTTTATCGAACCCTTTATATGTGTACAAGAAAAAAGTTAAACTTACACCCGTGTATAGAATAGGAGGCCTCGTTTCCGGAGTAGGAAGTGCAGCGGTGGCAAAACCGCGAGAATGCTTCAGTTTAGTCAATAATCTAAACATGATTCTGCGTAACTCGTTACAGCGAAGTCAAACAACTTAAAATTCTCTTTTTTTACGAGCTGAAAATATCGATTACAATTATTTATATAATTCCGTGTTTATCCAGACACGTTTTCTACATACCTTTACTTGAATATTTCTTATAAACTCTACTATAAAAAAGCACGTGTCAATTAAATTCCTTATTCTTGATTTTCAGATGGATTTGGGTGATTATGTTTTCTTTAAAAATTACAGCGTTTTCTTTGTGCGACCCGTAAAAAACTACTTCGTTCCGTAAGCTTCGCCTCCAGTCGAATGACCTTAACCTTTTTGAGAGAGGACTTGAATTCTGTCCTTCAGATAACCTAACTTAACCTAACCTTATCGGGCGACACGTAACTTCTGAAAATTCAAGCAATAATAAATCGATAAAAATCTACAAGAAAATCCAGGAATTATGTACAGTAACTGTACCGAGTTAATGATATCGCAAGCAATTAAATAAAATGTAATCCCGCCCGAGATTGAATAATTAGTTATTTCCTTCCGTTGGCTCAACATTTACACCGAGTCGGCTAAAAAGTCTTGCAATGCTAACGCCTCGTGTTTAAGTGTATTTGTATTCATTTAATTACAACTTCAGTCAATATCCTTCATTTATCAATTATTCACCTACAATTTGAGGAAGTCATTACATACATGATAGAGATGAGCACATCTCTGATGATAGTTACCTTAACCAGTCAGTAAAGAAGTCATATGTGCCATGTCACTTTTGTATTTAACACAGGTAGGTTTTTTTCAGTATTATCTGTTTATATAACTGCTATTGGTTAACGTATCATGCCTCCTTGCTTTTAAATAAGAACTGTGACAATGTATATAACTGTGATACCTATGAATCATATACATACATTAAATGTGACCATGCAACAAGCATATATATTATCACCTACATAAATAATGTATATTAAATTGTTGATAACAAAATACTAGAAGCACGACGCTCATCAATTAACATTTCATAACTACATAATTATAGCATAATGTATTAGATTAGTCGAATCAGGTAGAGCATGACACGTTACCAACTAAGATTTTTTTGAGAATCAGAATATAACTGAAAGTCGTGTGTCGCTATCCAGCGCATAAATTAAACCTTGACATCAGACCTAGTCCGAATCACGTGTACTTCCTTTTGATGTTGGACTTGCCGAGTTTTTTGTACCGAGTGTGATTCATGTGAGACATCATGGTGTACATTCCAGGGATACACAGTATCAATAGATAGAGCTTCATGAAAGAAGGAAAGTGGAAAGCAAAGTTCCAGGAGTTTGGCAAGGAGACGGTGAACTTTAAGGTCTCTTCGAAGTAAGGTATGTTCCGGAGAACTATGATGCCTTCGCAGAGGAACCCCAGGGGATAAAGGGGCATCCATATGGTGTACCTCAGCCATGTGAGGAAAGGGATCTCCACGTTCAATAGCTGAGTGACATAGTATGGATATCTGACTATCTCGACAGTGCTCCACACAAGGAATATGTAGAAAACGACTGGCTTGGTCTGCATCCGAGGCTCTGCGTCCACCATGAAGAAGAGGATGAAAGCACGGCCTCCGACTTGCAGAAGAGCAATCAGTGCACTGCCTTTTGTGTAACCGAACAAAGGGTGCATCACTTCCAAAAATTGCAGAAGCAGGATGAACTTCATGGGGTTCCCGATTGCTGCATACGTATCTTTCATGGAATCTGAAATGTATTGTGATTATATCGTATATTAACGTAAACTTCATTTATTATTCATTGGGATTGGGTTTAACGTGTTAATGAAAGTGCCATGATAAATGTATAAACGTATAAAACTTTCATAACACCTTAAATGTATTATGTAAAAAAAATGTACAAACCAGGTCCATCACGTGAGTATCTTATACCCATTACCGCCAAAACATATATAAATCCAACAAACTGGCAAAGATTATAGAGAATCAGGTAGACTTTCTTCAGATCCTCTACAAGGGAAGTAAATGTTTTATAAATGAGACCGTTTTCATATCACCTTAATGTCGTTAATTTTACCATGATGTAAACAAATATATCTAACTCTTCTCTTAACTGTTTGAGTCCCATCGCACTGTTTACATTTCATGTAAAAAAATCTCACTACATTTACCCCTGGGAATCAAACAGTTAATTTAAACAGACAGTTTCTTGACTGTACAAAGTTAAAAGAGATGAATAAGTAACCTTTTCTATATCCAAACTCCTCTTTGTGCAATTTATCATACAAATTGGGATAATCCTGACAGATATCCCGTTTCTCCTCCTCGTCGTCCATGTCCTCGCACTTCCACTTGTCGAAGTCGATCTTTAACCACGGAGGTTTTAACGGAGGGCCCGTCAACCTTGGCCACCAGCCACTGCATTTCTTCTTCAACCTAAAATCGACCTGGCGGTCGATTACCTTATACTCGCTCTCCTGAAAAACGAAGCAATATAAAATCCTGCAAGTATATAGAGAATTACCCTTTCCTATTGTCGTTTAAGATGTCACATACATCAGGATCGACGTTTGAATGAAACTCTAAAGTAAATCCATAAGTATGAACTCCCCTCGCACCTTCACCACGGGCTTCAAAGCGCAGCTTTTTCTGCTCCAAATTAACGCAGAGTACCTGAAGAATAAATCGAATTAGATTAAAGGTAATGTAGGTAACGAAGATACCGGAAATAAATATACAGAATGCTTAACCGGTACCTCGGCGTCCGTTAAATCGACTTTGAGAGTTACTTGATTCTGGGTTTGAGCCCAGTACACGAAAGGAGTGATTTCTTCTGTCATGTTGCTCGACCAGGACAGGCTATCGGCAGTAAAACATTATTCCCTGTGGCTCCCCGCATTCCTAATTAACGCATTATTCTATATAATTCAGGTCTCGGTTAAAAAAGTCCAGCAGAAAGCAAAGGTCGACCGTCAACCCACATCAACCTGTGCACGAATGTGTACACTAGTGTACACGAATGTCATCAACCAGAGATGAGTTGGGAGATTGCTCACGGGCAGGGTCGTGCAATCGCATCCTGTGCTGCCCTCTGGTTTCGTACGTCAGCTTTCACCGTTATTTGCCCCCAAGGGCGGCGCAACGAATTTCTGGTAGGGGCTCGCGCACTCGCAATCACTCGCAATGGCGATACCATCTCCAGTAGCCCTTGACGGCTCGCGCACTCGCGATGGCGATACCATTTACCAGTAGCCCTTGACAGCTCACGTGCTCGTGATGGTAGTACCTCGCGGCTGTTGACGGTGGTCGCTTGCCAACGCTTAACCACACTGCTCGCTTTCGACGGTAAGGGAAGAACATTCGTGGCGCCCGCTTTAACTATACTCTTCACTTACTTTATTTTACAACAAAGTGAAATTTTACCTTCATTAAATTCTACTTCACAGCTAGTTCGCGGATCGGTATCATCCTAATGGGATAACGAATGTTCGATGTCTCATTATGCTAAGCACCAATGAATCGTAATAGATGAATCGGAACTTGTGGTACGTATTAAAACAATTAGCCCTAACTTATTAAGCACCTTTTTACATATGTAATGATATAATTGGACATGCATATAAAAGCTATCAATATCTTAATTATTGATAAACCTCAGACCGCCGCGAGAAGAAAGAAAAAATAACAAGATGAGGAAAAAGAGGTTAAATTTACTTACCTCCGATGAGTCTCGCTGACTTGTTCTTCGATCTTGTCGTTAAGGAGGTTATAAATTAAAAGTCGTAAACAATACGCAAAGGTTCCTCAGCCTTACGGATAACTACTCTTTTGTCTACAGGGTGTTAAACATCTCGAAAACCTGATCATATACATAAGGTAAAGTGACAAATGTATTAAACCTTTATATAAAGTAATTCCGTCGGCATGCATTATTTTCAACGTAGTAATTGAGAAAATAGAAGGAAAACAAAACAAATTCAATGATTATGCGATGCAATAATCACAGGAGTATGTCATACTAAATTTCGATATTCCAGTGCCAGTACTTCAACGGAACAAAATGGGCATTTGTAACCTCTACGAAACATAACAACCTCTTCGATGAGCCATGTGTTATAATTCTCTTGACTTCAAAACCAAAGAGGACAGTTGCGGTTCCACCCCGACAGAATTGCAACGACATACAATTCCAAGCAACACTCGCCAAGTGCTAAAGACGATGTCAACATGAAAACAGGTATGCAAGAGTAGAGGAACAAGTAGTTGTAATGATTTTTCTTTTATAACACATTTTTCATTTCCTGGTAAGTCTACGATTAATTAATAATCAATAACAAGAAAAAAAAAAAAACCTCTCAGTTCGATGCGTGTGTCTACAGTAATTATTAAAAGGTACAATTAGCAAATTACTATGTTGTGTATTCCACTTTGTGTAATAATAGATAATAATATAATCGTAATATCTCTCTCTTTTCTTTTCTCTCTGTATCTTCTTCGTCCCTAGTTAATTTTAGCGCGTGCTCTCTCTCTCTCTCTCGTTCTCATTTCTACAAACATACGATATTTAATATTTTACGATTTGCTCTATATATCCACTCGGGATTATCAATCGTTAATCCTATATTTATATCGTTATAACTGAATACTAAAAATACAAATGTTTCGCAGGTTGGAGCTGGGAGGGGAGGACGCGTCCCAATTTCGAGACGAATTTCGCCCCTCTTGAGACGCACCTTGGCCAGGCTTCGTATAAAGATTTATAGGTTAGCCGGCCGGAAAAGAATTAAGGGGCTACCAGAGAAAGAGAGAAGAACGGTCACCGCGACACGACCCACGACATTCCTGCTTTATTTCCCTCCACTTGCCAGAGAGACTGCATGCTGATCTAACCATGGAGATAAAAGAATGGAAAAAGGCAGTTTTCTCGCTACCCCTCCCTTCCCGTCGCGCAGGCTTCCCCCTAGTCTAAGATGGGATTTTGGGCTCCATCCATGTATTCATACGTCACATCTTTTCTACGGCCACGTGGCGTACAGCAACGGACATTATTGCCTCCCACCAGATGGTGCCCCAGTGCACGGCAGAGTCATTAACGTCCGCCACTGTACAAATAAATCGAACCGCATTCAGTTGAATATCGATCATCGCATAATGGTTTATTATTGTGTGCACATACAGTCGCTCTATGAAAATACTTTGGCAACCCCTTAATCGTGTGAGCACGCTTAAAATCCACTTAGACATAAGGTACTCGTATTTACACACGAAGCTGTCTCTCCTCTTTATATCGTCTATACAATCATGTAAATGTAATATTCAATAATAAAAATGTAACGCAATGCCTAGTCTAACTATCTAAAGTTTAAACGAAATATTTTACACCGAAATTACACAGCTCCTGCCTCTCTCCGTCACCCTCTCTCTCTCGGTCTTCCACATTTGCGCATTATCTCTCTCTCTCTCTTTCACTCTCGCTCGATCCTAACCTCTTAGTAACTGCGTATCACTAGATTTTACATTACACTTCATCCCATCTCGGGGTACGAGCTAAATTAAATGTAATCTTGCGTCTCTCGTTCTTATATATATGTATAAGGTGTCTATGTACAGCTTAATCGCTTCCCACTCGAATATATATATATATATACCTTTAATATATATTTATATATATATATAAAAGACAGGTCTACTATGTACAGCGGTCGGTCGCGATTGAAATAACTTTATCTCCCTACGATCGAAAACAAGCAAAGATTACCTAGGTAAATAATTTATAATTTAATAATTGCCGTCGAATTCGGGGAGGCCTCCTCCGATGGTCCTAGTGTTTCTTAGAAAGCTACCGGTTTTTCATATTCTCAATTATGGACCCTGTATTCTCGTTGGAGGCCTCCCCGAGAGCGCGAGTACCTAACCTAACCTCTCGCGCGCGCGGTCCCGATTATACAAAAAGTATATTCTGACGAATATATAACCTGGTAGCCATCGGACTTCAGTGATAGACATTGACCGCGTCTCCATCGCACTCTAAATCCGGGATTTATCGAGCCCGGACTCAGTAAATCCGAATTTAAGTGTCGACAGAGACGCTCAGGGTAGAATTTGGGAATTCTTTAATGACTACGTCTCCATCGCACTTCTAAATCCGGGATTTATCGAATGCGGACCCAATAAATCCGGATTTAAGTATCGATCGATATTTAAATTCGGATTTACTGGGTCCAGATTCGATAAATCCGAATTTAGGAATGCGATGGGGATGTAGTCAGTGAAGACGCGGTCACCCGGCGAGAGAGAGGTATCTCTCTCTCTTTCTAACCCGCCGCACCTCGCTCTACCCCTCTCTCTCTCTCGCCTTGGCCTTCGAAGCGGAAGCTGGTGAGAGCCGGCCGAACCCTTAGAAAATGCATTTAACCTGCGGAAGGCATCTATGTTCTCCTTTACCGGCGCGTGTAACAAAATAGCGCTTATTTCTCATCCTCTTTCTACTCTTCCGCCCCTTTCGGTGGACAGGGAAACTGAAGTCGCCGACGGAGCGAAGAGTTCAGAAGTTTCCACGAAAAGGCGGTAGGTTCCTCCTTAAATGCTTTACGCTTTTACTAAATTGTTCTGGCTGGCATAACCTCCTAGGAAGGTAACCCCAATTGTGGTTTTCAATTCTTTTTTTTTTCCCGCGCGTTTCTCAATTTTCAATAATACTAGATGCCGGATTACCCTCCTGGGAAGTTTACCCCTCCCCCAATTATGATATTCCTGACCGTTCTTTCCTTTTCCCGTGCGTTTCTCAATTTTCGATAATACAAGAGAATGTATGCTTTTTTTCTAGGATTGTCAGTCATATTCGTGAGCATCGAGGGTCGCCGTATGATCTGAATTTTCATGGAAACCTCTGAATCCTAGACTTACAGAGGCGGCGTTTTCTCTTCGCGGGGCGAAACGCCTGCAGCTCCTCCTTGCGGAGTCGCCGCGAACCGTCAACTTAGTCGGAAGTAACGCTCGACACTTGTTTCCCCGAAGTTGACGGTTCTAGAAGACTTTATCTCTTTTTCAAGGTGCAACAGCCTTGTTTCACACGTACCAAGTAAAACTGCATATCAAGTTACGCCTTCTAATCGGACACTAGCGCCATCATACCCCCAAGCAAGGAATTAAAATCCTTCACTGTACAGTGCAGGGCATAAATGCCTTCTCATTGCACGCTAGCGCCACCATACTCCCAAGCAAGGAATGAGCCTCCTCCACTGTACAGTAACGGACATAAACTCCTAACCTATCATCTTATAGTCGCCAATTAACGCTGGAGCTGCATTAACGTCCCTTAACAAAATATCAGCATAACCACATCCTACATATAAAGAATCGACTAACAATATACACACGAATCCGTCAATTTCCCGATACCATTGAAGAGAACTCTCGACACGACCTAAACTAATCGCACATATAGATAGGAAAACTCGCGTAAAGTCGTCGAAGACGTGTGAATCAAGGCTGAGGCTATTCCGCCCGGAAATTCGAATTCGGATGTCGTTCAATCGATCAAGATGGCTACTGAAAAGGCTCTCTCTCTCTCTCTCTCTCTCTCACTCCCCCTATATAATATGTACATATATTTATACAATATAAAACTAGATTATCTGCTCACGAGAAAACAATGTCTCATTGAAATACACACATATACGTCGGGATATATGCATATATTTAGCGGTGTGAAAACGATGCCGAGGAAGATATTTAAAAAGGTATCTCTATAATAATTACACGACCACGAGAAGAGGGAGGGGGGAGGAGGAGGAGGAGGGGGTATCGATTAATGATAATGGCGAATATCTCACGTTCCCCGCGATTACGAATCTAAATTCGATAAAAATTTAAACATTTCCCGATGTATGTACAATGGGTGCTCGTAAGTGTTCCTGTGTGCTCGTGCCCAGTGTATCTTATGTACGTGTGTAAGTGTCCGTGTCCTCCGTATCTTTACAAGGAATTATTTACAAAATATATTCATCCATATATTACCTATCAAATTAACCGTCGCGCGTTTATAATCGTCCGTTTTCTCACCCGCGATTAATTATTACTACTGCCGCCTTCTCGTACACATCCTAGCCCCGACGTTTCCGCGTTATTATTTTATATAAATAAAATAAATCCTTTTTAGTGTCCCTCTGCCTGTATTGAACGCCCGAGGCGGCGCCTCCACCGACGGACTCCGTTCAATGATTAGAGATAAGGGGCATCGCATGATAATGAAGGTGAGGTGGCGCGAAATCCCGTCAATTATTCCCGACTTACGCGCGAAGACTCGTGTAGAAATATCTAAAACGTGAACACTGGTATGCGGAGTCCAAATTAAAACCCCTTGAGCGCGGAGCCATCTCGACGTAAGGGCGAAATTCCTCCGACCGTGCAGGCAATATTCGACCAAACGTCGGGCGATCTTAGTAGCCAAAGGGTGACACGAAAGGGACGCTCCACGTACATGAAACGTCAGAATATTCATATTTATAATATTACTGATTGCGGAGGCCCTAAAGAAGAACGCGATGCTCGTGAAATTTGATTTTTCACGAAATACATTTGATCTTGGTTCTAGTCTAGGATAAATAAAAAATTCTTAAAAAAAAATGAAGAAAAATAGGACCTCCACGTGGAAAGGTCATTCCTACGGCTTGCGCGATGGGTATTTACAAGGTAACAAAGGTTGGAGAGGGTCGCCACGGTGGGGGGAAACAAAAAAATAATAATAATAAAAAAGCGGAGAAATAAATAAACGAATCTCAAATAAACGCGAGATATTAAAAACGGAGTCGATCGGTGGGGGCGCCGTCGGGGCAGCCACCCAAGCCCGCGAGCTAATAAAATTTCTTTACGAGAGAAAACGTACAGTCAATATACAATATACATACACACATCACACAATATGTGTGTACGTGTGTATATATATTTTTTTTACGGCAGTACAGTCAGATTCAAACGTGACGTGTCGACATTGAGCTTCCCTTTACCACCTAGAGGACACCTCGTTGAAAGTAATCGTAAGAAGCGCTGACTAAACCCTCGAGAGAAAACGGCGTTACACGATTACGAATTCCCCTAGTCTCGTCGTTATTGCAAAGGTTCTATGTCCGCCGACAACTAAAGTGCCCTCGCTGGTCGATGTCTTAACAAAGGCGACACCTATTTACACCTAGTCCATATTTTATACAGGTCGGCGTTCCCGGAGTCCTCGTGCGTTATTGCGAAGTCATCGAGCGACTTGTATAAGGAGCACATAACTAGTTCCACGTTAACCCTAAAAAGTATCGAAAGAAAGAGGAGGGGAAAAAAGAAACGAACTAGCCCGTCTACGGCCTCGGCAAAGGAAAACGATCGATATAAACGGCTATTAAACAATGGTAAATGAAACGTTAATCGGGCCGACTCGGCGGCTTCGAATCTACCTTATCGAGCTACTCGAAGGGCACCTCCGAGTACCTCCACACTATTGTTCTAGAGTGCAGTGGCACGGAAAGGCTGGATCATTAGTTAACACTCGTTAGTATCGATTCGACAAATCCTAAGGGACAACTTCCAAAGTGGCTCGGCGTGGCAGCTCTTCAAGGCACTGTTAATTAATAAATTTCAATTCTTCCTCGAAGATTCTGCATTATTTTCTCATATGCCCGATACAGATTTTACTAAATTTTCGTATTTAATGGTTTACGGTGAAGTAATCGGGGCATTCTAATTGAAGGGCTTCTCATCGAGGTATTGGCAGATTTCCTTAATTTCTGTTCTTCGACAATTTCCATTAAAACCATACTCGTAGTATATCGATTAGTATCTCTTCAAGGTATCGACAAATCTCCCTCGAATGCCCTGAGCTTCCTCATCGATCCGAACCACGCACCACTAATTTTAGATCTTCGTTAATATCCATCGATAGGTCTCCGCAGCATCCCAATTAAAAGGGCTCTTCTCGAAGGCGATGGTAAAAAGCATTATGATCCACAGTTTCCACTGCCACTGCACCCGGCGATTACTTATACATCAATCTTGTGCGCAATCGACACATACGGATTCACCAGGTGGGGTCCAGCCACACGGCGATCGAATAAACACCGACAAGAGACAGACAATCAGACAGGTAGGCCTTGACTAGCGACGGTAGCTAATCGCTGTCAAGGTCGCTTCCCGAAGGTCATTTGGTTTCTCGGGATATTCGCCTCCGTTTTGCCTGCTCCGCAGTCTCGGCCGTCACTAAAACAACGTTCTCGTTGTACGAGGTGTCTAGAAATTACAGCAGAATCTAGGTACACGAGTAGTCTAGGTTAGGTTCTAGCGTCAGTCGGGATCACGACCGTACACCGCCGGACATAAAAGCCTTCCGTCCCGATATGACGTCCCCAGGGTGCATTCTTCCCTCCTTACATAACCCCATATTTACAGAAGGCATTTAATGTCCGACACTGTACAGGTCCGCAAACCCCTACGATAAAGGGCGATCAATTCTCGTGGACAATTTTCACGAAACTTTTCGCCACCAGAGTCGCTGCGGTAAGGTTAGGTCAGTGTACTGATCCATATACTAATTGGATAGCTGATGCCCATCAAGAAACCCGATAGAGCTTCGCACGAAACACATTTAAAAGCATGCAATTACGGTGATATGAAAGAGTCAGCCTATACATATTTGAGAAGTCAAATAGTAGGTTAAAGTATTCTCCGAGTAAGGTATACACTGGGAGACATCAATGCCCTCCCATCCTGCACAGGCGATGCCGCGGACTGTAAAAGACTTTGCCGTATCGCAGCGCCTCGTGGTGGTAGCTTTAGGAATGAAAGGTGGCGACGAAACTAAATCGCCCCCACCGTGAAAATTTGCCAGAGTATCCAGACCTGTATATCTGTATCTAAGAGGTGAACAGCCTCAAGGTCATATGAAAGTCAATGCATTTAATTTACCGGAAAGAAAACCGAAAAAAAATCGCCGGTTTTAACCGATTTAGGCGGCAGAAACCAGCAAATATGGTTTAAACCGGTTGAGCTGGGCTTTTTGTAAAAGAGGAAAAGAACAAACGGATTTATGTCAACCCTTTCAAGGGACTCAAAGTTGCCTAACCTCTACGGTACAGATATACGACCGTGGTCGGGAGTGCCGACGACGTCCTTGCGTTAAAGTTATACGAAGGAAGGCCTCTCTCACGTACCAGCTCCGCTGCGAGTTTTCCTCCGGTTGACGTCGTCGGCCGACCTGGAGGCGCCCCTCGTGTTACCGGCCGGCGTGGCCAGCGGGGACGCCGTGCTCTGTCGCACCGACCGGCGCGTCGTCACCTCGGCCGGCGTCTCGCCAGCCGGTGCGCTCGTCCCACGGAGCCGCTCCTTCCCGGCCGCCATCGTCGTCCCCGCGCTCGGCTGTTTCGTCGTCAGCAGCCGGCTCTCTCGCTGCACCCGGTTAGCCACGCCGAAGCTGGACACGTTGTTGGAATTAGCCTGCCCACCCTGGATCGCCGTACTCGAGTTCGTCCTGGAAGCGTGGCAGTCTCATTAGGCATATATTAATTATAACCCTGACCCTGGTCAAAGAATTCAGGGCTCCCAGAGAAGGCCAGACCCTGTGTTAGCGCTTGATGCTCTAAAAGTTGGCTAACAAACCGGAAGTGGGGGTTAAAGAGAGATCCCACGTGTTAGTCAATGATATCTCGAGACGCGCCAGGTTGCGTTACTATTAGAAATGACGTTACCACCAAAAAGGGTACGGATGAATTTTAATTCCTCGACGTCGATTAAATTTCCCAGCGCCTTTCATATCTTAAGAACTGCCAGTAAAGAGGTGCAGCTTTCTATCTTAGAAACTACTGCAGCGCCGCTCGGGGCGAATTAAACGGTAGCGACTCCACCCTCGGTACTCACTTTTGATCTTTGGGTTTAGGAGAAGCGGCGGAAACTTCGTCGGACATTCTCATCCTGGACTTCCCTGCAATTTCGATCAAGGGCTCGTCGTCGGACGAATCCACTTCCACGAGAATCGGTCCTGAAACGTCGAATAAGAGGTTAAGATATATTCGCTCCGACGCCACCCGAGAAACTGTGCAAAGGAAGAAGGAACGACAAAACGGTTTTAAGAACGATCCGCGACCTCGAAAACGATCCGCTCTTCTGGCTTTGCGTTTACGGCCTGGAACTGTTGGACAACGAAGATTTAGTCTAGGAAAACACTTTAAAGGCTGTTTTTAAGTACCTTGGGTCGTAGTCACAGCTATCCCCGGAGATCGTAACGAGACTAAACTTCTAGATACACAGATATGTATATATACACATATACAAGATGTTCCATAATTTATCGAACAGCTTTTTTTTCCCGGTTCCAATAACCTCGGTTAAATCATCGGTTACCTAACCGCAGGTTAGAGTTAACGTCTAAGTTAATCATGGGTAAAAACATAAATGTTCCATCAGATTTATTTAGAGCGCGGTTAAATCATCGATTACCTAACCGTAGGTTAACGTGCTACTCGTTCTAACCGAGGATCGTGTAACCGGGCGTTAGAGTTAGATCCTGAAGAGTTTGACCCCGGAGCTCGGCGTTACCGGTGGACGGTTCGGTCGTTAGGAGGGAACGGAGGCGTTAGCCGAACGTTCTAGAAAAGAAGGTAGAGGATAGACACCTTTCTTGGCCTTGGCCAAAATGTTGAACCCCTTCTTGGAGTGTTCCTCCTTGCCAGGTACTTGTTTCTTAATAGGACCGGTCTCCTCTACGCCCATGCAAGCCTTAATAAGTTCTGCGGCGTTCTCCGAGCATTTCCGTTTACCTGGCCTAGGCTGTGCTTCGTCGGCCGTGCTCGACGCAACGGAGCTCTCGCTCTCCTGCCTTTTTCGCTTGGCCGCTTTCATGGACGTCGTGTTAGGCGACAACTTGGCGAGCCCCAGCTTGGGGCTCGCCTTAGCGTACGGTGATATGCTGCGCCGTTCTTCCAGCTTGTTAGGGCCATGAGGGCTGCTCTTCGGGGTCTTCGCGATGTCGGGGCTGTTAAGCTTCTGCGACCTCGTCCTCAAGGAGCGCTTCTCGTTCGCGTCGTTGGGGATCTCGATGAGCAACTGCTCGAGCAACGACTTGGCGGGCCGCTTGGCGTACTCGTCGGCACTGTTGGCGTTCAACCTCTCGACGAAGTGGCCCTCCTCGTTGTCCTCGATGCAGATAACGTCCTGGCGCCCCTCCAGCTCCTGCTTCCTCCTGCGCTTCCTCTTGGCGTGCTCGGCCTCGTTGGCTTCGACCTCCGGGTTCTGGGCGGCAGGACTCGGCGACTCGTCCCGCTGCAGCACCACCGGGTTCGAGTACGTGTACAACGGCGGAGTGATCCTGATAGGCTGAGGATCCTCCCCGAGGGGAGAGCTAGCCTCGCTGGCCTCGCTCGCCAGCTTCTTCACCAGGTCCTCGCCGACCTTCTGCGGGCTAGCCGAGACTCGCTGAAGAGGCTGCACCAGGGTGGCCTTCTGCAGGGTCTTCGGCTCCGCCTGCCTCGTGTCGTCCACCTGAACCGAGGGCTTGACCTCCACCTTCGCCGAGGGATCTTCCTCCGGTTTCTCGGGCTTCGCCTTGAACCTCAGGTGGTTCTGGTTCTCTTTAGTCTCGGACCTGTCGCCCTCTCTCGGGGGTATCGTCTCGCGTTCGTCCTTGTCCTGGGGTTTGCTCTCTTCCGGCTTACCCTGCTCGATGGGGCAGTCTTCCTGCTTGATGTAAGCGTCCTTGCGAGGGAAGTCTCTCCCAGGGGTGGAGGCGCACTGCAGGAGCTTCTCCGCGTCTACCGTCGTCGAGGCGTTGCTCAGGGAAGGCGTCACGGTGGGAGTGCCGGCCACCAGAGGGCTAGGTTGGCTCTTCATCTGGCTCTTCAGCTGGCTCTTCAGTTGACTCTTCAGCTCTCCTTCCGACTCCTTCTCAGGTTTCGCCTCTCCTGGGGCCTCGGCCTGGTGGTTCTCCAGGCTCACATGGTTCTCCAGGTATGCCGATACCGCGGAGGGGCTCAGCCGGTCCGTCTCCGACTTCCTCAGCTCCGACCTCGAACTCGGGCACATGTCGCCGCTGATCGCGGAGGAAGGCACGTTCTTCTCGACCGGTTGCTGAGGAGGAGGCTCGTTCTTCCCGGCACCCTGGCTCGGAGGCACCGATTCCGCCGCCGGCCTGTGCAGAGGGGACTCGCCCTGGTTCGGCGACTTCTCCGAGAGCGCGTCCATGGACTCGATCCCCGAGTCCTCGCCTCCTCCCCCACTCCCACCTCCACCTCCTCCTCCACCTCCGGCGCCGTTTCCGACCCTCGACTCCGAGGAAGCGTCCACCGCTCCCATCCCCATCGGCACCGTCGTGTTCTCCAGCAGCTTTTGCTTAACCTTCGCCTCCGTCACGTTGATCTCCCCTATGGGGAGGCTCGGCTTGTTCGTCTGCAGTTCGATCGCCTGCACCCTGGCCACCTGCTCGTGGGCGCTCTTCAGCAGGCTCACTCTGGCCGCGTCCAGCTTCCCCGTAGCCGCCATCCGCTCCACCTGCTTCATCACGTGGTTCTGAACAACCTTTTTGTGCACCTGGTGGTCCACCTTGTGCCTCGCCATCGCGTTCGTTCCCTCGGTCTTCCCCAGAGCGTGGTTCTTCAGCTTCTGACCGACACCCTGCACCTTCGCCGAGGAGTTCGCCTTGCAGACCTCCGGGTCTGGCTTTGTCTTCGATGCGGTCAGACGGTTTAACGGTTGCTGAGTGTTCTTGGACGCGATCTCGCCGTGGAGTTGGGGCTTGCTGTCCAGGGCGCAGGGTGGTTGGGTCGTCGTCTGCGAGGTGGGGTTCCCGCTCTTCGGGGTTGGTGTCTCGTTCTCGAAAGTGGAGTTCGTCGTTGAGTTCGACGTCACCTTCGGGACCGGCGTCGCGTTCTGCACCGCGTTCTCCAGCGTCTTGTGGCCGTGCAGATGCGGCGCCTCCGGGTTTTGAGATTCTAGAAGAAATGCCGAGACGTGAGGGATCATCGTGTACCATGTTTTACGCTTCTTGGGGGCTTAGAATCGAAAATGAAGAGTTTCAGAACCTAGCTCGAACAATTTAGAATACCGTAGAATTAGAATATTACAGAGTCAGACGAGAAAATATGGAGAATTCTTTCAAAAACGATTGCAAGGGAATACTGGCTTGCCTTGGGGCTAACGCGTGTTCTTAGAGGAAAAAATTTAGTTCCAGCTAAACATCACAGATGGCGCCGTTAGTTCGTCAGAATATAAAAAGTCACGAATTCACGGGATTTCGACAGTTTAACATCGATCTCTTTATCATTGCTTTACGGAAACGACATATGGAAACCTATTCGCACCTGCCGGGTGGAGGTCCTTCTCGTCGATGAGGCTCAGCCGCCTCCTCTTCTCCTGGCTGACCAGGTCCTTCCTGACGCCGTTGACTTCCGTCAGCCGCGACGCCACCGCCAAGACGCTCGCCTTCTCGGCGACGCCCCGGCTGACGTCGCTGTCGCTGGTCCTCCGGATCTCGCCGACCTTCTTGACTACGCTGACGTCGTTCCCGGCGAGCAGCGCCTCCGCCGTCTTCTTCGTCGCCGGACCCGTGTCGGCCTTGCATCCGAATTTCCTCCACTTGACCTGGTTGTCCAGCATCCTGCCACCGCTCAGCAAGTTCTGCTCTCGGTGCAGACCCTCGCCTGAATCAACCTTTTTCTTTGAGTCTCTTCTCTTAGTCTTTCCTGTTGGGGGGACAAGTCACGTTTAGTCGTTTCCGAGCGGAAGAACAAGGAATAACAAAAGAGAAAATAATAAATATGGAACAAGACCGATACCCAAGTACGCAAGATCAAGACTTGGGTATGCAAGATCAAGACTTGGGTGTGCAAGATCAAGACTAAATCATGAAACACCAAGACTTGACCGTGCAAGACCAAGCCCCAGGTATGCAAGATCAAGACAAGATCATGAACACCAAGACTCAAGTCTCGACCGTCCAGATCCAAGCCTCGATCGTGGAAAACTCAAGACTAAGATCAAGAGAATCCCGATCTTGTTCTTGCACCCGCTCATAACCAGCACTCGGTACTCTCCTGCTCCTCCGCTTACCGCCGCCGATTTTGTGTTCGCTCGTGTGGTTCTGCACGTCGGTCTCCAGTTGTCCCCTATTAAGTGCAGGTTGCACATTCGCCTGGGTGAGCAGATTGGTCTTGTGTTTAAGAGGCGACGGTATCCTACTATTCAGGGGTATATCGTCGACGTCGCCGCTCTTGCTGGAGCTGGGCTTGGCGCCGCCAGGTGGCAGCCTGGCAGTATCTAACGGTACGTCTTGTTTTAAGGCATTGGGCTTGGTCACAACATTCTGAAGCGTATTGTTCATCTTGGCGACGGCGGTGGCGCTGTTGACCATCGCGGAGTTGGATAAAGGCAACTTGGAGGCGGACGGGCTGCCGATGATCATGCTGAGGGAGGACTTCTTCTGTAGTAGCTTGTTCCCATCGGTGCACTCCTTCATCTTCTTGAGCTTGCCGCGCCTCTTGACGCCGATGGCGTCCGCCTCGGCCTCCTTCAGGGACTTCTTCTCCTTCTTCCTGATCTGTACAACGGCAGCATTGGGTCCCCTCAGGGAGATATGCAAAGGCGGCACCCTAGGTTCATCGGCAGCCCCCGCGGAGTTGGGCACGCCCTGGAACATCTTGCCTACGCCCTTGTCAGCCTTCCTGACGGGCGGCGCGTTGACGAAGGATACGTCGACCTTGTACGCCGGGGTGACGGGCTCGCTCTTCTCCAGCTTCAACCTGAGCTTGATCTTCTCCCCAGGCATGGGACTATGAGCAGCCTCCCTGCTGGACTTCAGCCTCCCGTGCTTCAGGCTTCCCTCGCTGGCGGTCGACTTTACCGTCGTCTCCGAGTCCGACTGGTCGGTGTTGGTGGTGGTGTCGTTCCTCCTGGAGAAGTTGCTGTCCGCGTCGTCGTCGGAGAAGATCGAGTTGGATCGGTCGTTCGACGGGGATGGAAAGGAGAAGAAGTCGTCCTGATTGTCGACCGCGCTCTCGGGCTCGGAGTCGGAGCTCTCGCTGGGCATTGGCTCCAGGTGTCCCGTCAGCGGGTTTATCAGAAACTGCCTGATCTTCCCGGTGGAGGTGTACTCCGGCTCGGGGGGCTCCTCCTCCTGCGGCTTCGGGGACTGCGGGGCCTCCGGGGCCGAGGATACGTGGTTAACACGCGGAAAGGCACCTGGTGACTGGCTCTGGACCGCCACGCGCTGCACGGTGTTGACCTGGGCACCCTGGGGGATGCCCCCGGTCCATGTGGTCGGCCCGTTTGCGCTGGCCGCCGCCGCCGCGGCCGGGTAGTTTCTGCTCAGGATGTTCTGGCTCTGGCCGTACCGGAAGTCGGTCGAGGCTCCGGGACTGACGTTCGTGTTCTTCGGCTGGTTGTGGTGCAGCTGGTGCTGCACGTTCAGGCTCTGGTTCGGCTGCTGTAGATGAGGCCCCGCTTGCCTGGGATACGGCGGCGGGGTCTGCTGCTGCCTCTGGCCCAGGAACCCCAGTCTCTGTTGGGCCACGCCGGGGCCCATGACCTGCTGTTGCGACCCCAGGGGCGCGCACTGCAGAGAGCCCCCAGGACTCGCCTGCTCGAGCAGCGCCGGTTGCGCCGCTGCCTGCTGCTGCATCAGCTGGCCTCCGACTCCCTGCTGCTGTTGCTGCTGCTGCTGGGCCAGGATCTGGTGCTGCTGCTGCATCAGCAGCTGCTGCCGCTGCTGCAGCGGCGTCCTGATCTGCTGGCCGTTCACCGGATGCCTGGCCGCCAGCTGGCTCTGCATCTGCACCTGCGGCCGGTACGCCAGCTCCTGCCTGATGCGCAGCTTCTGCTGTATTTGTACTTGAGAGTGCAGCGCCGACGCCTGCTGGTTATGCTGCTGCACCTGCCCTGGCAGCTGGTGCACCGCCTGGACGCTCGGTACCGCGGCCGCCTGCGGCACCGTCGACTGCTGGTTCACATTGACGGTAACGAAGGCCGAGGGCCCCGAGCTCTGCAGGTCCCCGGAGACGACACCGGTGGCCCCGCCGATCAGGTCCTCCGTCCTGAGGCCCTCCAGGCCCGGCGGCGACTCGCTCGGCGAGGTCGGGTCTTTCCTCCGGACGGTAGGCTTCTTCGTCGGCCTCATGCGACCTGCGAGCCCCGCCCCGTCGACCACCGCCGGTGGCAGCATCTTCTGGCCCGGCAGCACGTTGTTCGGGTGGGCGCCCCCGTCGTTCTGCAGCAGGTTCACCAGCAGCGGACTAGAGAGGGCCACCTGGTTGCCGTTGCCGCCGTTGCCCGGCGACAGACTAGAAGCCACCGCGTTCGGGGCCTTGTACTGGCTCCCCAGCTGCCCGACCCCCGATGCCGACGCCGTCGTCGTCGTCTGCCCCGTCGTTAGCGATGTCCCCGTCGACAGGCCGTCCTGGGCTGGATATGGTGGCGGCGGCTGCGTGTGGATGTGTTTGAATTGCACTGTGTTCTTAATCGTACTCGCTTGCGACTCGCGGCTGTGGATCGCCTGCGCCGCGTGCGTCATGCTCGCGAACGGGAATGGACCATTGTAGTTGTTCCTGGCCGCCGCGCCAGGTGTCGCCGTAGGCTGGCCCCCCGGAATCGAGACGCCCACGCTACCTGGCGCCGATTGGACCGACTTCGGGAGGAACGCCGGGATGGGATCACAGTCTGCTGGCGCTACCACGTTCGGCGAGCGGAACTGGGGCGCCTTCTCCGAGGAGGTACCTGGAACCGAAAATGTTGGCCGTCAGAGGACTCGAGATGGCGCGAAAGGTGCCGAGACATTTCATCGATATTTTGCAATTAAGGTACTGGTAAGGTAAGGTAATGATGCACAGAATGTGATATTTTTACCGCGATGAAAACTCGTCTACTTACCGGCTACGATAATTTGAGCGACGTTTCGCAGCGTCGACGAGATACTCGAGGCGCTGCTGGGGCCGGGTACAGCACTTATAGAGTCATCGCTGTTGCTGGACGCACCATTGGTAGAGTCGCCCTGAGACTTATTTCCGCCGTCTTGAGAAGGACCCGAACGTAAAACGATTTCCTGCGCTTCCCCGCCGAACCGACTGGCTATCCTTAACGATATGACCTGTAAGATAAGGAAACAATGGATATTCTCAAGTTATTATTTTTTTTTATAAAAAATGAATTTTTACGAGCGTCAAAACTTTCATTATAGCCTCCATATTCGCATTGTAAAGTTTGAAACGATTCGATACATCCAGTTCATATCATTTTACCAACAAAAAAAAAATACTGCTTCGAAACTGTTTGGTTTTGGTTCTGCGTAGTTCATAATTTGCTTTTTATAACATAACACGCTTAAACTGTATTTAAATGTTTAATTTCTTTCCTGCATCTGTTTGAAAAAAAAAAAAAATAGATAGTTTCGACACAATCAATAGGAATCAGTCCCCATAAAGTAGTCATCTACCGTTAGGAATAATTCTTGGAACATGCATCGGTTACCTGATCTCCTTCGACCTGGACCGAAAGAATACCAAGCTGTGTAAGTGTCGGTGAGCCCTGAGCTGCCAACTCCCTCAACCTCAAGGCAGCTTCTCTGGGGATTGAGAATGTCACGCGTACAGAGTTCCATGGTTCTACCTTGTTCACCCTCAATCCGTCTCCCTTATCTGTAAGAGAAGTGACGATGAGTGTCTTTCCCAAAAATCACCTCGACAAATGCCATTGGCTACTGAGAAAACATTTTAAAGCGAAGTAGGATATGAGATTTGCAAACCTTTGCAGAGAAGGGATTCCAGGCGGTCCACTATGATCTTAAATTTATGTGGGAACTCTGGATCTCTGAGATCTCCTTCGCACGTAACCACCGTCTCAATCAGATCACCATCGCTATCTGCCGCCATGACTGTGACACGTAACGTTTCACGTTAACCAGTGCATCGATATGGATAATCTATTAAAAAAACTCCAAAAGTTCATTAAAACTAAGACTTGAATATATTTATCATGTATGTATAAAATGTCATATCTAATTACTCTTCAGATAATTAATATCGTAACAAAGGATAAAAGAAATAGGAAATTCAGGTTTAATTGGACCTCAAAGAAGGCATGAAGGTTAAAATATTAGGAAATCATTATGCATTATTAAGCGCTACAGTTGGCTTACGTTGAGATGTCACGTTTTTATGTATTACTGTAATTATACTTTGCTTACCAATCATCAATCACATAACTACCCAGGTAGCCTGGGGACGTCTCAGGGTATCACTGCGCACTCTGGCTGTAGAGATGTCTGTCCGTCGGCACCAGACCGACAGCCCTAGACCACTCCAGCGCCGTTCGCCTAATACTCCTGTTTACTGTATCAGAAAAAAAAAAAAAAATTAATTTTTACATACTTTCACAATCAAAACAAAAAAATCAATTTCCCCTAATCATTATCACTCATGTATCATTTTTTTTCACTGTTTACCACTCTGAACTAACCATCTCGACCACCTTATAATAAACAACATCTAAACAAGCCTTTGACTTTACAAAGACCCGAAAACGCTTCACAGAATTGAATTCTCTGAAATTATATTAACGATCAAAGCTACCATTACAGCGCTTTTGATCAACGCTATCCATATCGCAGTGGTTTCATTGATACGGTAGAACCTGCTACAATCCATAGGTACATTGGATAATGAAAACCGAATCTCCAAAAACAAAGCAACGCCCTGGAACCATACTAGGTTATAGTTTGTCAACAACAGCACCACCGAACAATGCGAGCCATATCGTATCCTATCGCAGTGTAATGGTCAGTCTCTCGGACCAGCTCTCAGCAGTTGGGAGGTGCATCGGATGTTGAAAACAGGCTCTCCAAGGAATAGAATAGATAAAAGACACAGTGCATAAACACAAAGTGATGCTAGGCAACTATACTAGGTTATAGTTTGATTACAATTTCTCGGTAATTACATAATTTCTCTGGTCCGACTCCGCGCTCGCGGGTCTCGGCCGGCGGAAATAAGCGTCGATATTGGAAATAATCTAAATAAGCTAAAGAAGAGCGGCGAATTAGACCATTATTCGGGTTGAATGAAAATCTTTCGGGCCAGAGTGGACGGGGGCTCGATTTCCGTAGGCGGGAGCGGGGCCGGGGCGGGGGGTCATGAAAAATAGGTTATAGGCCGGATTTTTGGGCCGCCGAGGAAGCCGGAATCGCCTCAACTACGAGGACTCGGGGATTTCGGGGGCGAAACGAGTGATCGCGACTCGCGGCGGCTCGGTTTTCGGGGAAGTAGGGAAGGCAGACCGTCGGATATCGGGGGGCCACCATTTTGTCCGTCGGGGGAGGTGTACGTGAAGTGGGCTCAAGCATGCTCAAGATAGCCCGTCAAAACTCGGAAAATGTCCGTTCTCCCGGGTCCCCGGGGCCCCGAAAATCCCGCGGCCCCGTCGTAGAGGACTCTCGGCAAGCGCGGAACCCCTCGGGGCCGGCGAACGGCCCTCCGCTCCTTTCCGCCGAGCCATTCGATACCGTATGAAACACAGGAAAATTTTAACGTTACCCCATTTCTTTCCGAAGTTCGTACGGGACCTCTCGCGTCCGAATCCCACGGAGACACGCCACCAGGCCACTTCTCTTAACCTAAGACACACCAAGCGCGAGGGTTACTCCACTCTGTGCACACGGCGCGCGGCGGGCATCGCGAAAAAACTCGACATAATCGGCAATATAAAGGGACAAGTCATAAAACGCCATGAACAATAACAAGGAGCCGCCATTTGCAATGCGACCAACTGACATGCGCAAATCAATCGCGCGCGGCACTATGGGTAATCCCGAGGCGCCATCTTGCCAATCGTTCAAACATCGAACTGACCTAACCTCAATGTCCGATCGGAGCGCGCCTTTTCCACTCGGTTTTATTCACGGGATATGCGATAATGCCACTACGAGGCGACTTGTAGACTTTAATTTTAGAGACCTGAGAGAATTAATTGTTCGGGCTTCGGCCTGGAGGTTTCTAGGGACCGCTAGGGAATCCTAGGGACTGTCGCTAGCCGACCGAGTAGAGACGGCATAATTTAGTCCGTGCTTCTGTGATCGCCAATTGTATCTTAAATACGCTTTGTATGCTGCGCCTAGTTTATTTCTCCTCTATGAACTGAGACGGCAATTTTTCTCCCAGGAAGTATTTAAACAGGATTTTAATTGTATTAACTGCAACGGTAGAGATGTAATATTTCAAATATCTCTAATAAACGTGATGAAAAGTAATGGATGGAAGGGGCAATTTATTCACGAACATGAGAGCTTCGATGTGATAACATTACGTTACCATCTGGCTTAACTCTTAATTTCCATGTCATAATTTGTAATAAAGCTAACCAAGATTGTGAAATTATAATGTACACGACGTGACATCTACATAAAATCATACATATTTAATTCAAAAGTACGAATGCTCGCAGGACAATGTAATTAAACGTAACAAAAGATTCCAATGAATAATGTACACTTGTTACACCTATTTTATTCTCTTAAATGTCCACATTGGTAACTGCTACTAGCTGATCGGATGTGACAAGGCGATTTATACTTTCTCGCCTGCGGGCACAGAACTGATTAGACCAGCATCGACCATGATTTGAAATTGTTTATCGGCGTCGTATGTCCTAAAAGAGAAATGCAATTTATGCATGGAGTTCAACTTAACAAAGTGAATTGGAATAACAATAAAGGTTCTCACTTGTAGAAATCTTCAAATTTCTTCTTCTTGGGGTCCATGTAACAGAATTTAAATAAGGCTGCGTTAAACGTTGTGAAAAGTATCATGCCAACGCAATGCTTCTTCATGCTGCTGGCGAGCAAGCCTCTTAGCTGTGGCTTGGGAATTTTACCCTCCGTCATCTAAAATATAAATCACGGTCAATAACGATTTCATGCATGTAATAAATAACTGAAAATAATGAGTTATCCTGTAAGTTCGTGCCAATTCCATCGCTTGTTTCAATTCAATCCATCGCTTGAGAAAAATAAGAAAACTTTTAATATTTAAATGGCACTAATTCATGGGCCAGCTCAATTTAACAAGACAAGAGAAATTAAGTTTCCACTTTGACCAGAAATATTTAACGTTATTTAATTATATAAACCAAAAGGCAACATTTATATTTCGGCTGTTCAAAGTTTTACGCTGTCGATAATCAGGATTTTTCGAGCCTTACTGTAATACACTGAATATCTTAAAACACGTTATGTAATAGTACACTCCTTAAACTGTAAGTAACATAAAAACGGTAACACTGAATACAGGTGCAAGTAGTGATTGTTAAAACCCACTTTGTAGAGATGCTTTAACAATTATTCCCCAAATGTTCTACGTAGAAGACTATTTCACCCGCAAGTGTTCGAAGGAGCCGAAACAAGAATATCTACAGAGAGGGAGAGAGAGATATAAAGAGAAAGAAGGGGACAGAAAACGAAGCAGAATGGAGAAAAGCTTAACTATTGGCAGGTCGAACATGACGTCACGAGCGGTCTTTTCGAATAGGTTAGATTTCGTTAACACTGTTTCGGATGATATCCGTTCTCAGGCCATTCCAAATCTTAACGTCTTTTTCACATATAAAGGAAGGAACTATATTTGTTAAATTACTGGTTGAAAATAAACGCAAGACGACATTAGCGTTTGTGATTTTCATGAATTTCGTTCGGGAAAAAGTTGCGCTGGAAATCAACGTTATTTAAGCATAGAGCAAAGGAGACCAAGGTGTGCGCAGATTTTCTGACGGACCAATCAGAGTGCACTTCCCAAAGGCAGCCATGTTTGCTAACCGACCAATGAAAACGTGGCGCCAAATACCAGATAAATTCAAAAACAGAAAATAGTACGTTTGAATATAAACATTTTTCGTCTCTCAATTCCAGTTTCTACAGAATTGTTCCTAATATCCAGGGATTTTTCGATATCGAAAACGCAAACGAATCGCTGCCATGTTTCACTATGGCGGCGTTTCAAAAGGCGCAAAACTTGTTAAAAAAATAAGAACTACGTGAAAGCTTTTATGGGAATGTACATATATACTGTTTCCTTTGCATATATCCTTAAGTGTCGTTCTCCAAATAACAGAAGAGATGAATCTGTTATTTATCGCTTCGAACGAAAAGCGTTGCAGATCGTCGCGTGTCGTCCGCCATTTTGCTTAAAGTGCTTCAAACGAGCATAAATGAATGATGCGTCTTATATTTTGAGGTTAGTGGCGAGCCGCTCTCGGCGTGGACGCTGCTGGCGCCATCTGACGTTATCTAATTAAATGAAATTGTCAGTGATTCATGGAGTCGCGAAGCAGGTTCTGATCAGTCTAATAATTAAGAATCCCCGTTAATTATGCTCTAACGAGCGGTTGTCGATACTTCTCCGAAGCGTTACGCGCGGACTCAATTGGAATACCTGCAGGGAACACTGTGAAGAGCGTAAATCCTGTTCGCGTTATCTGCCCGAGGAAATTGTTAAAGTGTGGCCGCCAGCAAAATGGCAGCGAGCGACTCCACGGCGGACGACAGCCTTTATCCGATCGCTGTTTTAATCGACGAATTGAAAAATGAAGACGTGCAGGTAAACGGATGCCCGTCGGTGAAGATTTATCCGACCTAGGAAATCATCTACTTCCTTTTCGATGCTTGAACTTACATGAAAAAGGGTTTCTTCAGGTGGCGACCTTATTCGCGGCCTGCGAATTTAGTTTGATTACTGTCATGCTTAACTGAACGACACAGCACGTTTCGTTGATATCTGTTGAATCGAGGTCCTCGACCGGTTCTTTTTAATGTACTTAAGCATCGGACTTCTGTTATACTTTACTCATTTGTCAGGAACTGGAGAACGGTTTTGTAAAATTGTGCCATTGTTGTGTTACGCCGTTAAAAATATTCCTGCGGTATTGTGTAGTCTTAATACGAAGTGCATAACTTTGTTCCATTAACATAACATTCAATTAATAAGCAAAATTTAACGGCTTTGTAATTTCACATGAGCTCAATTAAGAAGTCATCACACGTATTTGTTTAACATTGTCTTTCTTTGCAGCTTCGCTTGAACTCGATTAAGAAGCTATCAACGATTGCTTTAGCATTAGGCGTTGAACGTACTCGCAGTGAATTGATACCATTTCTAACCGAAACAATATATGACGAAGATGAGGTTTTATTGGCACTTGCGGAACAACTTGGTAATTTCACACCTTTGGTCGGAGGTCCTCAATACGTACACTGTCTCTTGGTAATTATTCACATAATAAATTAAAGACAAACATACAAGGTCTGAAATGGCATTAAACAACATTTCTTGTTTCAGTCTCCCTTGGAATCATTAGCAACGGTTGAGGAAACGGTAGTGAGAGATAAAGCAGTCGAATCCCTACGGAATATTGCTGCTCAACATAGCCCAGCAGATTTAGAACAATATTTTATTCCACTGGTACAACGGCTTGCCTCTGGGGATTGGTTTACGTCAAGAACATCGGCATGCGGATTGTTTAATGTTTGTTATCCACGTGTTAACCCTGACTTAAAAGGTAATTTCCGCATTCCTTCCTTTGCATTAATATTTCATAACGAGAGGAGGAAAATCTCCGTTCTAGAGTAATATTGATTTAACCTAACCTTTAAATGATGCGTTTATTTAAGTAACTTAGATCTAAAACAAAAATTCAAAACAAATATTGATTACAACCCTAATATTTCTGTGCATATATTTTAGCGGAATTAAGGGATCACTTTCGTCAGCTATGTACAGACGATACACCGATGGTCAGGCGTTCCGCAGCAACCAAGCTAGGAGAATTTGCAAAAGTCGTAGAAACCGAATATCTGAAGTCAGACTTAATCCCTGTATTCGTAGTACTCGCCCAAGATGAGCAAGTAAGTTTAAATGTGATCAAAGATAGTCACTGACATTTTGTTTTAAGTAACACATACTTTGTGAATTAGAAGTCAACATTACGCATTATACATTGACAGTGTACGTAATGTTAGAACTCTCACGTAAAATCTATGTTAACTCTTAGGATTCCGTTCGACTACTAGCTGTCGAAGCATGTGTCAGTATTGCCTCGCTCCTACCACAAGAAGACGTGGAGCAATTAGTTATGCCGACGCTTCGTCTGTGCGCTGCAGACCAGTCATGGAGGGTTCGCTACATGGTTGCAGATAGTTTCACAGAAGTACGTTACTAAATTTCACCACTTATGAAAGTGGCTGTCAAGAGCTCCATTGTTTATAAAACTTCTCTTCAAACAGTGTACCAAAATATAGAATGACCCTTTCGTAACACCTTAACGAATACGCATGTTAACGAAGTCAACATTATCTTTTAAATCAGTTATAAAATGAACATCTTTTTTAGCTTCAGAAGGCGGTTGGGCCAGAGATCACGAAGACCGATTTGGTACCAGCATTCCAAGTATTATTAAAGGATTCCGAGGCTGAAGTGAGAGCAGCAGCGGCTGACAAGGTCCGTGACTTCTGTCAAAATTTAGACCCATTCAATCAGGAATCCATTATCATGACGAACATATTGCCATTCGTCAAAGAACTCGTTTCTGACCCTAATCAACATGTCAAAGCCGCCTTGGCCGGCGTTATTATGGGCCTTAGTCCAATTCTTGGCAAGCACAAGTACGTGGAAACCCCATTTACATAACCTCAAACTTGTATAACGATTAAAGATTAAGTGGCGTTTATAATTTCTGGTCTCTTTGCAGTACAATTGATTATTTACTCCCGTTGTTCTTGTCGCAACTGAAAGACGAGTGTCCAGAAGTGCGGCTTAACATTATTAGTAATTTGGATTGCGTCAACGAGGTGATCGGCATTCAACAACTCTCGCAGTCACTTCTACCAGCGATCGTTGAATTGGCAGAAGACTCTAAATGGCGTGTTCGACTCGCTATAATCGAGTAAGTGTATTGTAAAAAAAAACAATCTCTCAACTTATCTCTGTGGAAACAGAATCAGATACTGCCTCGTGTATTTCTTCTTTTTTTCTTTATTATTGAACTTTTTTATGTTTCCTTTACTCAGATATATGCCGCTGCTGGCCAGTCAATTGGGAGTTGAGTTCTTCGATGAGAAGTTGAACTCTTTATGCATGACCTGGTTGGTGGATCACGTGTATGCTATCAGAGAAGCGGCCACTTTAAATCTCAAGAAGCTCGTAGAAAAGTTTGGCGCGGAGTGGGCTCAGAACACAGTCATCCCTAAAGTATTGGCTATGTCAAGGGATCAGAATTACCTTCACAGAATGACATGTCTATTCTGCATCAACGTACGTCTCGTGAAGTTAAAAGTGTTTGATGTGTATTTTAAAGGAGTTTAGTAGGTTGTGAAATACATCTTGCATGCATGCAAAGTGAGATTAATAGAGAACGAAAAGACATAGGAGATATTTGCTTACTGAATGAAGATGAATTTTATGGACAGGTGTTGGCTGAAGTCTGTGGTCCAGAAGTGACGACGAAAGTTATGCTTCCTACCGTGTTGGCAATGGCATCTGACAATGTGGCCAATGTGCGGTTTAACGTCGCCAAGACTCTTCAACGTATCGGACCATACCTAGAGCCTAGCGCAGTCCAGACACAGGTGAAACCAGTACTCGACAAACTCAACACCGATTCTGATGTCGATGTGAAATACTTTGCCTCGGAAGCAATTGCTGGCATAGCAGGTAAGCTTTAAGATTTGCTCTCCAGCTTATCGCAGCACAACTTTGCAGTGATCTCTCGCTCTCTCAAGACTGACATTTGAGGTTAACCTGTTACCAATCGAGTAGAGGTTACGTTTATCCGAGACTGATGATAATCTCCCTTTTATAACACCGAAACGACGCCATAAAGGGAAATTACTTACGAGTTCGGTGGAGTGATTTCGAATTGATTCAAATCGACGTTGTTCTAGGTGATTTAAATCATACGTACCCTGCGAAAAGTCGTGATTTAGTTAAATATTCATGCTTTCGATATGTAAGTGTAACATTGAAAAGTATCAGTGTTTGGATGTATGCAACAGTCTGTTATCTAACAAGTCTTATAAAGAAGCTGTTTAGAACAACGGTGGTATAAGTAAAGGGAATTAATTCAATGTCTAAGTTAGTCCATTTTTGTGCAATTCCATTTGCGAGATGGTGGTTTGGATATTGTTAACGTTTACTCATTAATCACAACCTAACGGAACGAACTTTTAATCTGTTGCATCGCAATGTGCCTATAGCAATCCGAAGAGGCCGTTCTGCACGATAGTGTGTAAATACGACAAGCATTACCCCAAATCCCAATAGTTAAATGCACTCCAGCTCGACACCTCTTTTTAGTGCAAAATTCAATTGGAAAAAAAAAAGAAAGAATCTGACTGTTACATAGACTAATCCTTTAGGCTTTGCTTTGTGTGTAAGTCGAAAGTGATCCCTGACAGGAGTCTTGCTTTTTTATCCTTTGTTTTACTTAATAGCCACTTCGTTAACACCTTCACTATGTTTCAGCATAGGTTGAGGACACCGAGAGCATTTACTACGTACCCAACAATATTCACCGTCGACTAAAAAACCAGAAAAAAATAAATCCGTACCCGCTACATTTCTTTTTTCCACTCGATACACACGGCGAGATATAATGATTAATGCACAGGCAGGTTCGGAGGCGGAAGAATTGCAATCCCATGAATAAATTAGAAAAGTTGACGTTAAAGGAAACCGATACATACTAAGTTCTGTTGTATTTGTATATCTATAATATTATACTAATCATTGAATACCCGATTTAATTGGTAACATGTATCTCTCGCATATATTTAAACAATTGTCTTTATCAGTAATGAGTAATAAAGAGAATGACTCGGAATCATTCCCACGATTTGGTAGACAAAGTAATGGCGAAAGGTCCAATGTCATTCTTACCGATTTCTATCCGACATCCAAACTTTTCGTTGTCATAAAAAAAAAAAGGTTTCATTCTTCTTACACCGAGAACATTTCCAGTGTAAGGACAAACTTAAGGCCTAGAAGATGCAATATCGTATTGCTTGTCGATTTTATTTTGGGGACAACACCGTCAGGTTTCACACACTCCCGTATTATCACAGCTTATCACTATATTCCCTCGTAGCGTCCTACGGTTTCTCTATATACAGTTTGACGGTAGTAGTTTGATAACATATCTCGAGATTGAAGAAACGCTCATCGTCCTATTATTAGACTCTTCGCCTCTTGTTCATACAGAGTCCACTGGGAGACATCAATGCCTCCCATCCTGCACAGGCGATGTCGTGTCTGCAGGGGAGGCATTCATGTCCGCCATTGTACACAACATAAACAAGGCAAACAATTGTTACACTTCGTCGATATATATGAAAAAAAAAAAAAAAAGGAAAAGCAATCTCCTCCCAAGACGTGAACGAGCGTTGTACGACGGTACATGTAGGGAATAATGCTTGAAATTAAACAATCTCTTATCCTTTAACGTCCTTTCAAACGTACAGTTCTCTATGGTTAATACTACGTCTACATTCTCACCGATACAGCTGCTCGAGGCCAGAATATCTTATATAAATTAAGAACATAAACAATACCTCTTGTACACCCGTTAACGCATATCCTCCCGACTCTTAATCCATACGTACAGTTTACGTAAAAAAAAGTGTGACACGATAATAATATGCCACTAATGCTACGCTATGTACACGATATATAAAGGGCTGCCTGTACCATATGTAAGAGCTCTCCAAGCGTTGAAAAAGAAAAAATATATATAAGTTTTAGTGTGTAATTTTTTTTTTTAACTCTCGTGCGGACACGAAACATATCCCAGATAGAAATTCATGATCATGGTATGAGGCAAATTTCATGAAAATTTTCCATCACTTTGTCTATCTGGGTATATATACAATATTATGGCAAATTATGGAGAACGGTCGCCCGCACTGATAAAAATCTATGAACATTTACATACAGTTTTACACACTTCGTAACATAAGCTTTCGCATGGGAAAACCCAAAATCGTCTGATTACAAATTAGAAAAATATATAAACACACCTAACATTGTACATTAACCGTATTAGTGCATTTCCACTAGAATTTAATGTAACGTTACATTATAATCTTGATTAATTTAACTCAGACATTGAATGTGATATTACAGAGATACGGTGCACCTTTATTGCAATCTATCGTGGCATCGATATAACCAATGATTGAGTATGTAAATTTACATGGGCATTTCTATCAGTGTGCTTTATATATATATCTATCTAAATATAAATATAGAGGCGTCGATTCCGCCGAATGAAAAGACTTTGGGCCACTAAAGAACCACAAAACTGCTGCAGCTAGGACAGCTCGTAACGTTTTTCCCTTTTCTTTCTCTCTTCTCTTAAACTTAATAAAAGAATAACATTAAATGGGTCCTCTGACAGTTCTAAAACGGTTGCAACAATTGATTACAAATTGGCAGCCAACATCTAAAATATGTACTCTCTATCGTAAACTATTAGCCAGCCGATTACCCTTCTTTGTCGTTCTCTCCAATTATAAACTTCGATTAGACTTCTCTTATATGATTCCTTTCGCAGTATGTTATATACTTTCTACACTGGTATTTGGTATGTTGGCGATTTTACATTAAGAGTACCACCTTAACCTTAGCGGTTATTCCATTACGATTAACACTGCATTCGCCAGACCGAGCGGCGTACAAAAGATCGGAGTAGTTTGTTAGGTTAGAATCCGACGATAATTTTTTGCAACTTCTCGATTGACAACACCGATCGGCTTACATTTCTTCACCGGGTGGCAAGCTTACATTGTAAGCTTAAAGGTACATTTTCACGTGCATTGCTGCAAAATTTCATTCAACAAAATGCTCCGATAGTCTCCCTATTCTTTCCGAATCATTCAACGGTATATTTACACATTCTGTCCCACACCGGTTTTATAAATCTGGCGTTAAATATCGTGTTAACGTAGTTTTACTCTGACTTTACCGGTAACAACGGCGTTAAACGGCGTTTACACGTTTCACATCAATAGTTTACACAATTGGTGTAACATACGTAACTGTCCTTGTACTTTATGTAAGGTAACATATGTAAATGTCCTTCATGATATTAACCTATTTTTAAACAATCAAAGTGTTTTGCTGTATGCAATTTTACAGCAATACCGAAAGTGAAAAAGTACCCTAAATGTCTGTATCGGCAACGACATGCCGATGCAGTCAGTCTAATATAATTCTCCGAATTGAACGTCTACGTCATGAAGTAACATAAGGGGCTTCCGTTTCATGGATCTTTTCAGAAAATTCTGACCCCATGTTTTCATGCCAGGTTAGTCAATTTCAGGGTTGGATAAAATAAAATACCCTTGGTAATTTACATTGTTTTTTTTAATACTAAATTACTATTTTACATAGTTTTTTTGTTTTAATACTATATTACTATTTTACGTAGTTTTTCTCTTTGCAGTAAATTCGGTACTTTATGTCACGAGACTCATATGCAATGTAAATTACGAGAATTTCTATTTTACTTTTGCACTTCATGATTCTGTTTCTAGATGATAATAAACATAACCTCCTTTTACCCGTCAACTTAATATCATAATTTGAACATACATTACAAAGAATTGTAATAACAAATATGTTACAAACAAAACAAATCAGAGACGAGAGATCAAGGTACAAAAGTTACGATAAATTGGGTTTCCCATTAAACGAAGAAAGAGGTGTAGCTTTTTGGCTTGATTCTAAAAAATGCATAGTTTTCCGTGGAATGTACGGAAAACTGGAATGTTGAAGCTTAGAATCCTTTTGGCTCTTGTCCTAACATGACTCTTCGTTTGTCTTTTTTTTTTTTTTTTTTAATTGAAATGTTCGTCGTTTAATTTTCAAGGTGTTTTACCTAATTGTTACGTAAAATAGTTTAAGTATTTATTAGATGACATCATGATGGCCTTTTGTGAAAAATGTATAAACATTGAAATTATTCACAAGAGTCGCTAATGTTACTATTGGCTAACTTGGCAACAAAATATGGGGTTACTTTTACATGGAAGTAGGAGTTCGATGTTACTTCATGGTTTACATACGTGTCCGATGTGCAGTACTCCAAAGAGGTTAGGAGGTTCACTCTAATAGTCGCGATGTATTGAGGTTAGAGTTACACCCGTCAGATTCCTGTTGCTCTCCGATGCAGTTACCTCGGTTGAGGTATCTTTTGCATGTCTGCCTTCTCGATTTCAGGGTTCTCTTTCATTTTTACCGGCTGAGTCGATCGTTGAATAGAATATCACTCCTCCGCCCTCTTAAACATTAGTTATTTTATGGTATCGAAAATGGTTTCGACTGGGCAGCCGTCCTGCCTAAATGGCTACTCTCTCGGTTTTCGCCACGTCTACCGAAATCGTGTGACTGATTGTATTCACCTGGCTAGTGGAGCTACCGTCAGACTCTACGATGTTCACCGATGAAATTTTGGCACGCTGATAGGCCACGACCGTGTTCAAGCTCAAGAACCTACGAACAATTCATGACACGTTTGCGTTACAAATTAATCCTTAAGTTTTCTTTGTTGAACTTTAGGAGAGGAATATAAGCTGACTTTTTCATATCACCTTAAGAACCACTATTCCAAACAGTATGCGCACAAAGTACCTTACCTTATGCAGACGTACATGACCAACAGAGCCGCCCCAGCGGCCAGCATTCGAATTATCGGTCCCTCCACAAGTTGAATGAGCACCCACGCGGCGGCGGACGAGCCGCACATGGTCGTGACAATAGCAATGGTCTGTAGACAGTGTCGAAACGTCAAACTGTTCTGCCAGTCGAGCCTGGTCGCGTGTTCCACGTTGTACTTTGACCCGCAGACTTTGCAGGCGAGGCTATCGGCATTCATGGAGCTCTGAAAGCATCGGACACTCGGATGTCGTAACTCTATTGACATCCTCCAGGGATTAAGTTTAGACGAATAATTTTACCTCGACAAGCCAGCGACGCAAACAATCGTGATGGACCGCGCTGACGTCTCCTCTGCATTGGCAAGGTTGAATCAACGCTCCGGCATCATGTCTTTCGCTGTCGTAACAGATCCAGCAATCCTTGCTGCTAATTGACGTTCCATCGGTGACTGATGAACTTCCATTTTTTTCTTGCAGCTCCACCTCCTTCAAGGGCTTTGGATGCTCTAGGTCCAACTTCTTCAGGAGCTTCTTCGGGTTGAGGATCCACAGTTGTTCGGGGCTGGCCAATTCACACGCGCAATGTGTTACCGAGGTCTTATGTTTAATGCAGAGGCGGTGTGACTAAGTATGTGAAGTACGTACCTCATGCAATTCCACAATACACAGGGGAACCATAAGGCAACACCAACTTCGATGACTCGGAAAACTACGTCGTGCCAGTTTCTGCTGTACAGTGGTACTCTGAAATGATAAAAGCCACATATTGTGACGGAAAGATTGATGATTTCGCAATTTGAATACCATCGCACATAACCTTGAAAACTGACTTATCAAACTGGCTAAGAAATTTTCATTCAAGCTATGTGTTCTTTTTATCTCGTACACCTACTTTGTTTTCCAAAATTCGCTGAGAGTTTCGCTGAACAGGAATCCCACGATGATGAACATCATGAAAGCCTGGAACAGCAATCCGAACCTTGACTGGTGGAGCTGCGAAGTGTCCACTTGTTGTCTTATGTCGATTGGCGCGTTGGAGGTGGTTGGTATAGGTTCGAATAATTTCGCCGTCACTGGATCTTCCTCGTGTGATTTGGAGTCATTCGGAGTTCGTTTGCTCGTAGCGATGGATGTTACTTGATGTTCGTTCAAGAAACCCCCACGAACCTAATTACAATACATTGAATATAATGCATCAAAGTCATTATAAATCAACACTAAACGACAGATATAGCAAAACCATACCTTGAAGAATACTTCGACACCATAGATCAAGAAGAAGACGACGACAATGAAGAGAAGCACCGCATAGCAGCCATTGAAGATGTGGGTGTAAAAACTCTGCGGAGAACATTGTTCATGATTTAAAAATTAAAGTATACTGTTTCGCAAACATAAAGTCTCTGTTATAATTATCGGATTAGGACGAAAAAAAAAAAAGATTTTGATTCCACTTGCCTGGTCCTCCTGTGAGTTTGTCTGCGTTATGATAAATTCTGCCAGCAGAACCGAGTAGGTCATAAAGTTGAAGATAACGAAAGCTAAGAAGGTCTTCGACAAGAATTGAGGCTTGTCCCATCGGATATCTCTTAGGTGAAACACTTCAGCCCAGAAGCACACGATCAAGGATGAACCACTCAAAAGAAATGGATAGTACGCAGACAGCAAACTTCTAGACCATCCCCCTTTGAAAGCAGTCTACACCGGACATAAAGATATCAATGTTGTAATGTTTTTCACAGCAACAATATGACGCCTCAAAAAGAGATACAGGTTCATGATCTATACGAGTGTTGATATTGCCCAACCTCAACTAATAATTTAGATTTACAAACAACATGGCACTGACTTAAAAAACACCTTTTAGTTTTTTTTTCATGTAAAAAATATGACAAAATAACTACTTTCATCTGATTCCGGTTCCTGTGTAGAACAAGCTCCTAAAATTTTAGACCAATCCGTCACTTTACTTTTAGAGAGTTACAAATGCCACTTACTGGAGAGGTAAAGTAAGCTCCTCGGATAATGGAGGCGAGGAACACAACAAAGTAGAGTACTTTTTGGGTCGTCACTCTGCAGGCCCGTAGAAACGAAGGAGCCTTCATTTTTTGCCACTCGGCGACGATACACATTACCAGCTGTGTAAGACAAACAAATGCCAGAATGAAGAACATGCTGGCAAAGGCGATGTAATAACTGAAATTAGGGACGTGGCACTCCGATCCGTCGAATTGGATCTGAAAGTGATAACAGTATTACACGAGTGTCTGTCTAATTAATATCACCGTACGATTGATTAGTCATTCGACTAGAATTACTTTTAAGTTCGTTTTGTTTTCCTCCGTCATTTAAGTATGCTTACCTCACATAGACAAGTCCCATTATGGCACTCTCCATGACCGGAACAATTTTCATTTCCACAGGTGTTGTTCCATGCCATTATGCCGAACTGCACTAAGATCGATAATGGATTTTGTGTGCTCAAAGATAACATGTGATCCATGGTCATTTTATGGCGTCACAGGGTTGCTAGGGTCCTCTGGAAATATAAAATACTCTTTAATTAAACAACCGAAACGTCTTGAGAACTTTGCATACACCTTCGATGTGTTGGCTTTTGGCGATATCAACTCTCGGAAGGTGATAAGTCTCTTATCTGTGATAAAACTGTTAGGTGGGAAGAGTATAAAAATACGTATAAATGGTTGGCCCTGACGTGGGATAATAACATCGTAGTAAACGATAGAAAATATGAGGAATGCATTTGTGTATCACTCCGGATTTACAAGAAACGGCAAAACATAGCTTTTAAAATATGTAATAGAACATACTCGTTCATTGAAAACATTATTTAACTACTACGTGAAGCAAAGTTGGCCAATACTCGATGTTATAATCTTATTGGCAGCAGAAATTGAATCACTCGCATCCCGACTTATATACAGAGCATTAGTATCAATCCATACAATTGATACTACGGATGCAAATCAGTTGACTCTGGCGCTGCGGAGAGTCGATTAAATAAGGGCAATAAAATTACGAGGCTCTGCTACCTCGACGGAGAATATTGAAAAAAATCTTGATATAAACAACGAATCCATCCTACAAATGTACTATATAATACTCAATGAAATAATTATAACAGAACACCAAACATAACAGAACAACGGTAATGATTACACGTCTCTCATCGCTTCGCCAGTGTTCGTGTCACTTTAATAATTGGGATCGCGATGACCAGAATGTCAGTGAGTCACTGCACGGATGCCCTTCAACAATGCATAGATTCGTCAACACACCCTGACTGAGTTAACATCCCTCGTTGGTGACAATAACAATGGGCAAAGAAGTAACTCAGACAACAAACCATGTCCGCAGGAATTCCTCAAGACACGCATCGGTACGAGTGGAATAAAATTGCGAGACCCAATTAAAGCTCCTTTGTCCGTTAACAAGCGAGACCCACGACGGGTAAATAATTACATAATTCGTCCATTTTGGGGCCCACGTGACGTACACCTCTTTGTGAGGGTGTAGGACAACAAGGTGCGTCGAGGAATCTTTCTTGTGACTGTAAGGAAGCATACGGTGGAATGTAGACGCACTCTTACCCGCGGACGCTTGACCACTTCGCAAACATGTACGCGCCGTCAGCTGAGTCGGAGGTTCAAGCGTCCTCGGCCACTGGCGAAGTTGCCAGCTAGCAACTCCCTAAACAGAAAGCGCTTTTCTACCTTGAGAGCGAGTCTAGCTCTAAACCTGCTGGTCCAGTCCACTCACGTCCGTTCCAGAGAGCTTCCCTCGTCGCAAATATGACAACGCACCTCGTCGACTGTAAAATCGACGTCTTCCTATGTCACATACTGCCTGGCTCCGTTGCCCGATCCACACTGACGCTCACTGTCACTGGTGGCCACTAGTAGCGCTGCCTGTATCGGGTTTCGCTGGCTTAACCTTAGACCATAAATATCTAGACCTCGCATAGCAGTGAAAGAGGTAAACTCGAATACAACATGAACCACGGGGTCTATTACGTAACGCAACTTGAACGAAAATGTGAAAAATGAGTAGCTCATGGTATTACGGAACGCCGTGAGATGAAAGTGTGAGAAGTGAGCGTTCTCGTCAAGAATACGTAATAAACACCCTGAAGGTTAGTTCGTTTTGCCTATACAGAATTTTCTGGAATTCATTTAAAGTGATATATCCCAGATTAGAAGTCCTCTTAGGTTATTGCGCAAGTATATTCTATAAAATGGAATTCGCCGGTTTGTGATATGATTAATACTGATACAATCTCCATATCATTGGATTACGAAGGGTGATAAGATTTATCAAATATGTTGGAAATGAATTCTACAACTTCTTTTATTTCATGCTTTATTCATACGCCATCGACAATATCTTTACTAACTATTATTTGCTATGAGAATTGTAGTCAATTGTTAATGCCAATGATTCTTTTTGTAAGAATGCTGATTTAACATTTAATTTTAGGCAAGTGGCAACATTTCCAGGGACGATAGCTTCCATGGTCTCAAGATCTAAGTCTTCGGAGGCATTTCTCAAGTCCTCGTGTCCAAATTTAGTGTCTAGCAGCATTTATCTGGAATAATGAAAATTCTTTAATGTTTATCGTTAAGTTATGCAAGGTATTATATTAAAACTTAACTAATAGTCCGATGAAAAAGTGGAAAAATCTTTCATCTAAAATATTATTAATTTAATATATTCAGTGTATATATGTCGAACGATAATAAAATTATGTTTAAGTAAATGTTTATTATTTGCGAGAAAGAATTTTCAAAGTTATGGATGTCAAAATTTGAGAGATCAAGTGATATGTACCTCCAGCGTTATCGCCACCACTGCACTTGCAGCCATCGTCGCAGCTGCAGTCCTGGCAGGGCTCTGGAATAGAACAATTTATTAATTTAAGGATTTATGTAACGTGTACTAAAATATTTTATACGATTAATTGTGACTCGGTCGAGCTGTTAAATTTAAGATGTCGAAGAAGTTCTTTTCGATGCAAGATTTGCTTCAATAGAAAGTCAATTGCTCCTGATTGAGATATATAGATTGAAATTAAATTAGGTTTACTGAGTCTCGGAGACTAAAAACGGAAGCTGGATATTAAGGATTGCACCATGTGTACCATAAGAGCTGTATTTGTATTTTCATACGTATCGTAAAACTTGATATACATGATAATACTTTATACATACAAAATTAGATACGATCGCATGTAGAATAAAGGAATAGTGAAATGTAGTAAGTGACAATGACCTGCCACGACTTCTCAAGGAAAAAAAAATTCAAAAATCTATGTATAGGAATATGTGTTAAACTTGTAATACATTTTTTAATTGGAAATATTTTATAGGAGATAATTGTATCGTCAACTGCAACTTACTCTGGCACTTCTCGCAGCAGGGTCCAGGCATCTTGAGTTGAGGTTTGCTTCGGCAAAGGCTTCAATTGGATAAGTAAGTCTGACTGCTGTCAGGCTCGTTGAGAACTGTTGATGAAGTGCCTGCCGTACCGAGTTATTTATTGCAGATTCCCCCACTAGTTCTCTCACGGATCGTGTGCAAAAAGTATGCACGTGCACCCAGCCGTACCCACTAATCAGACCCTGACCAGGGTCGTCTCTCTCCTCTGGATAATACCAGGTAATGGACCCGAGGGATCCTAGCAAGAATGGAATTGAAAATTTTTAATTTAATTCAATATTAAGGGTTGCTTCCCTGCTTTCAATAATTACAGGTAATAGATACAAGATATCTCGATAAATGTTGCATTCGAATTTATTTGAGTTCAATGATTATTCTTTGAATTAACAGAATATTTCTTTGGTACTATTCGAAGAAATGTTTCTTCGGTTCAATTACATTTTATTACATTAATTGAGATACATAGAAAATTAACTGTCTCCTGATTAAGATTATATGCATAAGAGATGTAACGATAGATCTGTAATTATCGATAGTTCATTATCTTTTAGCTCCTCGTTTTCGACAAGGACAGATTGGTTTCTTTTCTATAGCTGCAGTAGTAATGCAGTTTTCGCAGCCAATTTCACATCACCTTGAAGCCTCGAGAAATCAGGACACAAAATGCTGCAGTTCCCCACCTATCAATAGTTAATATAAATTCCCTTAGAGTCGAAATTATCCGCAGATCTTTTCCGCGTTGCAGTCAAACGCTGTACCTTAATTCATTGCCGTTCCATTTTTTTTTCCTATTCTCTGGTAATTTTATGAGACTCTTTATGCCTGTGTTTTTACCGTTACAAGGAAGGCATTCCTTCTGAAGCAATTAAGCAATTAGCCTTTAAGTAGCAACAGAATGGATTTCAATTTTTGGAAAATCAGTAAGCAAATCATCAAGTATGTAGGTAGAAGTAAGTTAGATAGGTAGTAGGTAAGTAGGAAGAAGACGTTTACATCGTAAAATGAAATATTGCTTTATTTAAGATTTATACAATTTATTGAAGTTTCCAAGATATCAGCAAGGCATGTACAGTGTAAGCATTTAAGGATATCACAACTGATTTAATAATTCTGTTATAAGTCGAATTTTTAATATACAGAACTAGGTCATCTACAACTTAGGTAAACAAAGTCGCTCCGAGTCCATAATCTGATTTTTCATTTCCATTACAGTGCTCATGATGTATTGTTAAAAGTGTTATTTTGCAGGCTGGCATTTGCAGGGCTGGCACGCACAGTTGTCTGAAACAAAGGAAGATATTTTAAAGCAATTACGATAAGATAAGGTGGAATAAGTAAATGCGTTGATTGTAAAATCAGCGTGTCAAACATGTGAGCATACTGAAAGGTTGCATTCAAATTTGTTTACATCGAGTCATTATATTTATACTGTGATTCTAGTGTACAAAATTTAAATAATTTTATTTAATAGGGAAATACCTCCACAGGGCTCTTCGCAGCAGTGGCAGCCATCGGTGCAGGTGCAGTCCTTGCAGGTCTCTGAAACGAAAAGGATCAAAATTAGGTTAGGTGAAGGAGTAAAGCTGACGCACGAAACTTTTAAGTTCATAGAAAACGGCTACAGGTCGAACAGTTTTTATAATAGAAATTGCTAAAGGTGAACCAGCGAGGTGAAACCCCTGACATGATTCGAATTCGCGCTTGGCTGCTTCGAAATTGAAATCGGTTATCGATTTCGCGATTACGTGATCAGCGCGACATAGATAGAGATATACTTAGCGCGAAACGTTCTGCAAGAAGTTTCTAAACCCCAGTTTGAAAATGGCGCCAATTCTACTTGATTTGAAACGACGCACGAAACAAAATGGCGGCCGTTTGAATTCTTGCAACCAGCTTACAAGTGTATTTAAATACTCGAAAATTTAAATTCCAATGATATAATCGAAAATGTTAAATTAGAATCTTTAAAAATAAATAAATTTGTAATGTAAATTTAGTATCTTTTAAATTCAACTTACTTTTACACTTCTGGCAGAGAGGTCCGGGTGCCATGACGCAAATTTTAAGAGAGTTGATCAAATGTTAATTGGTGCAGTCAGTGCTCGATGACTTCATGTAAAATACGCGTTCGCCGAGTTTATATACAGCGTTCCCCTTCCCTTTGGCCACGACAATCTGTTCATCACGATGCGTGCCATGTGCAGAGAAATTCCAATGCGTGCCATGTGCACCGACGGAAGAGCGCATCACGATCCGAGGTTTCGGAAAGGTGCCACGTGCAACCGACCAATCAGAGCTCGAGGCGTGACGCGTGCCTGCCAACCTAACCTCACCTTGCTCCCACCTCGACTAGATAGCACGTGTCGTGTGCAACAAGTGTGTGCCATGTGCAGCGTCCTTATTACCTGTTGTTTAATCATACATCGCGTTCTTAATTTTTCACGGAATTATTAAGGTGATATGAAAAATTCATTCTGCATACATAAAACGTAATAATATTTATAAAAATTTTTTCCAAATTGGCTCTTGGTGAGTATGGAATTTATTTACGAACAAATTCGATTGAATGTAAAGTGGTACATGGAAAATAGTTATTACAAAATTACAGGTTTTACACGAGGTTCTGTAGAATCGATATACAAGCTTTTATATCCAGTCTTATAGAGATAGCTCAGATGAATCCTTGTCAGATGCTTATAGGATTACGTGGATGAATTTATCCCACAGCCCATTCCACTGTACAGGCAAGTTTAGAAAACGATACGTGTTAAGTACAATTACTTCCTTTTCTTTCTAACGCTTGATCCCTTATATCTGGTTTGTTCTATTGCACGTTGTTGGTTATTTAATTTATGACAGGCCCACAGGAACGTAACGATTTCGGATACACCAAAACAATAAAGTATTTAAATAACAGTTTGTTGGTACAAAAGATCTCTGCAAATTTATCGAGCAGCAGAGTCACGCTCGTAGTCAGAACATTCTTGGAAATGGATTCGCATGGCTGGTGACCCATGAATTGATACATTTTACAGCCAGAATGTGATAAAGAAAAACTTGCAGGTTATATATATATACTTTTGCACATCCCTCAACAAGTTTCTTATTATCTTAATCATGTCCATGATTCGTCAGGGAGTACTTTCTTCTCTTCACAAATGTTGAACGTGGAAGTTAACAATGTATCTGTCATTGGTCCGCTGGACTGAGATAGTAAAAGGATCCGTTGGATGGAACGTGAACGTAACTAGTTGTCTCTCGACCAGAGGAGTTGTTTTCCCTGGTATACCAGCGTACATTCGGAATTTTAGAAGCCCGGAATCACGAGCATAGAACCTGTAAGAATAAACATCCCCGAGATTATGCAAGTATTAAATAAAAAATTTAGTTGCCGTTAAACGTCGATTTCTTAGCGCCTTTCATATCACCTTAACAATAGAAAATCTGTCCAAACTAACCTTATAGGGTGTTCCCCGCAAGCTTTCGGCCTTTCCAACATAGACACCCATTTGGGATCGTAACAAAATAAGGACAAATCTAAGTAAGGGGAACTGGAATACGACTGCGCACATATTGGTAGTAGAGCCAACAGCCTCTTTGTAGCTTCCGTAATGCCTCCGTACCTGGCACTGACTATCGTTTGCTTGAATCTCTGCCTCATTAATCTGTTTTGGAAGAAAGAATCAACATGTTTATTCAGCATTTTACATCTAAGAACTCTGTACACATTATACAAGATTAAAACAATGTTATGAACCGAAAAACACCTAATGTTTGTCGTGGTAAATAATATTTCATATTTTTACACAAAATAATGCAGGTCCCTGCTTCGTAGCCATGTAGTTACCTTGCATAAATATTATTCGATGGAGAGCACATAAACTGGCAGTAGTCGGTGCTGAAGAAATCCCCAAAGTTTTCAAATTGAGTCAACAGTTGGGTGGATGTATTGTCATAGGCTGCTAGAATTTTTGCAGCTACCATATCGTAGACTACCAAGAGAGCAGGCTGTGCATTGGGATCGTTTGCTTGTAACGTTGCAACTTCCTCGCTAGCATATCTCACTAAGATGTGATCAGTATCTAATAGCTGCATTTTCCACATGCGCAGTGCATTTAACTGAAAAAATTATTCCACTTGATAAGGATGCGAAGCTTGTCAACTGATTCTACGTTATAAAAAGATATATGAAGTTTGTGGATACACACCTGATCGAAGTATTGGTAAAATCGCCTGAGCTCGTAGGGATCTTTTGTCAAATTGCTTATATATTCTGCTCTTTTATACAGATACACTAATAATTTATGTTTAAGGCTATTTATGGTAACGTCTCGAAAGGGTCTGAAATTTGCTCCAGGCCAGGTACTTGTGACTAGGTAAGCATCGTCTTCCAAACAAAACCTGCAACCGAATCCAATCGTAAAAAATTATAGGAAAAGTTTAGACGTGTACATGTACAGAAAGGAACATTTCATGATTACCTGCCGATTTTCCGGACATTTATTATCGTACCATTTACAATCTTAAATATGTGAATGGTTTGATGCTGTACAGAAAGCACCGCTAATATGTTTTTGTACAAATATAGACCTGTCAAAAGGAGATGTAAAAAATATATATATACACACATCTACATGCAAAACTGATTTTCAGTACGGATATAAAATGTACGATGAGAATTAATTATTTAAAAATAATCATTATCAGTTCATGTCAAGTGGTACCTTTATTATGCGACAAATAAATCTTGTCGACTTTGAAATGTCTGCTATCACGAAATATTCCATGATGCAGATCAACTAAGTAAAGGCTGTAATCTTCGAGAGGTAATCGAGGATTTGGAGTCAGTGCTTCGTTATTGGAGTAAATCTTGAAGGAAATAAGTTTTTATGAATACATTACATTAATTTGCAATGTTCTTTGTCTAAAAGAATTAATCAAATACCTGATAGAAATAAGGGCTGATCTCGGAAACATAAGCAGCCGATCCAACAATAACGTAGCGCCCGTCTTCGGTAAATAAACTGCACTCTCGATTCAGTTGTCCGTTACTGTGCACCAGATTTACGATCCATTTGATCTACACGACATACCTTCTGTTAATGGAAAATATGCTGACAGCAATGCAAAGCTAGCTTACCTTAAAGAATCTGTTAAATATATTGCTTCTGATGAAACAGGAGTGGGAGTCGTGCTTATGTCCCACATATTCTCCTTTACAATCGACTAATAAGTCTGCAGCTGCGGAAGCACCCCGATACTCGTACACTTCAATGGATGTTTGATCGGCACTAAAGGCAATTAAATATTTTCCATCGGGACTGAATTTCCTAAGAAAGCATAGAGGCTTTTCAACATTGACAACAGTGAAATTAGGGTAGATGTTTTGATAAAACTGCCTCGCATCGATGATTTGGGTTCCTGGGTACAAACAACCAAGTGTTTCCCTCCGTCTGAGCCTTATGACAAGATTCTGTGGACCAATTTTGCGAGGTTTAATGGGGCAAGGATCCGTCACAAATTCAATCCTGCCCTCCTCTTTGGCCATTGTCTACGACACGACGAAACTATTATGCCGATGTGGAATCATCCATATAAAATTAACGACTTCATGCGAGCGATGTATCTTTTATATTCAATTCAAAGCTTGCATATATGCTCCAATTCTCACCCGACGATCTCAATAGTAAAAAATGTGACACCTTCTGGAAATATTTATAATGAATCGTTATGTATAATTCAATAGTATTCGAGTAAAAGTAACTTACACTTAGTAAATTCCAAGCTCTGGCGCAGATATAAATATAGGTAAGTATTAAAAATATAACCTCAAAACACGTTAAAAGGAACACAGGACCTCTTCAAGAGGTAGGAACATACACGTTGCGGTTGTAACAATAAACACATCTGAAAATAATCATATTAATAGTTATTATGTGGCCGAGCAATTATTTTTACGGATCTCAGGAATTGAATCGTACCAGACGATTCGTCAACGTAATCATTTATGGTAATTTATGGCGGCTTCAGAAGAGCGCGGAATCCAGTTGCCACCGCTGCTTCGATCGGAGTAAATTTACTACTATTAAGGTGAAGTGAAACACATCGAGGAACTTGATCAACGTTGGTAAAAAAGGTTTTTCTAAATACCTACGTGCCGATGTTGGTTTTTATATCGACGGCTGTATCGAATTATATTTAAATACAATCCCATTTCATTGATAAGCAGGGTCGCCAGTTCTGGTAATTTATTACCAGTTCTTGTGATCCCCCCTTTAGATCTGGTGATGGGTAGCTGTGATTCTGGTGATGTCATTTTTTGATGACTGGCAATCCTGTTGATAAAGTAATTGGTAACTCAGAATACGCGTAATGTCGCGTAATGTGATGTAAACGCGTCGCGTAGTTGGCCGAATTCCAAGTTGCCTTAGGTTTCTAACCTAAAACGTGCCGGCAGAGCTCCTGAGGGATTTCGCCAGAGGATATTTCATGGAATATAGTTTTAAATCAAGATGACACTGTTTGCAGCCAAGATAAATAAGAATATTTTGCCGATTCTGCGGCGCAAGGTGATACTCGCGAAGTTTCTCACCCACGAGTGTTACGCAGGCGAACGTCAGAATGTATCTGGAGTTCCATTCGCCCTTACGCGGAGATTAACTCGGTCTGGTTTACCAAGATTATGGCTTCGTCAGGAAACAGTTATGGAAAATGTACGATACTGTCGGCATGGTTCAGCTATTAACATTCGACACTTTTCTACGAAGAAACCCTCCGACGTAGACCCTCCGATGTAATCCTATATATTAATTTCTATAACGTAGCAGTAATCTTTTTTTTATATCTTTAACACGTTAAGCACAGCGTCAGTCTTATATATAAAAAATTGGAAAGCTCAGCAAAATCGGCTCTGCTCTTAACGTGTTAACTTATTTTTGCTAATGGCTTCAGAATGGAGTTTGTTTAGAAATAATGTTTCTTATTTAGCGACCCTGAAGCAGAGCCGACGGAACAGTATCCAGCCTCGTTACCAGCAACGGTAGTTGTGCCTGAAGTATGGCCACATGTTCCAGTTATAGCTATAAATCGAAATCCAGTGTTTCCGAGGTTTATCAAACTCATCGAGATCTCTAACCCTGTGCTCATAGATCTGATTCGCCGTAAGGTTAAACTGAATCAGCCTTATGTTGGGATATTCCTAAAGAAGAGCGATGAGTAAGTGTAAGTATTGCAAGTAAATTATGAAATACTGATTATTTTTTGGGGCTTTAGGAACGAAGCGGAGATCGTTCAGAATCTGGAAGAGATTTATTCTGTGGGGACGTTCGCACAGATCCACGAAGTACAGGATTTGGGAGATCGTTTGAGGCTAGTCATTATGGCGCACCGTAGAATTAAGATAGTTAATCAAATTATGGAGGACATTGCTTTGAAGCATGGTAAGAGATTTTCATACCAGTATTTTTTACAAGGACAGTTTTACATGTTGGACTGCCTGCTTTGCACAGAAATGAAACTGACGTTTCCACTACTAAATACGACACTTAACGTTCCTGTAGACGAGGCAATGGCTGGTGGAAAGAAGGGTCGGAGAGCTTTATTGCGTAAGAAAGCTGAGGCTAGATTAGCGGAGCAGGCTGAGAAGGCAGAGAAAGTCGAGGGAACAGAAGCTGGTGATGAAAACAAATCTGTAACTGAAATAACAGGAGAGTCTGAAAAAGCAAAAACACAGAAGAAATCAACTGAGACGACAGTGCAACCAGTTTTGATGGTAGAAGTGGTTAACATCACTCACGAAAAATTCAGGCAAACTGAGGAAATCAAGGTTAGATAATTTAATGTTGGCTCTTCAATTTCATGCATAATCATTAAATAATTCATATGCTTTATTGTATATGTTTCATTGTGAATTAATTACGTGTCTTATTCGAATCGACTGGTTTGAAGTGGGTTTCACTTTACCTTAATAACTGTAGACCTAAACATTGTACTTAACGTTTGTAAATATCAGGCCTTGACACAAGAGTTGATCAAGACCATCAGAGACATCATCAGTATGAATCCTTTGTATCGTGACTCGTTACAACAAATGCTGCACCAAGGACAACGAGTCGTTGACAATCCTGTCTATTTAAGCGATCTCGGAGCTGCTCTAACTGGAGCCGATGCTCAAGAATTACAGCAAGTCTTGGAAGAAATGGACGTGAGTTAATGAATATATTTTCCCCGCAGAATACGAAGAATTTGCACGTGGTTTTACATGGATGATTGTCATTTTTCAGATCGTTAAAAGATTAATGCTATCATTAGCCCTCCTGAAGAAAGAATATGAGCTAAGTAAGCTTCAACAGAAGATCGGAAGGGAAGTTGAAGAAAAGGTTAAGCAACAACACAGGAAATATATCCTCCACGAGCAGCTTAAAGTTATTAAAAAGGAATTAGGTCTCGAGAAGGATGATAAAGATGCCATCGAGGAAAAGTATCGAGAAAGGATCAGGAATAAAACAGTGCCTAAGCCAGTGATGGACGTTCTCGAAGAAGAACTGAACAAATTGAGCTTTCTGGAAAGTCACAGTAGCGAGTTCAAGTAAATTCAATTCCTTTCCCTCTTAAAAATCTAATTCTTTCTGTCGTTTGAAATCCTAACCACTTCGACAGTGTTACGAGAAACTATCTTGACTGGCTCACCTCGATGCCCTGGGGAATTACCAGTACAGAGAATTTAAATCTTCAACAAGCTGCTGAGATTTTGGATAAGGACCATTATGGAATGGAAGATATAAAGAAGCGAATCCTTGGTAAACCATGGAAGTAGAATTATAAATTGAAGCTTCGAGAGGATATGAAAATAATCTCCTTTTATGTCTCTTTCACCTGTAGAGTTCATCGCTGTCAGTCAGTTAAAAGGATCCACACAGGGTAAAATCCTGTGTTTCCATGGACCTCCCGGTGTGGGAAAGACTTCGATAGCTAAATCGATATCTCGAGCCCTAAATCGGGAGTACTTCCGGTTCAGCGTTGGCGGTATGACCGACGTCGCAGAGATTAAAGGCCACAGACGAACCTACGTCGGAGCAATGCCTGGAAAAGTGATCCAGTGTTTGAAGAAAACTAAAACTGAGAATCCTCTAGTACTTATCGACGAAGTCGACAAGATTGGAAAGTAATTATCATTATTATTATCAGCTCAAGCAATGCTTTGAAAGGTATTCCATGTGAAGTAGCATAAGGAGTTTCTATTTTCACATGAAAGACGCTGCTACTTCGTAGTGTCTCGATTACGATATAACAAGTGAATATTTAATACCAGGGGTCATCAGGGCGACCCAGCCTCCGCTCTCTTGGAGATGCTGGACCCTGAGCAAAACGCGAATTTCCTGGACCACTACCTGGATGTGGCGGTGGATCTGTCGAAGGTGCTCTTCATCTGCACGGCTAATATCATCGATACCATTCCTGAGCCTCTGAGGGACCGCATGGAAATGATTGATATGTCAGGATACGTAGCCGAGGAGAAACTGGCCATCGCCAAGCAGTACTTGGTTCCACAAGCAATGAACGACTCTGGTTTGAACAAGGATCGCCTCGATATTCATGACAGCGCCCTAACTTCACTTATCAGGTACTACTGTCGCGAGTCAGGGGTTAGGAATCTCCAGAAGCATATTGAGAAAGTCTCTCGGAAGGTGGCCTTCAAAGTGGTAAAGAAAGAAGCAGACAAGATCGACGTGAAGTCGGATAACCTACAAGACTTTGTGGGCAAGCCTACGTTCACTCATGACAGGATGTACGATATAACACCACCCGGTGTAGTCATGGGCTTGGCATGGACCGCCATGGGTGGCTCTACGTTGTTCATCGAAACCAGTGTAAGAAAACCCTGCGACGATAAGAAGTTGGAGGGCACCATGGAGACCACTGGGCATTTGGGAGATGTAATGAAGGAGTCCACTCGTATTGCCATGACAGTGGCCAGGAATTTTCTGAGACGCATCGATCCAGAGAATAATTTCCTCTATGCCTCTCATTTGCATTTGCATGTACCTGAAGGTGCCACGCCAAAAGATGGACCAAGTGCTGGAGTAACCGTTGCCACTGCTTTAATCTCTCTTGCAAGGAACCAAGCCATCCGTCAGAACTTGGCAATGACAGGAGAGCTTAGTCTCACTGGAAAAGTGTTGCCTGTTGGAGGCATTAAGGAGAAAACCATTGCTGTAAGTTATCGCGAAAACTCTCTGCAGGGCATGAAGTATAAAGGGCTTCCATCTCTGAGTTTTTCTTGAAAATTCTGACCCTATGTTCCGTTCCCAAGTCAGCTGATAGTGACACTAGCGATCCTTGCGGGAAAAACTCCATTATGGAATATAAGACAAATGTGGAACTACATGTCACTGGTCCTGTCGTTTTCATTTATTAATATTTGTAAGTTAAGTAACAAGTGCCTTGGTGGTTGATAAATATTCCGTTATGATGGCTTTTGTGAAAATTTGAAAATGATAGATTTTTTCACAAGACTCGCTAGTGTTGGTGCTGGCTAATTTGGCGATGAAATACAGGGTTACTTTTGTATGGAAGTGAGAGCTTTTTCTGATACTCATGCTGTAAGGTTTTTTATTTTATTTTCCTTACATTCGTGTAAGCGTTATTGACAAATCGATCATTTTCTTGCATAGGCTAAGAGAGTCGATGTGAAGTGTATCATTCTGCCTGAGGAAAACAAGAAGGACTTCAACGATCTTCCCAAGTATATTACCGATGGCCTCGAAGTCCATTTTGCTACGAGTTTTGAGGATGTGTACAAGATCTGCTTCGTGGAACCTGAATTCACAGATCGACCGGTCCATGCTAATGACGAGCTTAGTCTCCACTTTCCTCCTTCGCAAGCTGCACCCATGATGAATAGTGCGTGAAAGTCACAAGCGGTCTGGAATGCTTTTTTATGTTGGAGTTATAACTGATCGGTCCAGGCAGAACGATAAAGACATTTTAACTTATGCCAACTATAAATCTCTACCAGGGATCATCGTATAAATAAGGGAGGGTCGTATAAATAAATCGTTTATAAAATAGTGCACTTAAAGGCTAGTTTTGAGGAAGCATTACCGATGAGCATTCACAAAATGAATCGTATGTACAAATTGCATAGAAACTTCAGAAATGTTTTGGCGGAGATTGACTACACGATCACTTGGGAACTTCCATTTTACTCAGTCTAATTATGAAATCGCATAGTCTCATTTGAACTTGAATCTCCAGTGGATTGTTAGTAACGTAGAAGCCAGGAACTCCTGCCTTTTCAAGAATTCCTTGCTGGTCGGCCACCTTTTGGTCCAACTGTAGCACCAGCTTCATGTCCGTCTGTTTCAGTTCCTCTTTATGCTTTTTTTGCAACGTTGTCTTGATCGTTGCTCTTTCTTCATCCGTGGTGGCCAATGCCAAGCCCTCTTGCACTTCGATTTTCTGCTGGTTCTGTAGCTGTAGTCGCTGCTGGAAGAGATGTTTCTCCGTGACGTGCTGAATTTCCATCAGTCCCTTGACAATCTCGAAAATAGTATCATTTAACAGTGAATTGGCCAGACCGGAGAGTAATTCATAAGGAAGTCTCATCTGGTATTTTGTTGGCAGTTCTCCGACCATGTGTTGGAGTTGTTCCATGAGAAAATACAGTTTTCTCTGAAGGTCTTGCGGAGTGGGATTAGCTGAATCCATTGCTTCGTAAAGCCAAAATATATTGACGATAGTTTTCTGAATACGTTACATTCATTTTTCCATCTTCGTTGTATTGTATATAATGTCACCGCTGTATTCTATCTCCTTTATCTTATGAGTTCAAATATAATGTCAAGTTTAACGTTCTTTGGTGGTTCATTAAGAAATGAGAAATAAGCATCACGACATAACCTCTTCTTCGCCCATTCTAGCCATTCCACTTTCATGCCAGGGAATTTATACGTCTCTATTCATGTGTTGTTTTGTTTCTTCAATATTTGGTTTCAGGTCTTTCCTTTTAAATTAGTTTCGGAAGCGACACATCTCTAATCTACATTATCGGAGAAATCGAGGGCATTTTCGACAATTTTTGAGATACAAGTACGTCAGACAATTGGATCGCAAATATGTCGGTCATACAGGTTCCGTTCCGTCAAATGGTACTCCAATAATTCTTCCCGTTTCGGTCGGAAAGGTAGAAATTGAATCAGAAATTTTTACCACCTTTAACGTGGCGCCATCCGTAGGAAAAAATAACAGTTCGATGCATCGGTAACGGCGTACTTTGCCTAAGATATATAATATATACCAATAAATCACCTCACAGGTATTGAAACTAAGTTCAGGTTATGTTAGAGAATTTTAAAATCGCGGCTGTATTTTAGGGACACCGAGAACGAGGGAAATACACCAAAGGATGATAATTAAATTAGGTAAGCTGAAGTTAGCTTTGAAAATTTGTGAAAATGCAATTGTTTATCGGGATTATCTTGAATATATTGAGCCAGGACGGTACTGGATAGGGTGAAGGTTAAACGCTTCTCTGCTCGGTGTCAGAAGGCGGATGAAGTCCTAATGAGGATTTAACCGACTCGCTCGTAGGGGTTGCTTAACAATGGGGCTGTCTTCGACCCTTCGCCAACCCTCGAGGAGACATTCCTCTGCCATTCCGACAGATTGACCGATCACCGTTTCCAACAGGTTCCCCCTGATAAATCATTCGGATTATCTTGCATCAAGGGGCTGGATTACGCGCGAAAATAAATAGACAGTATCTCAACCTTCCAAATCAATTTATATCAATTATCTGAAAACGTGCATCTATACCCCCTAGGTTTCGTTACCGTATTAATGTTACCATGAATGACCGAAATTGTAGAATGTCGACTTTCACCGGTGAATGTCGACATTCTCCCGATTTCGGTGTTTCACTGTAACAGACAGGGCTGAGACGGAGGGAAGGGTCGAGCTTTGCTCGTAGGTGGTAAACCCGAGAGATCGGATTCGCTTTGTGAAACGCCGAAGGGGTAGGTGGGTGCAAGAGGGAGGTAGGAGGTGGAGGAGGGTGGAGGAGGGCTGCCTCGGAGGTGAGACGAGGTTTATTGTCAAGTCACGCCGCCATCGTGGTCTATCTCGCCATCTCGACGGGGAACCCTTCCGTCCTCGTCCCCCATGACGTATCATGTAGAACTCGACCCTTTCCTCTTCCCTCTTCTCTTTTCGCTCTTCTTTCTTCTCTCGTCTCTCTTCGTCGTGCACAACTACCCCCGACGAAGAAAAAAAAGAAAAACCGAGCAAGAGTTTTTACAGCTCGGAGCCATTCTTCCGGAAGGTCCTTTTAGGTTAGGAAATCCAAGTATACGGAATGACAGAGGATTCGATTAAAGACAGGCTTCTCTTAAGGGGATACGAAAGGGTCATTCTGTATGCGTAAAAGGTGAAAATATTTATACAACTTTTCTTTCAACTTAGTGTATCAAATTATTTGGAACTTCTGCATGTCATTAGGGAGGTCCTAATATTTGGTTGGTAACGGTAAATTAATTTTGACTTTTGGGATGTGGAGAGGAGTCGATAGGATCGATTTGGCTGTCTAGTTCGGCAGCTTTAAGGCGGTGACGTCACGTTTACTCTCACTGGGCGCAAAAGGTGCAGAGCAGAGAAAGGGAAGATCGGCGACGCCAGCATCTTTCGCTTCTGATGACGGTGTGGGTTAGCGGTGGTCCATGACACGGCGTTACGTATTCTAGGTTATGTCAGCGTCCGGGGACCACGCGTCGCCTATTATTTTTCCCATCCTAATTACTTTTACTCGTATCGTCATGTCCTGGCAGCTGCAGAAGAAAAATATCCATAAATTGCGCGGACGTCTCGATGTCTCAAATCGCTTAATACTTTAAAACGTGAATATGCAGACCTTAAGGTAGGTCCTGAAACTCGCGAAACTTCATTTTTTTTTTATAAATTATTTTTAAAATACCTGTAAAGAAATTTGAAATTTCACGAGTTTCGGGACCTTCTTTATAGTCTCCCTATTCGCGTTGTAAAGTCTCGAGGTAAAAGTCTTATAAACGAAACCTCTTCGACGCCACTTTCACATCACCTTAAGCACCTAATTCAAGGAATATCTTGAACGGATTAAATGCAACATTTCTCAGGAATACCTGAGGACGTTAAAGGGTGTCGAGTCGACGAGCATACCTGGAGGAAGGGGGTCGTTTGGTCAACAGGTGAACTCGGTAACGTGGAAGACTTCCCGGTGGAAAAAGAGTGGACTCGATAAAGACCCTGACGACGAAGAGTACCCTGACCCAGTCAGTCAGTCAGTCAGTCGGCACATCAAGGAGGATCGATACTCGCTAATCAGATCAAACCACCCTACTTCCTGCCTTCGACCTGATACGATAACAGGTGCCGGTGAACTTTTCCAAGTCTCTCGAAGATCTCGAAGAAGCCCTGTCCACCTCAATCTTTACTTGGAACGTGCGAGTTCATTTTAACCCTTTCAATACGGAGCCATTTCGACATACGGGCGAATTTCGTCAGACCGTGCAAGCGATATTCGACCATACGTCGGACGCACTTATGCGTCCACAGCGTTCAAAGGGTTAAGCTCTCGGTTTACCAAAACGGTACGATACGAACCATGACCTAGTACAAGGGGATACAATGCCACGCATTGAAGTCGTTCCCATATCATTGTGGTTTTCCTAACCATTCTTTTTTTATTTTCATGTACTCGGGTTAGGGACGAATCGACTTCCCAGCTCCTAACTACTCCACCGAGGAATCTTTTTTTTTCGGAAAAGTACCAGCTTTCTTGGAGCACTATCGACCAGGCACTTATTCCGCAGGGCACATCGGACTCCACCGAACGAGATACAATCGCATCATGCGATTACCGGAAATCGATGCCGTCCTAACCGCTCCGTTTGACCCTATAGGGTCAGCCTCGTCCTGCGTACGAAATACTGACAAGGAGACATTCCCAAGTGTCCGCCGTTCGATCTTATTGATTTTCATATATGTTGAAGAACGTAAAAATCTAAGGGACACGTGTTTTCGTTTGTCTGCAATGGTCCACGTTTAAGGGGTGGAAGAACACCCCAAAGTTTGTCGAGAATATAATTTTTGGAACGTTTCCTTGTGAGTCCTTCGGGTCCTCTCCTTGTCTCGATTTGCATCCCTAAGGTTTAGACAGAGCTCATAGAAAAGGCATAGAAAATCAATGCATTCTGGCAAGTCGAGGGAATCGACGCAGCCGAGAACGTCGTTGAATCGGTCCTGGGGAAAAATGATAGCCAATCGGTAGATAGCTCGGAAATTCGTTCCCTAACCCCAAAGGGAATCCCTCGGATGAATAAACCGACCGGATAAATCTAGGCCTCGACCATCGAATCCATTCCCCGAATTATGCCTCGCTCTAATGATTTCAAATGATCCTTTTCGCTCTTGTCCCGCCATTTCGTTGACTCCTTCTTCGTACGCGGCGAAATCTGAAATTTGAACATTTTCGGGAAGAGGATTCATCCATGTTAAATTGATATCAGACATTCCTTATCGGGTAAAAAATTAATGACGATTCACCTTGTCGGTGAATTTATTATTACTTACGGTAGATTATACTGCATTTATTATCATTTATATCGTGATGCACTGCACGGGTCGTCTTCTATTCCGGAGGAGGACGTTCCTAACCTAAAACGGAGCTCGATGGGGGGTTTGTTCCTTCCTAGGCGCACTCTGGGAATCTCACGGAGTGATTTACGGGGCGATTCGATCGGCCTCCATTTCGCGGATCCCGATCAGTTCTGCCATAAATATACCAGGTGTTTTTTCTCTCTTCATTCCCGGACAATGCGACCCCTGGCCAGAAGAGTCGGCCCAGAAGGCATTCGTCTTCTCGTTACAGCTTCTGGCCCTCTATCCCGGGATATCTCTTTCAATTCCGGGGATTTCAGGAATCCCTGCTTCTTGCTCCTAACCTCCGAATCGGTGAAAGTCTTTGCGATTTACGCAATATCGCTGGGAATTCCTGTAATGGTCATTAAGGGGGTAAGAAAGTAATGCCCGAGGGGTCAATTATGACACTTGTAATTAATTGTTATCAATCGGTTGAAATTTTATCACCTGAATGTGGAGACCAAGGAAGGTTCGCAAACCCGTGTAATTTCGTATTTCACGTTGTTCATGTGTTATTTATAACAAAATGAAACTTTTCTTCGAAGCTGATGTACCGGATCGTTAAATGATAGTATCACCCACTGAAATGTTGGTTTAAAACTTGTTTATAAAAAGAGAAGGAAAATTGTCTACGATTGAGAATAACCTCTTCGACCTTTTGGAGTGTTCAGAGTCTCGCAAAAGGTCCTCGTCGACCTGCAAAAAAGAAGGAGTGGGAGTTCCCTCCTTTCGAGGATTTCAGGAGAGTCGAAAGGGTTGGCCTATCTTTATTTCCCTCCACCAAGGTCCGGGTGGGAGGAGATCAGAACCCGGAAGCACCTCATCATCCCCGTAATGGCGCATCCTTTGAAGGGAATCCCCCCTGGCACTTGAAAAGGAGGGAAATTAAATGACGGCCCGAAGTCGTCCGGTCTGGAAACGCGGTTAGAGGAAAACGTGGAGGCGCCCCTCGGAGTCCTGATCTCCCTTGGAAATACCAATGCGCCGATTGGGGATTTAATTTTCGCTCTCTTTCCGCCCCCTGAGGTTTGGGGGATGGTTATTTACCAATTATAGATATTAGAGCCGGGTCTCGTCCTCGTGCCTCGGCGGGGAGCTTAACCACAATTTTATACCGCTTCTCGCCTCTAAAGGGATCATTTTTATCCGCTAAGTCTCGCTCATCATCCGAGACTCTTCCTCGAGTTCTGCAACCCCCTGCTCGGATCTTCCCTCGTATAATTAAGCGAAACAACGCGGGGGATGTTCCAGGACTCCTCGGAGTCGTCTCTCGGTGGAGGTGTTCAAAGAACCCTGGGAGATTGTTTTCTCGATTTATGTACGTGCGGATATAAACAATTGGTCCTTTTAAGGTAAAGGGAAACACCTCGAGGTGCTTGATCGACGTCGGTAAAGAAGACTTTTCTAAACACCCACGCTGCCGACCT